GTTGAAGGAGAAATCTCGGGAAAAAAATCGACTATATAAACATTTCGCTGGGCCTTTGTTTGTTTGAAGCTGTTTTGTTCGCGATATATGATGTAGGATATGGAGAAAAACCAAGTCCTCAAAATGCTTACTTAAGCTAAATTGAAAACTGTATCATAGTGCCTTGGGGAATGGAAAGTAAATAGATGCAGGCTATTTAGAAACAAAAAATTGTAAAGAATGTTTTTGTTTTTTTGTTATATGAAGTAATTTTGCTTAGTTTATGATTAAAGTCGATTTGATGTTAGCCACAGTAATAATTTCAAAATGCTATTGATTTGCCGAAACAAAATAACTAATCATAGAAATCGTATTATTTTAAAATTTAAACACGAGCAAAACTTTATATTTCGATATTCCAGAGTTTAGCCTTTGTTTATTCAGAAGCTACAATAAATAATAAATATGGCAAAATAATTTGAAAACGACGGCGGGGCAAAACAAATTTATTTCCCACTTGAACCCCCGACAACAATGCCATAAAAGGGGTTAACTGTCAGAATCATGGCGCATCTATACAAAACCACCTACAACAATTCCCCAAACCCGTCAATGCCGATGGCAGGCAGACCAACAAATTCACAGGCTATGTGCCCTGAAGCCAACGCAAATAAAAATGACAACAAAACAATCTTCAACAAAGGCAAACACAGACAGTTAGACAATCGAAGGAGGAGAAGGCTCAAAATGGGGCCAGGCACACACAAAGGCCAAGTGATAGATATGAGTGGAGTATGATTCAATTCCATTAGCAGGACGTTATGCACACAGCGAACTCGACAGCGAAACCCGAAAAAAATCGATGAGCTTTTCCCCAACGCTTTTCGCCAAATTTTCTGCTAATTCCTAACGCTGCACGCAATGCAGTTTTCTAGTGAAAATGGGTTGACTGCTAATGGAAAATTGGCGAGAGGCGATAGGTGGTCGTTGTGGGTGAAGCGTGAGTAAGTTGGCCACGTCACTCGCTCGTCCCAGATTGCCAGTAAAGTTTAAAAGTCATGTCTGACATTTTGGCAACACGTAAATCCGCGCACTTCCTGAAACACCCTCGATCCGAACCCCAAAGTGGGTGGCTGATGAGGAGCCAATGGAGGTCAGGAGCCGAATAGGTAGTGGAATGGGAAAGTAGGGATACGATGGTCTCCACATAAGCTATAGCTTACGCGAAAAACGCCACACCATGCTGATAAATTTGTTGTACTATTTTCACAGCTAACGAAGTGGGAAAGACCATGAAATTCTATTAGAAATTCAAACGGAAGTTGTACTTGTTGGGGCAGCAAATTGCGAGGAATCTTTTTCAGGATTAATGATTACACAAGTTTAAAGAAGTACATATCAGGGATTATTAGGCATTTAAGTGCTTTAGAATTTTTGAAAATAATAAAAAGTTATTCAACAACCACACAAAAAAAGGCATACGATCATATTGATATTTGCTGATCAATTTTATATTTTGTAAAGATAAAGTTATTCAAATTATTTTAATATGAATAAAGATTACGTTTATCCTACTTTACATCACTTGTTGAAAAAATACTAAACTTGACTATGATATGATAAAATATCAAATTGATATGACATAATTTCAAATTGATGTGTTTGAAACATAAATTGGGCATAAATCATATCAAGTTTTACTTGATATGAAATAAGGTATAACTGATTCTATTTCATATCGAATAATTTTCTGTGCACAAATTTTAAGCTTAATCTGTGTACATATAACTGTAAAAAGGCGGAACTTTAAACGGGATGATCAAACCGAAATCGAAATTGGCCCAAAAAATGTTACTATTATATAACAAAAAATCTCTCCAAATAAAAACATCAAAAATGGGTCCCACAAGTCACGACAGTCAAAAAACCAACCCCTTAAAATCAATCCTTAATGTAAGACCATTCCATCATGTTCGTTATAACAAATGTCTTTTGGCCATCAATAGCATATAGACACCACAAACATATCTACCCACACGCTAGGCAACCTTGACCCATAAAAGCTAATGAATTTAATTAACTACCCTCAAGGAAGTCGCCGCAAGTAAACATAAGGCCAAGCTAACTCAGGACTCTTCATATGTGGAACAATACAATACAGGCAAACACTTGAACTAGTTAATCCGTTTGCACACTCAGCTCTACTAATGTGTAGACAGCCATATAACCGAAGAGAAGACAATCGATAGATATGGGGATAGGCAAGTGCAAAATTAGCCTTAGCCAGCAAGGCGCCCAATCAATTAAAGAGTAATCCAATGGGGAATACCCGGGGATAGGAAACATGCAAAGCTTGAAGTGCATTTCCTTTGTCATCTTGCGCATAAATAATTCAAATAGCGCCTTTTCCTTCAGACGGCGACGCTTTTCAATAGCTCCGCCGCACAAAGGACTCAAGTGGGACAATGGCAATGAGTCTACTGTACCCCCCGTCAGCATACAGTGAAATGCATGGAAAAGTTTCTTTTATTTGTCTATTGCCGACAGGAAGTGCGGCAATCTGAAAGTAATTTCAACGTAATTGGATAGTTGCTTGGGTCGTGCGAAAACGCAGCCCATTTAAGAACTTAGTTGTCATTCAGAAGGGAAAACAAAAACGCACGGGAATTTTAAATTTTAAATTGATTTGCACTTAAAACAAATTGCATAATATGATATGATAATATTTGATATGATAGTATGATTGATATGATTGATATTATATGATATGATATTGTATGACAGGATATTATTATTTTCGTTTTTGGTTATTTTCAAAGAACAGCGGTAGTAAAAAAATTATTATTCATTCTTATTCATTAAACCAAAATGAAAGTAAAATCTCTTGTATAGTTTTTAATAAAAAAAATATTTTAAAATTAAATTGTATTATTCAAAGACAAGAATAAACCAAGTTTAATAAAACTTGGAGTCCTGGAAAAACTTAAACAATTACCAGAGTTTTGCCTCTTCTTTTCTCTATTCTCAACCTGCAATTTCCTGTTGTTTACCTATGACAAATGAGCAGGTTAAAAGTTTGTTTTTCACACGTCCCCAAACTGTGGGGAACTCAAATAACACTCAAATATTCATCTGGTTTGGCTAGCCAATCGTCTACGAAATAGATAAGGGGCATATACACACAGGACTATATACAAATATCGAACCGGAAGGTGGGATGGTTTTGTTGTTGCTCCGTTCTTTTTTTGGCACTCACCATTTTCGATGGTCTCCTTGGCACAGGATATTATTTTTCCTTTGCGACGTCGCAAATTTGATTCAAAATTGTTGTCATCGGTGAAATCATCCTCGCCGCCATCCCTAGGACCTCCTCCTCCTGCTCCTCCTGTTGTAGTCGCCGTTGTTGTCGCTGTGGAGTCCGGCACATCCTCCGACGACTGACGCTCCTCCGAGTACGAAACTCCATCGCCATCTCCGCCGTGCATTAAACTTTTAAAACTTTGGCTCATGCTGTGTGCCAAAATTCGCCTTTGATTTATTTTATATTTTATTAGTTTTAGCTGATTGATATTTTATACGATTTCGCTACGACGCCTTCAATGTTTTCGTTCACAAATTGGCACACGATCTCACTTTTAGCATGTTTACTCATAAACTGGATTTAATTAAGGATTATTAATCACTTGACCCGAAAAAGTAGGCAACGCAAAAGGAAACGGGTAGTTTGATTACAATTACGAATTACTTAATCGAAGGAAAATGCTCAAATGTGGTGCGTGTTTCGGGGAGAAAAACTTAGGGGGGGAAAACATAGCACGCCATTCGCAAGAAAAAAACTGTAAAAAAGGAAAATACCAAGACGTTGCCGGCTAGAAAGACGTTATTGTTGCTGTTTCCAGTAGTAAAAGTGGGTTGGCCTGTGTTGGTGCATGACCGACTAAGAAAGGGTGGGTTCAGACATTACGCACAACCCCAAAGAGCGATCCTAAATGCGCTTTCAAAACGCAGAACTGCCAACAACGAGGTTTTCCCAGACAAGACGCCCCACTAGAAATGAACCGAATAACCTTTTGTTAAAAAAAGAGGAAAAATCCAAATGCTTTTCTTATTTCATAATCGTTTCTTGCATTAAGGTTAAACAGTTTAGAGACAACAAGAACACACTGCTTAAAATTAACACTGGTCAAATAAATTTATTATTTCCACGCGAGACACTAAGCTTTTCTTAGCCAACGATTTTTGCTTTATTTTTAAAAACATTTAAAGAACATTACTTTTTCCCTTCTATTTGGAAATATGTCATGCGGGGACGAACGCGTCGAAAATAAAGTGTTTGCTCGCTGGAAAATGCCGTCACAGACTGAAATGTCTTTCACTTGGCTGCGGGAGTGAAAAATCCAACTCGAAGAGCAGCACAGTGTGGTGGGTTTCTCAGTTATTGATTTTGTTCTGCAAAGACAGCAAACGCAAAAGGGCAACATTTGTTGGTCGGTGGTTTGCGTTTTCGGGGGAGGACTGTTACAGGCAGGGCGAGGCAAACAAACGTTCAAAAAGCCGGCTTTAGCCGAGAGCGAGAGAGCCAAAAGCAGACAGCAAGGCAAACAACAAACAATGAAACACGAAGGAGGAGTACATAAAAACAAACACATGATTATACGCCCGGTATTACGAGTGTTCAAGGGACATATTAAGTTTCCATTAACTTTTTCAAATCAAGACCTTTCAATTATCAAAAAAGATTAATTATGAAAAATAACCCAAACAATTTCTAATTTTCTGAACAAATGAAATTAAAACAAATATTATCGACAAAGTTTCTTCAAATGAAAATTTATTCTTATTTAAATGTTACGTCATTCGCGAATAAGAAAATTAAAAATAAGTAAATTCTTTTAGTTATGGAAGGCTAACTATATAGTATTATATATCGCCTGTAGAATTCGAACTTTAACGAGGCGAGAACTCAGTCAATCTTAATTCGTTAGGTTCAAACATTTAAATCTATGACTCCAGTTGAGTCTTTAATCCCACTCTTCGTCAGCCTCGGCGGTGGTTGCAGCGGAGATGGCATTTCCCTGTGTGTAAAAAATCATAATCAGTAATCAGGATCCAGTAACAAAAATAAGTTATACTTACGCCGCCGCGAACATCCACGCCTCCAAACTTCTTGTTGGAGTAACCTCCGCCACCACCGCCTCCGCCGCCCATGTCGCTGAGGAACTCGGGCACAGTCTGATTAGCTCCTTCAAGGATCTTAATCAAGTCGCCGGCGAGAGCACGATCCTGGTCAGGATCAAAGAATGAGGTAGCACGACCGTTGTTGCCCACACGGCCAGTGCGTCCAATGCGATGCACATAATCATCAATGTTGTTTGGCATGTCAAAGTTGATCACATGCTTGATGTTCTTGATATCTAAACAAGGCAAAAGAAATGTTTAAGATTTTGAAATATAAATAGTAAGCGGCATTACTTACCAAGTCCACGTGCCGCCACCGAAGTAGCTATGATAACCTTCATTGTGCCGTTCTTAAAGTCACGCAAGGCCTGCTCGCGTTGACTCTGGAGACGATCGCCGTGAATGGAAGTAGTAGGAAATTCAGTTTCCGACAGGAACGAGGCCAAGAAATCAGCACCGCGCTTTGTTTCCACAAAGACTATGGTACCATCTGCTTCCTCGCGAAGGATTTCCTTAAAGAATAAATAAATAAATGATAATTTAAAGAGAATCCTGTTTGTAAATAATAAACCTTAAAACTTACCATTAGCTTGGCTCGCTTGGCAAACTTATTGACCTCGTGAATGGTCTGCTGCACATCAGAACAGGCGCCTCCAACTACGCCAATGGTAACAAAGACATAGTTTTTTAAGAACTCTCCCGCCAGGCGCTGGATTTCTTCGGGGAAAGTAGCCGAGAACATCAAAGTTTGGTGCTCGTTACGCATAGTCGGGTGGGTCATGAATTTACGCATGGTCTCCGAGAAACCCATGTCAAGCATGCGATCGGCCTCGTCCAGCACAACGAAGCGTGTGTCATCGAAGGTGATAAATGTACGCTCCACAAAGTCCATCAGTCGTCCCGGAGTGGCGATCAGGACATGGCATCCCTTGGTAATGCACTCGTTCTGATGCTTGAACGAGGTGCCGCCGTAAACAATGCTGATCTTTAGGTACGAATCGAAGCCAAACTTCCTCGCTTCGCTGAAAATCTGAATGGCCAGCTCTCTGGTTGGCGAGACAATCACGGCCTGCGGCTTGCCAATCTCCAAGTCATGGGGCTCATCCAGCAGCTTGCTGAGGATCGGCAACAGAAAAGCAGCCGTTTTTCCCGAACCAGTCTGGGCACAAGCCATCAAATCACGACCAGCTGCAATCACAGGTATGGAAACCTTTTGGATCGGGGTCGGAACCTTGTAGCCCGATTTGGTCACGTTATCGCCGACAATGCTACGCAACTTGGCGTCCTCGAAGTTCTTTATGGCCTTTGGCACATCCTCGCCGCTCACCTAAAAAATTAAAATCTTTCGTCAGTATTACAATCTCGGGATTTGAATTGGTATTGTTACCTTAACGGGAATGTTGTCATATTTTGAGAAGTTAATGCCCGAAGTGATACCGGTACTGAAGATCTCGGTGGCATCGTTAGACGGCTCTGGCGGAATATAAAATTCGCGCGGCTTCTCGCTATTTTCGCCGCCCTCGTTGTTGTTGTTAACATCATCTTCGTTGCGGCGACGCCTCTCGAAACCACCTTCTCCTTTCTCGCCGCGTTCTCCACGTTCTCCACGCTCTCCTCGCTCCCGATTGAAGCCACCGCGTCCTCCACGACGTTCCTCGCCTAGGTATTTAATGAATAGGTTAAAAACAATTAGATTGCTTTAAATATACAATTCAACTTATTACAAAATTAATAATTTCCATTTAATTTTAATACGATAAACAGATAACATATAATATGGTATTCGCTATACATTTAATACGAATTCGGGAACTTTATTCAATATTTACTTAAAACATAACATTTAAATTAACATTATTATAAAATAAAATAAGATTTATAATTCTTTATATGTGAAATCAAAATTTTAAAAATCAATTCAAGTCAATATTTTACATTTGTTAAAGTATTTAACTAAAATAGGTAATATTTTGGGATTTTTATCAGATGAAATGAAAATTGAAAATATAATTGCAAATCATAGTAGAGTGGGAAAATCTAATTCCCTTAGTTCAATAGTTCCCTAAAGTTGAATCCATTAATATATTTTTTCTCATTATAAAATAGGTAATATTTCATCAATATTTTGGGATCTTTATCAGACCAAATGAAAATTAAAATTGCGAGTCAAAGTACAGTGGGAAAATCAATTTCCCTTAGTTCAATAGTTTCTTAAAGTTAAATCCATTAATATAAAGTTAAGACATATTAGCTTGTAAGTTTCATACTTTTAATTGTTTTTTTCTTGTTTTATCTTGAAAACTTTTAAATAAACCTTATATTTTCATTTTTAAATCTTATCCATCAATGAAAATATACATTTTAATGTTTTAACGCAGAGAAAAGAATCTTCCGTCGGAACTTAGATATATAATATTCGCCGACTTTAGTTCGAGTAAAATGCGAAATACAATCGCCCTATCCCTTGAATTCTTGATAAACGATTCCTTCTGCATATCCACCCGAGGCTGTCTGATAATGGCCAACAAAAGGCCGTGAACAAGGCGAATCTTTTCCATATCCATATCCAGAATAACTTTCGGGTTGTAACAGTTAACAGCGGGCATGGCATAAAAAGTCCTCGAGCCTTCGCGACGCAGCACAGTGGCCCTTCCCTGTTTGGTGAGGTCAATATTATGATCCACCATTAGGCGCAGCATATTAGCGTGTCGTGCAATGTAAGCCACATCTTCCATGTGCACCTTACGTAGCGCGTTTTGCCTTGCTTCACTGCGCGATTTTGGAATCACTGTAGAATTTCCAGAGCCTCCAGAGCTTCCTATGTTTACGGCCAGATCTAGCATGCGATCTCGATCCATGCTAGCAATATTCAGAGAATGTATGTCCACCCTGGGCAGCAATTGGACATCAGTCACATGAGCATTATCGCTCACATTAGCTAAAGGGTTCGAGAGCTCTAGAGGATCCTCGTCAACGGCCATGTGCACCACAATTTCTGGTATATTTTCCTCATTTCGTGGAAGTACCACTTCGGGTATAGTTACCTCAATTTTTGGTAGTACCACTTTGGGTATCATATCGCCATTTGTAGGAATAATATCCCCATTTGTTGGTAGTACCGCTTCGGGTATAATTTCTCCATTTGAATGCTGCACCTGATGGGTGGCAATGGCTACATCCATCTGTCGTTGCATAAAACTAGACACAAAATTGATTGCAACATGTTGACTGTCTTGCATTTCTTCCCCGCTCCGGACAAGTCGTCTTCCCGGTGTTGTTGGCGGAGTGGGAACCGCAGCAGTACGAGGATCACGTGCAGGACGATTACGTCGGGGTCGTCGGACTCTAGGTGCTGCTGGTCTAGGAGCTGGCCCTACGACGTAGTTAACCAACTCATGTCGTGGTCGGAAAATAGAACGCCAATCACGTGACGGACTCAAAGGAGGTGTCATTGGCACAGCAACTTGCATAGCATCCTCTACGGTGGTCAAAGATTCTTCCACAATAACTGCGATGGCCGACTCCTCCTTTTCTGGCGGCGGTGGCAATGACATCTGCAGGGTGGAGGGACGATGATGCTCCTCATCAATGACCGGCAATCGGGGTCGGAACGATAGGAAAGGAGTCGATGACGGGGTGCCTCCAAACCGAGAACGCACAATCGATTGCCCAGCCTGTCCCACTAGGGCCGTTTCAGCTGTTTCGCTACCCAGTTCAAACTTTATTGAATGGTCTCCCGGCAGCGATGGACCTATCGGAGTCGATGCTGCTCCTTCTGGCACCGACAATGGAGTGGTCATCTCATCGTACATCAGATGGGGTATAAAAGACAAGCTGTGGAAGGGGCGGACATTACTTAGTTTATGTATGTACCATTTGAAAGGGAAGCAAGGAATAAAGAGGGGGAGAAGAAGCAGTAAGGAGAGCTAGAAAGAATATCGGCAATTTACTATTTTGCGATAATTAATTTGGTTACCCTTGATAACATCGATATTATCGAATTGATATTGTGAAAACATCGAAAATATCGATAATAAGCAAAGAATAAGGAGGAGGAAAAGGAGCAGTAACGTAGAGATTGAAAGAATATCGATTTCGATTTGATGTTTTTCGATATTTAATTTGTTTTCTATTGATATTATGAATATAATCGAAGTGATATTGTGAAAATATCAAAAATATCGATCATTTTCAAACTCTACAGTAAGGAGATAGCTGTATGTACATACAAAGCAATCTTGAAAAATCAAGCTGTCACAAATCATGTTTGGAATGTGTTAAAAATTTCGGCGAATGACTAAATTTTGTTTCGTTTTCCTAATTTTTAAATGTTTAGGAATAGTGCCCTCTCGATAAATTACCGCTAATTGGGAAAAGGAACTTCAGCGAGTTAGAATGTAAGTAATAGTAAGAAAGTTACTAAGAGAAGGAAAGAATGTAAATACCCTGGATCGCTGTTTTGTTCGTTTGGGGTGGTAATCCGCATAGCGGTTCCCCTGTCGGAGGCACCAGTTTGGGAAATGTTGACATTACTACTTCCAGCTGGCGTGTTCTGATTCTGGGACAGATGATGTCGCGCCAAATTTACTGAGCTGCTGGCCTGCAGCACGGCGATGGTGCTTACGCCTGATCCAGTTTGTGGATTAGGAGCTTCAGTAACTACTGCTGCTACTGGTATTCTAACAACAGAGCGGATAGGGTTTTTAGGATCCGGGACTATTGGCCAATTCAGGTTTGTTGCATGTGGCCAGGAGAGATTATGAAGCAACTCGTTTGGACTGAGCGAACGAATCGGTCTCATTTCATGGCCAGCTATGTAGTCCTCACTTAAGATTTGCTGATATCTGGTCGAGCCATAGGTGGGTCGAGGATCTACTTGGTCTGCTGGTGGCTCCTCGTCACCCGATGCATTCAAATCGCGCTGTACAGCACCTTCTTGAAACAGGTCCTCAAACTGTTGCAGGTATTTCCCTGATAGACCATCAGTGCTTCTTTGCCTGATCTCTTTAGTATTCCTGATCCTCAAAGGTGGCGGCACTACAAATGGTGGTGCATTTCGCTCCAATCGCCCTACGTTTGCTCTCCAATCGACATCCAAGTGTTGAATCCTTCGCTGCTCCCTTTCAGTTACAACCAACAATCGGTTTATGTCCCCTATGAAAGTTTCCGTCATGGCCACTGTCTCGCGTATGTCATTTTTTTTTTTGGCACGGTTTTCCTGATCAAGTCTCTCCAGAGATATCCGCTTCTTGTCCACCAAAGCCCTAAAAGCCTTGAACAAATAGTCACGTAATTCCCGAATCCTTGACAAGTTGGTTGCGTATGCGTTTACATCCAGCTTAGCGATGAATTCGGCCACCACTTCCTGATCCAAACTGTTTGGGATCGGCGGAAGAATCACAGCTAAAGTTGACATACCCACAAAATTGGGCAATTGGTGGAGTAAAGAGACACGAAACGAAAACACAAAGTATATGACAAAATGCACAGACTCAAAACAGAGACTAAAATTACTTATTTTGACGACCTTTTCTTATAAATAAATTATTTTAATCTAAACATTGGCAATTAACTAACAAAATATTACTTACCTTCCTCATTTTTATCGCGACGACCTCGGAAACCTTCACCACCGTCGCCTCCTTTACAAAAAACAAAAACAAAAAGTATGACAAAACAAGGTACAAACAAATATTTAAAAACAAACTAAACATACATAAAAATGTATAATGGTTAGATTGCCACTTATTAAAAGGGTTAGATTGCCACTTATTAAAAACTACTACTTACCGTCTTCATTGTTGTCGCGACGACCTCGGTAACCTCCTCCGTCGCCTCCTTCGCGACGACCTCCGCGGTAACCACCTCCATCGCCATTTCGATCTCTATCTCCTCCCCTGCGATTTCCGCCTCCTTGGTCGCCACCAGCACCTTTGCTATTATCCTCTTCATCGCTCCAACCGGATACTTCCTTCGGAGCGCTCGTAGGAGCAGCAACGGGCTATAAAATATATATTCATTTAGGAGCCTATAACTTTGTTGATTAAGTGCACAAACCTCATCTCCCCAGTCAGACATGTTGTTGGGCTTTTATTGGGCTGAAATAAAGAGAATACAAATTAGTAATTGTCTAAAAGAATTCTGTATAGGTATCTTAACGTATTTATTTTAATGTATAAAACTATCTTAATAATTTCAAGAATTAATGCAGTTCCCAAACTACTAACTATAGTAAAGAATGAAGACGAATTTCACCCTAATCAAATTTTAACCGCCTTCAAAGAAGTTTCCAAGTGTGCTAGTAAATACTATAAAAAGTGTACACTTTAAATGCCCTTTTTTATATTTTTAAAAACTGATTAAATGTATTTTTTAAGAAATTAAAATGTATACGTTGGTAACAACGCTTCTTTTTGTTAATAAATTAACATTTTAAAATTAATTTATGCTTACAAAAAAAATTTAAACTGGCGCCAAATCAGTAACAATTGCAAATGTTCTAAAAACACAGCTCATTCCGGGGTCTACGACACACAAAAGTTCTTTCCCCATTTTCCCAAACATTATATTATTACTTTCCCATACATTATATTATGGCAACCCCTATATCTTTACAGATTTTCCTACCAATGTCATGACTTTTTCAAAATAAAACCCACAACCCGCCAACACCAAGTGCTCGCTAAACACAGCTGCCATTCAGAGCGAAGACCGACCATTCGCAGCGAAACGCGTGGAAAAACGTGAGTTTCTGTTTTTCTATGTATACCAAGAACACATGTGGGCGCCTCTGTGTGCGTGCTTTGGCCCATGTGCGTGAGGAATCGCGTGCGCCAGTGTGTGTAGGTAATACTAGCAGCGAGGCGAAGAAGAAACGCTGAAAATTAAGGTTAGAGAGCAGCAGCCACCAAACAGCCAGCAGAAAAGTAAGAAAAATCCCCCCAAAAGGCTTAAATAAATTCCGAAAATTCACCGCACACCAAGGGCTTTCAGCGTAAATAACAAGAAAAGCGAAAAATTAAACCAAGTTTGTGACTCAAGAATAAAAAACCTCGAGAAAATCGCACTGAAATCTCAAAAGGGTGTGAGGAGCGGAAAATCAATCAATTCCCCCCCATAAAAACTTTGTGTAAAAATTCTGTGTGTTTTACAGGGAAAAAGCAAGGAAAAACAAGAGCAGCTAGGAAAATAGAAGAAAAAAAGCACACACCCAGCCACAAAAATCATGGACAGCGCCGGTAAAAATCGTTATGAACTCTTGTTCATGGACGACGATGTCAGCGATCCATTAGATAATCTTGTGGCGCCGACGACGGCCGCCGCTGCCGCAGCAGCAGCAGCAGGCAAGAAGAAGCAGCAGCCATCAGCTGGTGCAGCGGCCACCAAAACGAGCGCCAAGGTGAACAACAAGGCGACTGCAGGATCCAATATCACTGGTGGACCCAATGCCAAGAAACCAAATCAGGCCGAAAAGGAGAACAAGCCCAATAATGCTCTAAACAAAACAGCCGCCGATGGCAAAAAGTTTGCCCCTTCCTCAGATAAACAGTTCAACAACAACAACAAACAGCAGGGTGCTCCACGACCAGGCGGTGGCGCCAACCGAACACGTGAATTTGGCAACCGTGAAGGACAGCAGGGTCAAGGACAAGGCGGCCAGCAGCAGCGCAGCGTCAACTTCCGTCAACAGAATGGCAATGGCAACAACACAGAAACCCGCGAGCAGCGCAACAATCGCCGGAATGTCCGCGAAAACGGAGGAGCACCCGATGGCCAGCAGACGCGTCCTTACCGTCAAGGCGGCCAAGGAGGTGGAGCTGGGGGAGATCGCCCGCAGCGACAGAACCGCAACTACGATGGCCAGAACAGGAAGCGCGAATTCGACCGCCAGTCGGGATCCGATAGAACCGGTGAGTAGGGAAAAATATCCTATAATCAAAAAAAAGCTTCTGGCTCCATCTAGCAAATGTTGGAATTTTAGAGGGCTCAATTTCAATTTCTGCTCATAACTTTTTAATAGATGGTCCGATTTAAAAAATTTCTTCTACATTTTGATAGGTATTTTTAAAAACAACCAAATTGCATTTATACTTTTCCTAAATCTTTAAAGATGTAAGCGACAGACACATTTTGAAGTCCTTTAGGGCGATTTTAAAATAAACTATATATAATTTGGCTTCTTCGGCTTCTAAAACAACTTCGAATTGAGATAAGAAATGTAGACTGCTTTTCAAATCTACTAACTAATGTGAAAAAGGCTTATATTAGAGCATCTACAAAAAAACATGTTCGCATGTTAATATTTATTAAGTCAGTAAAAACTGTTCCAAACATTTGAAATTAAAGTTTGACAGTACATAAAATCATTTACTACGCATCAAGTTATTTCGCGAAGTCAGTTTCCTAAATCTTTTAATGGATCTATGATAACATAAAATTTCTAGATAGTGATCTTAAACTAAAGTTAAACCTCCTCATGCGGCAAACAGCAGACATAACCACAAAATAGGCGCGAGGACGCCCACCCACAAAAATATTTAAGAAATAGAACAAAAACAACGCTCCATGACAACAAGAAAAGCGAACTCAGCAGGCGGCGCTGCAAAAAGGCAGGAAAAACACATTCCATCTAAGTTTACACGTAGTCAATTATCATGTTTATGTTTATGTTTTTGGGGAAACAAAAGGCGCCTTCAAGCTAATTTTGTTTAGATCTTACTTTTACACAACTGGTATTACAGAATATTTATTACTTCTATTTGGCCGAATCAATTTCAAACTTTTTCCCTAAATGATCACTGAAATCTTGAAATTAGTATACAAATTACTAGAAAATTGTTTGAAAATTAAGCAAAAAAAATTTCTATATTCAAGTTATTAATAAAAGATTCTTTTTCGACAATTTTCCGAAAACCAAACCAATTTTAAATAATTCGGCTACTCCTTAAATTTTGTTAAAAATAAAAATATTAGGCGCTTACGAAAATTATTTGATATCACAAACGTTTCTAAGAACTATTGGGATGCAGTTCTTAATGCCAAGAAAATATTTACAGCCCTAAAAACCCCCATAAACATCAAATCTCTCGCTCACGTGGTGGGGGATCAGTCAAATCAATACTAATGGTCAGACAAATTCAACAAGCAGCTACATCATCACACTTTCTTCTACCAAATAAAATCAGCGCTTCCTCGCATTTTCCTCTCGGACTGTTTCATTTTTGGAATATCCAAAATTATAATCACAACGGCAGCAAGAAAAAAGAGAGAAAAGAAGAAGCACTACAGCAGCGCACACAAATCGAAAGAGAAAATGTGTTAAATATAGTTTGCCCATCTTCACATGGCTCGACGCATTCCCGTCTAACGCAAGTGTTTGTAGGAGGCCTTTTGGCAGAGCATAAATGGGGGAATAATTCTCCCCCACCCCCACTGAATCTGATTACAGCAAACGGGTGCTGTCGGCTTATCTGTCGCCATGCGAGGGCAGTGAAAGAGCCTAACGTGGTTAGATTTCAATAGGCAAGGTGATTCCCAACTACAATTGACCCAATTAGTGGCGTATTGATAAACAAAAGTGGACATTTGGATTGGGGTTCATGAAAAGTACATGTTCTTATAGGTATATATGGTAAAAATGCTAAATAGGCTTTAAAATAAATTGGAGTAACCATTAATTATGTTCTAAATTGATAAAACTCCACAAAATTTAACAAAATTTATAAAACCAAAAAAAAATGGTAAAAAACCTTGACTTGCCATGCATTATAACTACTTAAGATCCTATATTTGCGTTAAATTAACTCACCGATATAACCAAGAAGTAAAATGAAAAGATAGCTTCTTCACTAGTTTCGATATAGCTCAGCTTTTCCTACCTTTTGGCGTCGCTGCTGTAATAAAACATAATAAAATCAATAATAGATTGTGTGTATATAGATGCAATAAATATATATTTCAACTTACTTTTCGTTTCGACGAAGTTTGGAAAAGGCTTCTTCACTAGTTTCGATATAGCTTAGGTTTTCCTTATCGTTGGCGTTGCTGTAATTAAGCATAAGATCATTATCACACATTATTATATCATTATCATATATTATTATCCTATCATTGTCATTATTAATTTATGTAATTATTCTTCCCTTATCCCCCACAGGTGTTAAATCAATTGACAAGCGGGATGGAGCTGGATCCCACAACTGGGGATCGGTCAAGGAGGCTATCGATGATGTGAACAAGAACGAAAGCGAGACCAATGTGAGCAATGCCGAGGGTGGTGGAGCCAAGGCCGACGAATCTGGCACTGAGGAAAAGACCGAGCAGCAGATTGCCGCCGAGGAGGAGGCCAAAGAACTGACCCTGGACGAGTGGAAGGCACAGCAGGGACAACGCATCAAGCCGACCTTCAACATCCGCAAGGCTGGCGAAGGTGTGTAGCCTATGAGAAACTATTATTTGTTTTATAAAATTAATTATTTTCGTTGATCTCATTTAAAAGTCCATTCCAATCTAGTTTTATTTACTAATTTCCATGGTTAGCCAAAGTTACAATAGTTACAAGCTGCTCTTAGCTTTAAATATCGAAAGTTTTATATTTCTCGATATTCAATGTATCGAATATAATCGAATCAATATTGTGAATAAGTCGAAAACATCGATATTTCCCAGCTGTATTTACTATTTGTCAATATGAAATCTATTGTCCCTTGAAAACATCGATGTTATCGATAAAATATCGAAAATATCGATCATTTCCAACCTTTTTTTCCACAAAACTCACTTTATAATCTCGGAAAAACTACAAAAACTTATATTACTTATTTTCCCCGCAGGTGAGGACACCACTCAATGGAAGAAAATGGTCGTCTTGACTAGCAACAAAAAGAAGGAGAACGACAGCGAAGAGGAGCTCGAATACGATCCTGCCCTGTATCCACAGCGCGTGGGCAGGCAGCAGCGCGTCCTGGACATTCAGTTCAACTTCAACGACGGTCGTCGCGGCGGACCCGGTGGCTTTGGAGGACGCGGTGGCCGTGGAGGACCACGACCAGGTGGTGGATTCGGTGGCGGACCACGCAGCGAAGGAGGCAATCGCGAGGGCCGAGACAACCGTGAGGGTGGCCGGGACAACCGTGAAGGTGGCGGAAACCGCGGTGGTCAGCGGGATGGTCAGCGTGATGGGCAATCTGGCAGGCAGGAGCAGCATCATAATAACGACGGCGGTGCTCCGTCCGCCCAAAACCAGAGGCCGCCCATCGAGCGTCGTGGTCCCGGTGGCAATAACCAAAACAACAATCAGAACAACAGCGGTCCAGGGCAAAATAAGCGTTTCGAGCGACAACAGAACACCGCTCCCAAGGTGAATGATGAGCGTCAGTTCCCCACACTGGCTTAAAGAGGAGGTTGCTCCTCAAATTGCAGTTTTGGTGACTGAAAAATTATGATGAAGGGAGGAGATAGAGCAGCAGCAAGTTACCAAAATGAAATCTTATAAATTACATATATCACAGACAACAAACTTTTTAAAAACGTAAATCCAAGAGATGAGGAGTTAAATGAAGAAGTAACAATTGTAGCCGCCATATAAGCCAAAAGCAACAAAAAATACCAACCAACAAGCTAAGCGAAAAAAAATGGATAATAAATTATAAATACATATTTAAATATATGAAGAGAAAACACACCACACACGAAAAGCAATTTTAGTTTATGCGTGGCCAACTAATCAGGATTTTACCCAGATAAAATCGCGATCAAGCAAGTGACCTCGTGTAAACTAGTCAGAGTCAGGCTAAGTCATCTTCATTAGGGATTTTACATCTATGTAATGTCTGTTCCCGGTCGACGAGATTTGTTTCGAGATTTTTCTATATAAAAAAAAAAAGAAACGGCATGGGCGGGCATAGAAATTGTTTTATTACATCAACAAAAATCAGATGTAAAGTTGTTTTTTTTATGTTATTACCAATCACTTAATCAAAAATCATCCTATCTAATAATACAAAAAAAAACAAAATGCAGTCGCTAACCAGTGAACAAGGCGAATAAAATAAACTACAAATAAAATATATAATATACAACATCACGGCCTGACAAATTCTTCTATTACAAAAAGAAGCAAAATACACTGAATACATTACAATAGTTTGTTTTCATCGCGTGAAAACAGTAAAAGCATTTTCATTACTCATATAATTTTTTGTTCTATTACGAATCACATTTTCGTAGCGAAATATGTACGTTTTATTATTTTTACTATGTTAACTTTTATTTAAAATAAATAAAAACAAAATGGACAAATATTAAAATCAGTAGTTGGAAAAAGAAACCTAAATCCCGAAAGAATAGTAAGTGTTAAAACCTTTGTAATTGTGTTTCTCGGATGCAAATTCTATAATTAAACATTTAAATTTAATAATTATAAAGCAAACTATGCATCATATATACTACTTTTAATTATAAAAAAAACCAAACTAAACACACACACACACTGAAATACAAAAACAAAACAATATTAATTTAAGCATTATTAAAGAAATAAAAACAAAAATATGAATTAACTATTGGAGCAAATTATAAACCTTTAATAAGTAGATTTACAGTCGGAGGAGGGCCGCTTTCAATAAAAACCTATTTGAAGTCAGATGGTAACGAAAAAAAAAACCACTCGTAATACGAAGATCCCTGTAAAATCGTTTGCTTCTATTAATTAGAAACTGTATAAATTATATGAGATATATATTCTACATACATGGTAAAATCAATTTTATGACGGCAAAAACAAAACACACAAAACAAAAGTATAAGAAAGCAAATTAAGGAAATGAGAAGAACTGTAGATGAACAAAATATACGACATTTTTTGAAATATTGTATTGTATTTTGACCCAAAGAAACAAAACCATTCAACAACAACCAAATGTTGAGCAACTCGTTTAAACATAAAAACAAGAAAATTTATTTGATAAAAATAAAGAAACAAAAAAAAACACTTGGCATTAATGACTTTTTATGAGACTTGTGGGAGGAGAGTAATTTGAGGAGTCGCACTTGAACACAAAAAGAGCGGTGCTTTTCAAGGGTTCGAAAATATTGTAAAAATAAAAAGTATTACATTTCTTTAACCACAAACACGTACAAATACTTTCTTGCTTTTCATTTAATCATTTTCATTTCATTCATAATTTTATATTAAATAATTAATTAATTAAATTTAGAATGAGAAAATTATGATAAAAAGCAAACTACATTTTGGCGCGAAAAACGAAGAAGGTGAACAAGAAAAGGGATAAAAAAAGAACAAGAATGAGCAAGTAAATACGAACGAAAAGAACAAAAAAAGATGAGATCGTAAGCGTAAACCAAGCTAAACACACACAATCAAAAAGGAATGCGTGCCACAAGGAACAAGAAAAAAAACGTGAACCGAAAAGGAGGCAATGCAAATCGAATTTTCTAGAATTTTGTAATGACGAGAAACCAAATATGAAGAACATAAGAAAAGCAAAAGCTAGGAAAAATTAAGAGTAGGAAATATACCACTATTAAATTACCACTAAATTATTAATAGAACACCTTGTTAAAATAGTTGTTTTTTCTTTTTAAAAAAGAGGAAAAAATTTAAACACTTTGAATGAAATTTACACACGCGGAGCTTAACTTCTTTCGTTTTTGCCAGTCGAGATCCGTTTCATGAGCGAAACAGGAAGACGAAGAAAGTCACTATTCAGAGTTGCCAACAAATCTTAAAATCTCTTTCAAGCAAGAAATAACTGCACGCCCAACATATTTTGACGCTTCGACAACCCTAAAACATAACGGTGACTGGCATAAAAGAGAGCCAAAATGGACGCCAAGCGAATGAAGCCAAAAGGAGCTTGAAAACAGTTTTTTATTTGGCAACCACGAGATCAAAAGTAAGAGATAAAATAGAATGGAATTTAACCAGAAAATAGAAAACTAATTCGTAAAGGCGCTGCCCACACTCACACACAATTAAAGCGAAGAACGCATTATAGACAAGATAAAACTCGAACGAGAACCGAAAAAGAATGAAAATTAATGCGAATGCAAATTCGTGGAATTCCTTTTTACTGATTTTAAGGCAATGGCTTGCACTAAAACTTTTTAACAAAGTTTCCATGACCTTTTCTGCATTTCACAACTAAGTTTCTGGTTAATGTAATACCTGTTTAATTATGGCTTTGCACAAAATGATTTCTAGTTTTAACACTTTGAATGAACTTTCACACGCCGGCTTCGATTTCTTTCGTATTTGCGCGTATTTTCCCGTTTGAAATGAGAGCAAAGGAGAGACGAAGCTAACTGCGCGTTAGCAACATGCTCAATGCTGGCGCCACGACAACCCTAAAACATAACGGTGCCTGACGAATGGCGCTAAAAGGGAGCTTGAAAAACGTTTTAATGTTTAAAGACTTTAATTAAGTAATTTAATGCAGTTTCTTTTACTTTAAAGACCAAATCAGCATTTTTTCACTTAAAAATGCCAAGAAATTGACTAAAAATCAAAATTGTTAAAAACTTCCGAATTACCTCTTTTATTCAAAACCTTTTTCAAGTCACCTAAAGAATATTTAACATTAAATTTAACAAAAAACTTACCTTGTTCTTTCCGAGAGCCTGTTTCTTAGGAATCACTTCTGTATTTAACAACTTTGATAGCCAAAAGTAGCACTTGGCGCAGACGCAAAAAAGTGAACTCGAAAGAAGGACAAGTGCGCAAAAGGAACGAATGCAGTGTGACCTCGAGGAGTTAAAATCCCTTCTTAATTTATTAAAATATACCGAAAATACGATCTGTCAAACCTGTCGGTTGATTTTCTGACCATCTAATTGCCAATTGGATTTTGATTTTGGCAAGAACTTTAATTAAAATGCATATATAACTATTTTCTTTTCTTTTATTTTAATACAATTTTAAAATTAATGCTTGAAGGTTAAGATAAAATTAAGTTTTACCAAAAAGTTGATGAAAACTCTTCCTAAAAACAGTAATTTTAACTAAAATGTTAAATTTATATTTGTTAATTTACAACGAGCATATATTAATTCCCAATTCTTTTTATTTTTAGTATGAATTGTTTTGACTTTAAAAATGTTAACTTAATTCGCTAAGTGTAGTGGTAGCGAGTACTCCCTAAAAGGGGTACGTGTACTCGCTAAATTCAAAGGGTACAATAAATATTCTGGTAAAATACGGTAACATTCCTTTTATTCCAGTTGGAAACTTTTCCGTGTTCGGCATGTTCTGGTATTTTCCGGCAAGCCGCCATGCGGTAGCACTAAAACGCGTTAGGGTCATTCTTCCCCCCACTCGTTCTGCGAATACAGAAACGAAAAAAAAAGTAAACAACATTTATTGGAGGGAAAAGAGGTAATACATTGCAAATATCATCGAGCCGGTGACATAAAGACTAGGCTAAATCCTATTACCGACGTCCCAGAACCTAACCTCTGATTTGCACAGATTCTAGATTGGCCCGAAAAATGAGCGTGGAGGAAGAAGTGTTTCGGATCCAGAAGAAGATGAGCAAGATTTCGATGGCCAGCGATGGAACAGTGAGTTTTTCGGGGTTAAATAAGCATTAGTATATCGTAATTATTATTTTCCAGGGACAGGATCAGGCATTGGACCTGCTGAAGGCCCTGCAAACGCTTAATATCAACCTGGACATTCTGACCAAGACTCGCATTGGGATGACGGTGAATGAACTGCGCAAAAGCAGCAAGGATGACGAGGTTATCGCTCTGGCCAAGACCCTCATCAAGAACTGGAAGCGCTTCCTGGCCAGCCCGGGTCCCAGCACCCCGAACCACAGCTCCTCGAAGGATGGCTCCTCGCAGAACAGCAGCAGCAGCAACAACAGCAGCAGTGCCGCCAAATCCTCTAGTGCCGCCAAGTCGTCCTCCTCCTCCTCCTCCGCCAAGGACAAGGACAAGTCCAGCAGCAGCAGCTCCTCCTCCTCCAAGGACAAGGAGAAGAAGTCCTCCTCACAATCCTCGTTTCCCTCGGGCGGCATGACGGATGCAGTGCGCCTCAAGTGCCGCGAAATGCTGGCGGCTGCCCTGAAAATCGGCGAAGTGCCCGAGGGATGCGGCGAACCGGAGGAAATGGCCGCCGAACTGGAGGATGCCATCTACTCGGAGTTCAAGAACACCGATATGAAGTACAAGAATCGCATTCGGTCGCGCGTGGCCAATCTAAAGGATCTGAAGAATCCGGGGCTGCGTGGAAACTTCATGTGCGGCGCCGTGACCGCCAAGCAGCTGGCCAAAATGACGCCCGAGGAGATGGCCAGCGATGAGATGAAGAAGCTGCGCGAAAAGTTCGTCAAGGAGGCCATCAACGATGCCCAGCTGGCCACCGTTCAGGGCACAAAGACGGATCTCCTCAAGTGCGCCAAGTGCAAGAAGCGCAACTGCACCTACAATCAGCTGCAGACGCGTTCCGCCGACGAACCTATGACCACCTTTGTCATGTGCAACGAGTGCGGCAACCGATGGAAGTTCTGCTAACTCCGGGGAGGCCCTTAAACAGTTCCAAAAACACCAGCACTCCCAGCACCCTTCATATTCTTATAAAACATTGTAAAGACACGAGAGAAACCACACACACATTTTGTATCTGCTGCCCCACAAAAGCGGTGGCGCTTACTCTGACCACCTAAAAACCCAAATGAAAATAAATTTCAATAAACATTAACTATTGATAAAACGGAGACGTCGCCGCAATCAGTTTTCTGCCTTTCCAAATGCCGGTGATAACGTACGCATGCCGCTGATAACGACTATACTTTCATTAGCAAGAAAGTACTTTTATGAGAAACTTGAACGGGATTTTTTATTATGGTACGAAGAAAATGGAATTTGAATTTTAAAAAGCTTATCATTTAAAAAAAAAAGTTTTAAATAAAATGAAGAAACTATAATTTTTAACCGATATGTTAGTGTTTTTTTACTCATCTTAATTTTAAAGTTTTAATTGGTAAAAATTAAAAAAGAAAAAATTTCAAAAAAAATTATTTTTTATGTTTTTTATATTTTTTAAGATTTTAACTGCTAAAAACAAAAAATTGAAATCAATGTTTTTATTAAATGTGAATTAAGCTAAGTCATTTAAATAACGTAACTTGAGTCTATTAATTTTTTATTTGGTTTTATAAGTATAGAAATAAGAAAAAATTCACGTTCGCAGGAAATCTTGTCATATCTGATCCGGTGTCATCTCTAACAGATAAATCGCTTTACAACACTGAATTCGACTCATTTTCGATATCTTTTATTATCGACTTTCAAAAGAATTCTAAATTATTTAAAATTAGGAGAATTATAAACTTTTCTTTAGAAGAAATAACCAGAGAAATAGTAAGCTTTGCTATGTGAAATCCTGATTATTTTTTTATTTTTTGAGGAAAATATACCAATCATTTTCATAAGTTATAAAATTTAGAATAATATATTTTTGTTTTAGAAATCACACATGTTTTTCCCTCATTTAGTCAACATCAATATCAAAGTATACTGATAAATTTGCAACCCACTTTTTAATTCCGTCATCCATATCGAGAGTCAGCATATAGTTTCCCTTTGGTAATGGAACCTTTACAAACATGCCGTCATGCAAGGTGCAGTTTTTCACGTAAACATCATTCTAAAACGTTTAAAATAAAATAAATTTTTAATTATTATTAGAGGTATTAGTAATAACTACTCACATTGAAGGGACAAGTATGATTGAGGTTGGAAAATGGCTGAAATGCGTTGTAAAACCAGTAGAAGACATCCAAGCGATTCGGATGCTTCATTGATCGACAGAGCTCTTTAGAAACATTGAATAGAAACGGATGGTAGCCGCTGAGCTTCCGAAAAGCGTTGAATCGCATTACCATTCTGTTTAATGGTAATTTCAGTAACTTCACATGGATATTCGCGGCTATAATTCCCCTTCCAAGGACTTTCAGTCGGCATTCGGGAAAGTCTATGTACGATTTGTCAAAGCTTTCGCACTTGAGATTGGTAAAACGCACATATTCGTGGGATTTTCCAACAAAGAGGAGGCAGATCCAAAGGAGAAACTTCATCGCCGCTGTTAGCCTGAGCGCACTAACCAATTTTATTCAATGCTAACCTATTATAATACCGTTTTGGTTACCCTAAATGGAGCTTAATTGAATTTTAATAACTAAATAATAAAGCAAAACTTTCTGATGTGTATCACATTTTAAGCGTTAACAAATTTTCGACTTGCGTATTAAAAATTAAGTCATAATAAAGATCGACGAACCTTAATAATAAGTAAACAAATAAATTTAGGCGTGGACTGGTGATGATTACAGATAACACTAGTTTACAAAATAATATTCTTGGAGAGCTCCAAAGCAATTGATGGCAAATTCTGTTAGTGTTCGACCCCCAAATCACGAAAATACCACTAATTTTTTTTTCGATGGCACAGTTTTTTTTTAAGATTTTTTAAAGTTCAAAATGTTAAATATCGGACTTTTTTCGAATTTCTTCCTATATCTCGGCAAATATCCACCCAATTGGGCCAGTTTTTGTTTCATTATAAAGTAAATAGATCAGAGCTTAACTTTGTAATGGCAGTGCAGCAGCTCGACAAAGATGAAAAATGTGTTTTTTGGTTCTCTGAAAAAATCCGTTGAAAAATTATAATGGGTACAAACTTAAAGTTTACATGCCACCGGACAAAACAACCCAAGTATGGCCCAAATTCATAAAAAATCACTATGGACGGCCGTCCATGTAGTGACGAAGCGCACCAGAAGAGTGTGCGAAGGCGACTACTATATATACACGAAGAAATGAAAATCTACTGTGATGGTCCGATCATAATGAATAATACACCTATCGAAAGGTATTGCGAAAACTAACAGGATTGCATACCAAGACTTTAAGAAAATCAATTGGCTTGGGAGAGAGAGCGGTGAAAGTGAAAATTTCTAAATTTGGAGCTGTTGGGGCCGGTGGGGATAAATGCCCCCTCGCAATGTTTTAGTTGTATTCCTTTTGAAAATACCCGTCGAATGAGGGGTCATTTGTCAAAATCCGACTCTCCGTTCAAAAGTTATAGCCAAAATAAGATTTTCTTCTTCTTCCCAAAATAAAAATTTAATTCTGTTTGTCAGTTTGTCAGTTTGTCCAAAATATGTTTTTTAAAACTTATGTTCTGATATAAAAAACTTATGTTCTACCACTTTTGGAAAAACCCGCTAGTTTAGCGGGAAAACAGCTATAAATAGCTAAAATTCTATAACTTCTAACTTCTATACTACTAAAACTACAGACTTGTGCTGCATCTCGTTTGAAAGGTATTTTTAAATGCTATAAACGCCTTCTATATGCAATTTGTGTAAATGTAATAGTTAAAAAGATATGAACAAAAGATAATTTGTTTAAACTTTTTTTTTTAGCTTTTTTTTTAATTTTCTCAAAAACGGCTCTAACGATTTTCTTTAAAACCTTAAACTGTATAGCCCTTGAGATTCCTTAAATTTTGGTATATAACACATTACTGTAAAAAGTCACGTTTAAAAGTTATTTTTATTCGAAAATATCCACTTTTGCCAGCTCGAACAATTAACGCTCCCTGAGTATTGAATTTTGTGGGAGGCTATCCGAACTGTATTTTAGGGTCATGGAATCAGTAAATTTGCACTTAAGAGTTCCATATAGGAATCTTTTGTTCTACGACTTTTGGAAAAAGCCGCTACTTTAGCGGGAAAAAGCTAAAAATAGCTAAATTTCGTTAGTTTGTAAGTTCTACACTACTAAAGGTACAGACATGTGCTATACCTCGTTTAAAAGGTATTTTGAAATACTTCAACGCCTTTTTAACTCAATTTGTTAAAATACAATAGTTTAAAAATTATGATTGACGAATTTAAATTTAAATGTATATATTAGCTCCTATGAGAGCAAATGTAAACAAACAAAAATTTCTGATATCAAATAAAAACACCTCTTAACGAGGTAAAAAACTAGTGACGATCGCGCCTTCAACATACAAAAGTTCTGATATCAACATTTGTGACGAAAAATTATTACACTTGTCATTAAATAGACTTTCTAATATTTTCTCATTCGGCACGCTGCAATAGAAAATGCCTGTGAAGGGAAAAAGGCTGGAATAGTCTGCTAGGGCGGGCCGAATGAGAAAATATTACACTCAAAATAAAATTAACCCTAAAGTCAAGGAAATCGCCCTACTTTTGTCTTCAAGACAAGCTCGCCCTAAATTTTAGGGTCACATTTTTCTATATTTTTGATTTTTTTGACGTCATATTTCTAAATTTTAGGGTAATTTTACTAAATTTAAGGGCAAAAATTTCTAAAAAGTAGGAAATTTTCCTAAAAAATTGAAATTAAAAACAAAACAAAAAAACATGTTCAATCATGATTTTTTTTGTATATATGTACGTTTATATTATGTACTCCTCCCTATATACATATGCAGGCGTTGTGTGTCTTGTATATTGTGAATGTTAAAGGTTATGTATTTATTATTATGTATTTGCGCTTGGATTTCTTATCTAACCAAAGCCAAATTTGGTTGTAAATGTGGACTACGGGACTGCGGAAGATTGGGAATGTAGAAATTATGATTAGTTAATATTTTATCTTCATGAAAAAAACTTACATTTTTACTTGTCCGTCGGTGAGAATCGAACCCAGGTCTCCCGCGCGAGGAGCGAACGGCCTACATACTGGGCCATTGTAGCACTTAAATTTGCTGTGGCAAACCGAGCATTGTATGTAAAGGGTCAAGCGGACAACACATTTGAATACTAATTGCATAATTTTGACCATTCGCGTTTTACTTATTTACATACATATATACATATGTATATATTTATGCTATCGCAATTTATATTATGTGAAATATATAGTAAATAGCTGAATATAAACCAAATTATTTTCGGTTTACCGCTTGCCATCAATAAAAAAAGGAATAAAAAAAAAAGAGTATAAAAACAAATTTAAAAAAAATACAACAAAAAAAATTAAAAAAAACTTAAAAAAAAGGTAAAAAATAGTTTGCTCTGGGACTCGAACCAGGGTCGATTCGATTTCTAACCAAGCGCTTTAACCGTCTGCGCTACGAGTACAGCCGCCCGGCAACTGACAAGTTCTGGCATTGAACATTTTGGTGTGCCAGAGCATGTGAAAACAACTATTTCTATTTTTTAGAAAAACTTTCTATTTTTTAGAAAATGTTTCTATTATTTAGGGTTAGCTTAATTTTAGGGTTAGGGCACTCATATTTAGAAAGGGTGCTGCCAAAATACTTTATTATTTTCGTTTGCCTTTCTATTTTTCAGAAAATAATTTCTAATTTTAAGGGCATTTTTTCTAGATTTTAGGGTGATTTTAGTTCATGGTAACCATTTTCTACATTTAAGAAAAACTTCCTGGATTTAAGGAAAACTTTCTTGACTTAAGAAAAATTTCCTTAGATTTAGAAATAACTTTCTTGTATTTAGAAAAAAGAAATTTTAATGGCGATTTTCTAAAATTTAGGGTTAAATTTATTTTGAGTGTAGAAAGTCTATTTAATGACGAGTGTAATAATTTTTCGTCACAAATGTTGATATCAGAACTTTTGTATGTTGAAGGTGCGGTCGTCACTAGTTTTTTACCTCGTTAAGAGGTGTTTTTATTTGATTGAATTTATGGTGGATTTTTAAAGTTCGGATTTTTCAACTTTTTTCGGTTGACAAAGTTCAAATTTTAGTTTTATCCTAGGCGGCGACATGTAAACAAAAATGAGTGGTGATGGCAGCCGGGTCAAAAAATAACTAAATCAGATATTTAAAAGCTAGAAAATTATAAAAATGAATTTAATTTTTAAAAATTCCTTAAAAAATATAAAATTGCTTGCGTTATGACTGTGAGTATTTTTAATAAGTAATATCCATTTGAATAAATCATTCTTATGAAATAACCATACTTTCAAAAAAAGCATGCTTTTTCTAATAAGTACTGCAGTATCAAAAAACGAAAATAAGACTACGAATAAAAAAAGAGGATTGTGCTTGTGATTGTGTGTGATAATGAATAAAATTAAGGAATACAATTGCTTAAATGGCCCAGAGACTTTTTGCAATGTGTGTGGTAAATTTATTATGAGCAATACATTTCGACCCTTTGACAGTGAGGTAGAAGATCGATATTTCCTCTACTTTCGCATTAAACCAAATCTTGAAGAGGCTTGGACACCGAGGAGAATTTGCGAATATTGCCGCTTGACATTACTTAAATGGAGCGAAGGCAAACGGTATGTTTTTGTTAAAAAATCTTAAAAAAAAAACTGTGCCATCGAAAAAAAAAATTAGTGGTATTTTCGTGATTTGGGGGTCGAACACTAACAGAATTTGCCATTAATTGCCTTGGAGCAGTTTGGCTGTAAACTAGTGTAATGGGTCGAACACCTCGTTTTTTAGTAAAACTTGTGAAAATAAAGTAATAACAAAAATACGTTAACAATATAAATAAGTTCTGTACAAAATTTTAAAGCTTTAAATAATAAAATCGGCGCGCAAGAAAGTTGATTGATATCGATAGAACAATAATCATTAAAGTATACTAAAAATACTAAACAGTATATACTACAAGCCGGCGTTACGTAAAACTTTCGCTTACGTTCTTGGTGATGGGACAAAAACATAGAAAATTTTAAAACATCGAATGTTTCCCCACCTCTAACAGCGATCGCCGCTCTCTCTCTCTCTCTGGCGTTACGTAAAACTTACACTTACGTTTGCTTACGTTTTGACACTTACGTTATTGGTGATGGGACAAAAGCATCGATTGTGGCAAAAAGCATCGATGACTAGAAAATGTTAAAGCATCGATGTTTCTATTGATGTTTCTCCACCCCTAACAGCGATCGCCGTTTGTTTTCGATTAAAATTTCTCGCTGCAAGTTCGTTTCGTTTCGTCTCGTCTCCGATTCGCGGCAAATAAACAAATGACCAAAAGGCTAAAATGGCCAAAAGTCTGTAGTGCGATTACCTGTTGCTCGGTTGACTTTGTGCCGCTGGAAAAGCGAACAATCAGCGCGCTGCACTTTTCCCTCGATTTGCTGGTGCGTGACCTATTTATGTAACCTGTTTTCAAAAAGAATATCCCATATCCCGCTTTCGACTGGTCGAAAAAAGTGTTAATTAAACGGCAATACCTGGCCAATATACATACAGCCACGGTTCAAAGAGTGCAAAAGTTCTGAGGCAACAATTAAGGTAGAGAGTGATTGGAAAAAAGAAAAGAGTGCATTAACCCTGCAAGTCGGTGTGTGTGTGACTGTTGTTGGGGCTAGAAGAGCCAGCGAGGGAAAATGGAAATGACAAGGGTCACAGCATCTCAGTGTAGTTTAAGTATCATCGATTTTATTAGTTTTTTTTGTTTTAAACGAGACGAGACGAAGACGTGGCTGCATTGCATTTTTATTGCTTTGAGCGGCTGACCAAATTAAATAGCTACGCTTCAGGTTTCGTTGGCTAGAACGGTACTAACATGCACACTACAAACGCAGCCCCACTCTCTCGCACTCACACACATGCCGCAGAGGTACAGGTACACCTGCCGAAGAACGGCAGAGCGAGCGAGAGGGGAGATGCGTAAGAGCGGCTCACAGTGCAACACATTCATGGGTGCCTTGCCCCCTTTCCACCCGCCCATACCTTTCCTAGCCATCGCTCTCTCTCTCTTGCCCATTTCCTCTCTCCTTGAGCTTGAACCAGGCTTCCACACTGCAACTATTTTTTAATAAATGGAACCGCTTTAATCTGTTAAAAATTAAAAACAATTTTATATTTTCCAGTTGAAACTTGGAAATTGAAATTTTCAAAAATGAGTATTTGACCTTTTTTCTATTTTAATTGGAAATTCAAAATGATTTCTATTCGTTAACTGATTTCTTATCAAAGGTTGATAAAACACATCTATAAATTTACTTTGTAGTAAAATTTCTACTTCTAATCGGAAATGAAAGTTTCGAAAATTAGTATTTCACCTTTTTTCCATATCAATTGGAAATTCTGGTGCAGAGTTCAAAATAATTTCAATATTCCTTTATTGATCTCTTATTGAAGGTTTATTAAACAACAGCAATTATTTTTGAAAATAAATATTTAAAAAATATGTAAAATGTACATTTTCTTCCTGTGCAGCGGTCAAGAATTCTCAAATTGACAATAGCAACAAAAGCAACAACAACAACGAGGCAGACACACTTGTTTGTCCGGTTTGTTGTTTTTGCTGTTGCACAACGGGACATTTCGTGTGTGGACAATTGGAAAAACCCTTTTTCAAATAAACGCTTTTCATTAGCCGGTTTTTGTTTCTTCTCTCCCATCTCAACCTTTTTTTTTTTGCGTTTCCATTTGGGTTGTTGGGTTCCATTAATGTTGTGTTGCTGTTGTTGTTGTGGTTTTTGTTGTTGTTGTTGCTGGGGGCTTTCGCGCACGCAGCGACTTTCTGTTTGTTTGGTGAAACTTTTTTAAGGTCTTCTCTAAATACATAATAAAAAAAATGAACATAATACTTTGCCCAGTTTTTCTTTGCTGTTGTTGGTGAGTCGTTATTTTTTTTTTTAGAAGATTTAAGTTGTAAAACCAGAAACAAATTGTGTGAAAAGATACTAGGCTTTGGGAAAAAGAATTTTAATGGCAAATGACACAAAGTTGGAAAGAAAGATATTGCTAAAAATTTAAATTACAGTTGTTTATATAAAATAACCCAAAAATAAATCAGAAACTTAAAATGTAGGTCTAAAAAAATTATTTTGAAAGGGGTTCCATTAAGATTTATAAATCATACTATTAATAATTTAAAAGGTTTATTATATGAATATTATATTTTGTAATTAATTTATGGAATACAAAATCATTGGTCCAATAAACAAATTTTTTTAAAAATACTTCGGTCCAATAACCCCAATAAATAAACTTAACACTAGCTGAATGAACCGAACCCCAGATTAGATTATCATTTCATGTGTGTCGATTTAGACGAACCTACATATGTTGTTTCGCTGTTTATACCACAGATTGCTCAAAAAGTGACAACAACGCGGTGTCAAGTGTCAAAGTCAAAGTGAACAAAAAGTGGGTACATTAAACAATTGGTATTAGCGCGATATATGTATCGTAGATACTATGTGTCTATATGTAGAGTAGATGGCATAAACCGTAATTGTACGTGGCAGCCACACACGAACTTTCACTAATGACTCTCGATGAACTTTTGGATCACTCGCAACACAACTCGAAACGCACTCTCTCAGTCACACATATTATATATCGTAGGTATTCCGTATATATGCACTTAGAGACGTGCCAATCGTGTGCCATTGAGGGAATTATCATTATCATGATCCCAAGCAGAATCTGCCGAGACGGAAATTCTTAGACACTCTTCTGGCTCGATTCTTACGATTCTTAATCGTTTTTGGTCATGCCCAGAGATATATGTCAGCCGTACCCCTCGAAAATTTACACCTTGTTTAATGTTTTTTTGCTTATCTCTACCTGCACTTCGGTGAGCTACGATAACAGCAGTATGGGCATTAAGCAATCATTTTTAAATAATTTTAGGTATGACTGTGTTTAGTTAAAGTGCTGTCTTAAATTCGAAGAACTTGGGAACTATGATATGGCTTTTCTAGAAAAACTAGATAGAGCTAACATTGTTTTAAATAATATTAACATTTTCCGGTCTCTAAGTAATTTTTAAATAATTCCAGATATTGAAGAATTTGGAATATATTAATTGTATTTTGAGAAAAACTAAATATAACTATTGTTAGATAAAATACTGAAATTTTCCGGGTTCTACAAAGATATTCAAGGTATAACCGACTTTGTTTATGGGTTAAAGAATTATACTATCATATTGGGTACTGATAACAGTACAGCTAATATTGGGCAATATTATTTAATACTTAAAGTTCGTTTGTACTCAGATAATTGCCTGAACTCTAACCAACAATTCAGGTTGCTACATATATAGTCGGGTTTTGAGTGTGGATCGCGGTAGATGGGTTCCCTATGTGCATTGGACTTGTATTTTGACCGGCAGAGCGTAACCAGACTGGTATGTGTGCGAGTATACGTGCCGCCGTGTGCCACTAAATTTGGTTGCTCTTGCCGTTTTTTGTCTGGCATGTTGCAATTACTATGGAGAGGAAGAGGAGAGACGCCTCCAAAATGAGTAACTATACTATACTATACCATACTATACCATTCCGCTGCGGCGGCAGCCGTTAGTCCATGTGTTAAATGATGGATGGGGTGTCCAATTGAAAGGCGGTTTCGATGGTAACCGACTGGGAAATGACGCCAGCGAGAAATTCTGATTCATGGCTGGCTTGGAAAATGAAGCAGTTGGGTTTTAAAAGCCGATCTACATGCTGATTGCATTGCGCAGATTAGATGAGTTTTCCTGTGGTTTTCAAGTGATTAAATAAATGCATCTTTTAAGATGATAAATGGAATTAAAGACCAACAATCGTAAAACCTTGTTTTATCTTACTCTTATGGTCTTGATTTAAAAAGTATCTAGAACCGGTCAACAGTTTTCATTTAGTAGAGCACTTTTTTTTAGGAAAGGACAGAAGGAAAATTCGATATGATTCAAACATATGAACTTGATATTTTATCCTTTCATAAAAGCTATAAAAATACTGTTTTAAAATACCAAATGCTGTATATTTTGAACAAATATTGTAAAATAAGATCAATATAACATTAATTCGTATCAAAATGATATGAACAACTAATCTTTAAAAAATATTAAACTAACTTGCACATATTAATCTGATCTTTTGATAATTTTTTTTCTGTGTATAAATTGTATGGGTTAATTCATGAAATTATTAAAGTTCTTTAAGGTACTATTGTTATAGCTTAAATTATTTTTAATATTTATTTATATTGTATTGATAAGTCTTGTTTTCCTTAAGCAATATTCGTCAATGTCAACACCTTTCAAAGTAAAGATGGTGCGAAGTTTTCTATTGCCTAAATCGAAAATATTGTTAAATTACCGCCATGCCGTACAAAGTAATGAAAGTAAATATTTTCAATGAAAACCAAGTAATTTGCATAACAAACGCAGCTCATTGAGACCTTCGATTTCGGTTAGACCCTCTTTTTTCGGGGCGATGGTTCTCGTATCCATTGGATTGTTTGCCCCGACTGAAGTTAAAAAGTGAAAATAGCTCGATGGCCTTTTTTGCATGTCTAAAGGTTTAAAGGTTTATATTATTTTTTTTTTTAAGATCTACGGTCACGTATTGGTTTTGGTTTCCCTAGTTTGAGAAGAGAAGAAAAGAAGTATCGAAAGTATGATTTTTATGGATGTGTGGATTTAAGACTGATGACTAATTTGTTGTTGTTTTTGTTTTGTTAATGAGTTGCCACTTTGGTCAGCGACTTGGTTGTTGGCCAAATCGAGGAAAGAAAGACGTTTACCTCAAAGCTAGGAAAGCGCTGATACCAAGAGCAACAAAGACCACAAACGAAGACAGCGACAAGTTGTGAATTCTTTCAATTTACCGTAAACTTCACCTTAATTTTTTTTCCCCCAAGCCGGTTTTATTTGCCGCAGGCGCTAACTTGTATTTTGTTGTTCTTATTGTTGTTCATGTGGTTGTTCACTAACTCTTCCACTGGTTCTCTTTTGGAACAGAAAAGTAATACAGCAGCAGCGAAGAGGAACGAGGGAACGAAGGAACTTGGTATCTGGATGCCAACCCATCAGGATCAGTAAATGAAGGAGGACGAATATGGTGATTGTAACACGTGTAAGTATTTCATTCCCCATTAGCAAGGGATATTGTGGGGGTATCATTCCTTATCCGGCCATCTCCATCTATCTCACTTTTCCCGTACTACTAACTAACCCGACAGAAGCAAAAAGCGGAAGTTCCACGCCATGCCTCACTTCAACTCCCATTACTCTTGCCACACAGTGGTGGATGGAAAAAGTTGTACAGGGAGAAGGGAACAACAGGTTGCTTAAATCAACAGGTTCTTAATTGTTAGTTAATTTTTGAAGTTGCCTTTTGGTACAATTTAATCGTAATAACTTATTGTACTACTTAAACTCTTTAACTTTTTATCGTAGAAATCCATACTTTATATTTGTAAACAGATCTATTATAATATATCATACTACTGTAGTTGAGTATATTTTAGAAATTAAAAAAAAGTAGGATAATATTTGGCTGTTATATTTTTAAATATTTATTTATTACACCCACAAAGATCTTGAACCTTCATTGAAAGATCCCTATTTAGAAATCAAAAACTCCATTTATATATTATCTTAAATATCTAAAACTTGTTTCAAATTATGTACTTATAAAAAATTGATTTTTAAATCCAGTTTTAATAACTTTGAAAAATCCTGTTTTATAAATCTGAAAATCCAGTTATTTCTTATCTAAAATCTTTAAAACTAATTTTTAATGTTATACCTAAAAACTATATTTTTACTCAAGTTCTAATAACTACTTTGATCTTAACCTTCTGTAAAATAGTTTTATTGCAAAAGAACTTGAAATACCTCCCACCTATCAATTTATTTCCGCCCATCACTGTGCATTGCTCATGTCTGTCCCTGGTATCACTATTTTCGTTGCGTTCCGCTCAACTGACTCTTACAACAAACAGCACAGTCTTTATGGCCCCCATGTCCATGGCAACCGAATGCGGCAGGCCTCGTAAAGAACTGAATGTCAAATTGTAAAATCGTAAAATTGAAAAATGGTAAAAAATTGAACAAAAAATTGTAATTACGCTCTTTTTTTGATCGGCAGGGTGACTACATCTGGATAGAGCCCGCCTCGGGGCGAGAATTCGATGTGGCCATTGGAGCACGTGTCGTCTCCGCGGAGGGTCGTCGCATCCAGGTGCGCGATGACGATGGCGACGAGGTGTGGCTGGCACCGGAGCGCCGCATCAAGGCCATGCACGCGTCCTCCGTCCAGGGAGTGGAGGACATGATATCCCTGGGTGATCTGCACGAGGCTGGCATCTTGCGGAATCTGCTCATCAGATACAAGGAGAATCTTATATACGTGAGTAGTAACCTATGAATATTGCAAAGCAAAAACTCTATAATAAATCATTAACCTTTATTTATAACATAATTAACTAAAAGGGATTTAATTCCCAATTAATTAAAAGGGATTTAATTATTCTTATTAAAAAAAGTAGTAATGCTATTTAAAAATATTTATATTGTCAGTATGGCCAAAAAAAAAAAAAATCTAGAATAAATCATTACTTATAACCTAATTAATTAAAAGGGATTTAATTCTTCTTATTAAAAAAAGTAGTATTGCTATCCAAAAAAAATATCTAAAACTTAAATAATGAACATAAAGTAATAAAAGCTCGTTAAGATTCAATTATGTTGCTCCATCACTCATTAAATTATAGATATAAATTCTTATCTTGTCCATTCAATATTAAATTATTTTTAGTTTATTTTTCCTATATATTTGTTATCGCGCAACATATATAAGCTTTATTTCTGTTTATCATACAAATTTTTATATAAAAAACAAAGAATTCGTGTATTGGGATCAACTATGGTATTAATTTAATGTTAATATGCTATTTTAGATGATTTCCGAATATGAGTTTTTCTTTAGTTTTCTACCGGTTTTATGGTTATGAAATATAAATATAAACGCCCTTCTTTCTCCCTACTTTCAGACATACACCGGCTCCATATTGGTTGCCGTTAATCCCTACCAGATCCTGCCCATCTACACGGCCGATCAGATAAAGCTCTACAAGGAGCGTAAAATCGGAGAGCTGCCGCCGCACATCTTTGCGATTGGGGACAATGCGTATGCGCACATGAAGCGCTATCGCCAGGATCAGTGCATCGTGATTTCGGGAGAGTCGGGAGCTGGAAAAACGGAGAGCACCAAGCTGATCCTGCAGTATCTGGCTGCGATTAGTGGCAAGCACTCGTGGATCGAACAGCAAATTCTCGAGGCGAATCCTATACTAGAAGCATTCGGAAATGCCAAGACCATACGCAATGATAATTCTTCAAGGTAAAAGTAATATAATAATTTATTATCTGATCTTGTGTATTAATTAAAATGATATTTTGAATACAGGTTTGGCAAATACATAGATATACACTTTAGCGCCAATGGCGTGATCGAGGGAGCCAAGATCGAACAATATCTGCTGGAGAAGTCACGAATTGTTTCCCAGAATCATAGCGAACGCAATTATCATGTATTTTACTGCATATTGGCTGGACTTTCCTCGGATGAGAAGAGTCGCCTTGATTTGGGCATGGCGGCGGACTATAAGTAAGGTTTCTTTATACACAGAAAAAAAAAATGGTAATGGTCAATTTGATACTTTTTAAAGATCAAGTTATTCATATCATTTTGATATGAATAAAGATTATGTTAATCTTTTTTACATTATTTGCTCAAAAAATACTACATTTTGTATTTTTGATGATCTGATAAAATTTCATATCGGTTCTTTTTCTGTGTAGTCTCATAATATTTAGAACTGAATTTAATTTAATTTAAATTCTTATAGATATCTGACTGGTGGCAATAGCATCACTTGCGAGGGACGTGACGATGCCGCCGAATTCTCCGACATTCGATCCGCCATGAAGGTTCTGCTCTTCTCGGATTCAGAAATCTGGGAGATTATCAAGCTGCTGGCTGCCCTGCTGCACTGCGGCAACATCAAGTACAAGGCGACGGTGGTGGATAATCTGGATGCCACCGAGATACCGGAACACATAAATGTGGAGCGGGTTGCTGGACTACTAGGACTACCTATTCAGCCGCTAATTGATGCCTTAACCCGTCGCACGCTCTTTGCTCATGGCGAAACAGTGGTGTCCACTTTGTCGCGGGATCAATCGGTGGATGTGCGGGATGCCTTTGTGAAGGGAATTTACGGCCGAATGTTTGTGCACATTGTGCGAAAGATCAACACGGCGATTTTCAAGCCGCGCGGCACTTCACGCAATGCCATCGGCGTTCTGGACATCTTTGGCTTCGAGAACTTCGATCAGAACAGCTTCGAGCAGTTCTGCATCAACTATGCCAATGAGAATCTGCAGCAGTTCTTTGTGCAGCACATTTTCAAGTTGGAGCAGGAGGAGTACAACCACGAGGCCATTAATTGGCAGCACATTGAGTTTGTGGACAATCAGGATGCCCTCGATTTGATAGCCATTAAGCAGCTGAATATTATGGCTTTGATCGATGAGGAGGCGCGGTTTCCCAAGGGCACGGATACCACGATGCTGGCCAAGCTGCACAAAACCCATGGAGCGCACAAGAACTATCTGAAGCCCAAGTCGGATATTAATACGAGTTTCGGACTGAATCACTTTGCAGGCGTTGTATTCTATGATACGCGTGGTTTCCTGGATAAAAACAGGGACACCTTTAGTCCGGATCTATTGCATTTGGTCAGCCAGAGTGGCAACAAGTTCCTTCGCCAAATCTTTGCCCAGGACATTGAAATGGGTGCCGAGACGAGGAAGCGAACGCCGACGCTATCTACTCAGTTCAGGAAATCCCTCGATGCGCTGATGAAAACGCTCTGCAGTTGCCAGCCCTTCTTTATACGTTGTATTAAACCGAATGAGTTGAAGAAACCGATGATGTTCGATCGTGGTTTGTGCTGTCGTCAACTGAGATACTCTGGCATGATGGAAACCATAAGGATTCGCCGCGCTGGCTATCCAATCAGACATGGCTTCAGGGAGTTTGTGGAGCGCTATCGCTTTTTAATACCCGGTGTACCGCCGGCGCATCGCACGGACTGCCAGGCGGCCACCTCGAGGATTTGCGCTGTTGTGCTCGGCAAATCGGACTATCAGCTGGGACACACAAAGGTCTTTCTGAAGGATGCCCACGATCTGTTTCTGGAGCAGGAACGGGATCGCGTGCTGACGCGAAAGATACTCATCCTGCAGAGAAGCATAAGGGGATGGGTATATCGCAGAAGATTCCTGCGACTGCGAGCCGCTGCCATCACCGTGCAGAGATTCTGGAAGGGCTACGCGCAGCGCAAGCGTTACAGGAATATGCGCGTGGGCTATATGCGTTTGCAGGCCCTGATTCGCTCGAGAGTCCTCTCCCATCGCTTCCGCCATTTGAGGGGACATATCGTTGGTCTGCAGGCCCATGCCCGCGGCTATTTGGTGAGGAGGGAATATGGTCACAAGATGTGGGCCGTAATCAAGATTCAGTCGCATGTGCGACGCATGATTGCCGTGCGTCGGTATCGCAAGCTGCGTCTGGAGCACAAACAATTCGCGGAGGTTCTGCAGCTGCGCAAGCTGGAGGAGCAGGAGCTGCTGCATCGCGGCAATAAGCATGCCAGGGAAATTGCCGAGCAGCATTATCGGGATCGTTTGCACGAGCTGGAGCGTCGGGAGATCCAGGAGCAGCTCGAGAATCGCCGGCGTGTGGAGGTCAACATGAATATTATCAATGATGCGGCAAGGAAACAGGAGGAGCCGGTCGACGATGGCAAGCTGGTGGAGGCCATGTTCGATTTTCTGCCCGATTCCAGTAGCGATGCCCCCACTCCGCATGGCGGCAGGGAAACCTCGGTGTTTAACGATCTGCCTCATGCGCAAAATGTCAACCAGGAGGATATCATAGCACCCATACACATTTCCGAGGACGAGGAGGATTTGTCGGAGTTCAAGTTTCAGAAATTCGCCGCCACCTACTTCCAGGGCAATGTGAATCATCAGTACGCCAAGAAGGCTCTGAAGCATCCCCTGCTGCCGCTCCACACGCAGGGCGATCAGCTGGCCGCCCAGGCCTTGTGGATCACCATACTCAGGTTCACGGGTGATATGCCGGAGCCAAAGTATCATACGATGGATCGAATGGACACCACATCCGTAATGTCCAAGGTGACGGCCACTTTGGGGCGCAATTTTATCAGGAGTAAGGTGAGTTAAGGCTATAAGAATTAGGGTTCGGAAAATAGCACACACTGTAAAAAACTTTTTTTATTAACATGTTAAAGTCAAAGTGTTAGGGTCAAATAAAATTATTGACTTGTGTGTAGAAAATTGTATCCTACATATGGTAGAAACATAAATAACACACACATGTCATTTGTATTATTTACACGATGTTATATTAACACGACGTGTTTTTTACGCATCGTGTTTTAAACACAATGAACTGAAATGGTTAAAACTAACATATAAGAGATTATGGCCCATATTGGTTTTTCATTTTCCCTTCGACTCGTAATGTCTGTGAAATGTAATTTTCATTTGTGTTAAAAACACAGTGTGTAAAAGACACGTCGTGTTAAAAACACAGTGTAAAAAACACTAGTGAGCTTTTAACATTTTTGTATTTGACACACATGTCAAAAACTTTGCTCACACTGTAAAATACGATTTTTCATGTTTTTAACATGTGTGTCAATTTCCGATAAGAATTTTATAATATGTTACAAATTTTATAATAATATTTTTCTTATAGGAATTCCAAGAAGCGCAGCTCATGGGCCTGGATCCCGATGCCTTCCTCAAGCAAAAGCCGCGCTCCATTCGCCACAAACTAGTTTCACTAACGCTGAAGCGAAAGAACAAGCTGGGTGAGGATGTGCGTCGCCGTCTGCAGGATGATGAGTACACGGCGGATAGCTATCAGTCGTGGCTGCAATCGCGGCCCACCTCCAACCTGGAGAAGCTGCACTTTATCATTGGCCACGGCATCCTGCGCGCCGAGCTGCGTGACGAGATCTATTGCCAGATTTGCAAGCAGCTAACGAACAATCCACTGAAATCCTCGCATGCCAGGGGTTGGATTTTGCTTTCACTTTGCGTGGGCTGCTTTGCGCCGTCGGAGAAGTTTGTCAACTATCTGAGGGCCTTCATCCGCGAGGGTCCCCCAGGATATGCGCCCTACTGCGAGGAGCGACTGAAGCGAACCTTTAACAATGGCACCCGCAATCAACCGCCTTCTTGGCTGGAATTGCAGGCCACCAAATCGAAGAAGCCCATCATGCTGCCTATCACGTTTATGGATGGCAATACCAAGACTTTGCTGGCCGACTCCGCCACCACGGCGAGGGAATTGTGCAATCAATTGTCGGACAAGATAACCTTGAAAGATCAGTTTGGTTTCTCACTGTACATAGCGCTTTTCGATAAGGTCAGCTCGTTGGGAAGCGGTGGCGATCATGTGATGGACGCCATCTCGCAGTGCGAGCAATATGCCAAGGAGCAGGGCGCCCAGGAGCGGAATGCCCCCTGGCGTCTGTTCTTCCGCAAGGAGATCTTCGCCCCCTGGCACGAGCCCACCCACGATCAAGTGGCCACCAATCTCATTTACCAGCAGGTCGTGAGGGGCGTGAAGTTCGGCGAATATCGCTGCGACAAGGAGGAGGATCTGGCCATGATTGCTGCCCAGCAATACTTCATCGAGTACTCCACCGATATGTCGATGGAGCGGTTGTTCACCCTGTTGCCTAATTTTATACCCGACTTTTGTTTGAGTGGCGTGGACAAGGCCATCGAGCGTTGGGCCGCTTTGGTTCTGCAGGCCTACAAGAAATCCTACTACGTCAAGGACAAGATTGCGCCGCTAAAGATCAAGGAGGATATCGTCAGCTATGCCAAGTACAAGTGGCCCCTGCTCTTCTCCCGTTTCTACGAGGCCTATCGCAACTCTGGGCCGAATCTGCCGAAGAACGATGTAATCATAGCCGTCAATTGGACGGGCGTCTATGTGGTGGACGATCAGGAGCAGGTTCTGCTGGAATTAAGCTTCCCCGAGATCACTGCCGTCTCCAGTCAGAAGACCAACAAAGTGTTCACCCAGACTTTTAGTTTATCCACGGTTCGCGGCGAGGAGTTCACGTTCCAGAGTCCCAATGCTGAGGATATTCGAGATCTAGTTGTCTACTTCTTGGATGGCCTGAAAAAGCGGTGAGTTAGGAAATGCTTAAAGTACCTAGAATCTGGGTTCGGAAATTGACACACATGTCAAAAACATAAAAGATTTTATTTTTCATTTTTTAAATGTGAGAAATAATTGTTAACACACAGCTCCCTCGTGTTTTTTACACACTGTGTTTAACACAAATGAAAATTACATTTTACTGACATTAACGAGTCGAAGGGAAAATGAAAAACTAATTTGGCTCCATTTAAAAGCTTATATAAATTCATATACTTTAAAAAACCATGAATTTTTCAGTTAAACATATAATTCAGACGCTTTAATAACTCATTTTGTTAAAAACACGCTGTGTAAAAAACACGTAATGTAAATAACACATATGACATGTGTGTATTATTTATGCTTCTAACATATGTAGGATACAATTTTTTACACACAAGTCAAAAACTTTTTTGGAACTTAAGGGGTTATATACCTTTTTTTTTTCAAAAAAACGAATTTTTTTTTTTTGCTGAATCCTAAAGTATATCCCCTAGAGAACATCTTCCCAAATTTTCATACAGATCCGACTAATAGTTCGATAGGAAAACAGCGTTTTGACGCGCTCGACTTCAATAGTTGCAACGTCAACGTAAAACTTTGAATTCGATTATCTCAAAGTCGTGTTTTTCCAAAAGTGCTTTCGCTGTGACCACGATTGCGCAAGAACTATTCGATCGATCTTCTTCAATTTTTTTTAAATTATTCGTAATGATTGTGCCGAGTTCGTGAACGATTTAGTTTTTATGCGCCAATTTTAATTTCGCAGATCAGAATTTTTTAATAAAATTTTTAGAACTCGAAAAATCAACTTTTTGGAAAAATTGTTACTGTATGCAGAAAAAAGCAAATATTCTTAAAAATAATCGTTCACGAACTGGATATAATACTATACTAACTAAAAATTTTTGGTTTTTTGATATAAGTTGACCTGCTGGACTTCCATCGTGGTCACCGCAAGCCGCTATAAAAAAAAAGGGTTCCGAAAGAATTGCCATAACTTCGTAAATTATTCATATTTTTTCAAGAACAAAGGTTTGTTGTTTCGATAAAAACATGTACTATCAATAAATAATAACTTCACTGTCATAAAATAATCGCTACACACCAAAAAAAAATCCAAAGTTCCCTCAATTTTTTCGCTCAAAAAAGGTATATAACCCCTTAACACTTTTACATTTAACATGTTTTTTACAGTGTGTGTTATTTTCCAAACACTGCCTAGAATATCATAACTGATTTTCCCTTTCCAGATCGAAATTTGTTATAGCCCTGCAGGACTATCGTGCTCCATCGGATGGAACGAGTTTTCTGTCCTTCTTCAAGGGCGACCTTATCATTCTGGAGGATGAATCTTGTGGCGAGTCCGTGCTGAACAACGGTTGGTGCATAGGACGCTGCGATCGCTCCCAGGAACGTGGTGATTTCCCAGCCGAAACGGTGTATGTTCTGCCCACGCTCAGCAAGCCACCGCAGGATATTTTGGCCTTGTTCAACATCGAGGAGGCTCACCACGGCCGGCGACTTAGTATGGCCTCGAATGGCGGGGCTGTGGAGCCCAGAGATCGACCGCATACGTTGATGGAATATGCCCTCGATCATTTCCGTTTGCCGCCCAAACGAACCATGTCGAAAACTCTAACCCTAAGTTCGAAACGCAGCGAAGAGCTGTGGCGCTACGCGCGGGATCCCATCAAGGCGCCCCTGCTACGCAAGTTGCAAAGCAAGGAGGAGTTCGCCGAGGAGGCCTGCTTCGCCTTTGCAGCCATACTAAAGTACATGGGAGATTTGCCCTCGAAAAGGCCGCGAATGGGCAACGAGATCACGGATCACATATTCGATGGACCGCTAAAGCATGAGATTTTGCGGGATGAGATCTATTGTCAGCTGATGAAGCAGCTGACGGACAACCGCAATCGGATGTCCGAGGAGCGGGGCTGGGAACTGATGTGGTTGGCCACGGGTCTATTTGCCTGCTCGCAGGGTTTGCTCAAAGAATTGCTTTTGTTCCTGCGCACGCGACGTCATCCCATTTCTCAGGTAAGAAAATCTATATATTTATAACTAAAGCTTGGTATTAAAATAAATTAATTTATAAACAGGACTCGATGCATCGACTGCAAAAGACCATACGTCATGGACAACGCAAATATCCGCCGCATCAGGTGGAAGTGGAGGCCATACAGCACAAGACCACGCAGATCTTTCACAAGGTCTACTTCCCGGACGACACGGACGAGGCCTTCGAGGTCGACAGCTCCACGCGGGCCAAGGACTTTTGCAATAATATCTCGCAACGTTTATCGCTGCGCACCAGCGAGGGTTTCTCACTGTTTGTCAAGATCGCCGATAAGGTCATCTCGGTGCCCGAGGGTGATTTCTTTTTCGATTTCGTACGCCATCTAACCGATTGGATTAAGAAGGCGCGACCCATACGCGATGGAGCCAATCCGCAGTTCACCTACCAGGTCTTCTTCATGAAGAAACTGTGGACAAACACAGTGCCAGGCAAGGATCGGAATGCCGATCTCATTTTCCACTACCACCAGGAGTTGCCCAAGCTGTTGCGCGGCTATCACAAGTGTTCCCGCGAGGAGGCGGCCAAGCTGGCTGCCCTCGTCTTCCGCGTGCGATTTGGTGAAAATAAACAAGAACTACAGGCCATACCGTGAGTTAATTTGATCTTTACTGCTGACTTTTTGTTAACGATATTATATATTTTATAGGCAAATGCTGAGGGAACTTATTCCATCGGATATCATGAAAATGCAGAGCACTAGCGAATGGAAGCGGTCGATTGTGGCCTCATATAACCAGGATGGCGGCATGACTTCCGAGGATGCCAAGGTGGCCTTCTTGAAGATTGTATATAGGTGGGTTCTATAAGTTACAAATTAATAAACTTGTCATCTTATATATTTTATATTTATTTTAACAGGTGGCCTACTTTTGGCTCTGCTTTTTTTGAGGTGAAACAAACCACCGAACCGAATTATCCCGAAATGCTATTGATAGCCATTAACAAACACGGCGTGAGTCTCATACATCCAGTGACCAAGGTAAGAAGTCTATTACTTTTATAAACTAATTAAATATTAGTAACAAACTTTATCCATTTTTAGGACATTTTGGTCACGCATCCATTTACACGCATCTCGAATTGGTCCTCGGGCAATACATATTTCCACATGACCATCGGAAATCTGGTTAGGGGCTCGAAACTGCTATGCGAAACGTCGCTCGGCTACAAAATGGACGATCTGCTGACTTCATATATTTCGTTGATGTTGACCAATATGAACAAAAATCGAACCATACGAGCCAACTAGTAAAACCTACAATTACCGCAAATATTTATAATAATTATAAATTACGATTGCAATAACTTATACACAAGCCTAGTACTTTATAGTCGTAAGTCATTCCTTATACACCCCCCGCCCACCCTTCGCTCTAATTGCATTCCCTTCGCAGAGAATTCATTCCAATTTTGGTCTTGTTCAGCTATCGATTATACCAAACCAATTTCCAAACTCGCGTTTTGTTTTTAGTTTTTGTTTTTTCTTTGTATAAATTTTGCAATTACTCTCTTAGGTATTCTTATGGCACACACATTCCGGTTAAATTATTAAATACGAGTGTTTTGTATGAAGAAAAGGTCTTACATATCCATGGATAAGCATTTGTATCTACGCATTTTGCACCTATCTCTTTGTATATCCTAACTGCATATCTGTACTGATGACGTTTTGTATCAAATACATAGAAATGTTCAATTATTTAATAAATTATATACAATTTAATGGGAATTTTTATTGATTGGGATGGGATGAAATCAATATACATAACTGCATATTGATTTTAAGTATTTCAAACTACTATTGGATATCAACAAGGGGAGAATACTGTATAAAATCAAAGAGTTTCACACGAATGGGTAACACCGGTTTATACACTGGATTCACGAAAAAATGTTTTTCAATGGCACAGTTTTTGTTTTATTTTATTGATTGATTTATTGATTGGAAACAAAAATCATCCTGATTGGATAAAAAAATCCTTTGAAAAATCTTTATCGATCCCAACTGGAAGGTTTCATCCAAGTTAATAAAATAATAAAAAAAAAACAAAATTCATAGTCCTATAACACAAGTTTTTCTTAAATATTTTAGAGTAATAAATAACATTTCGTATTTTGACATTTTTTTAAGTGTACTTATATCTTTTGAGGGGGCACCACTACTTTTATTACTTTGTGGTATATATTAGTTTCTATGCTTTTAGTTGGCTCATATTGAAAGTAATTAAGACTTAATTTTTACAATTGTTTTTTTAACCTCACAGGTTTTCTTTAAAACTATTTTTAAAAATTTCATATAAATTTTAATCAAACATCTTAACTAACAAAACTTTAGTTAATATCTTCCTAGTTTAAACAAAATGTTGTTGATGTTTTATATTTAGGCAATTTAAATTCACCCAAAATGACGAATATGACGATCCAAAATTTTAAAATAATAACTAAAAGAATAAACATTAAACATTTCAGAATTTTTTTTATGAATATAATAAACTAAATTTTATAAATATAGATTGTTGATCATAGTTCGGGTCGCAAATCCGTTTTGCAACCAATAGCCAATCCAATCTTGACCTACGGCTTTGGATTTACCACCTGGCCATAAATCGGAGTACGTGTCCAAAGTCTTGTGAATACAAATTTATATAGGACTTGCACATATATAGTTTCCCTTGATTTTCTTGGCTAACTCCCACGCCAGCGATTTCCCACGCATTGTATTTTGCGAGAATTTCCATTTTTCCCTCAGCGTGTGAAAAACAGCAGCAGTCGACTGAAGAAGGCGGCGGGTAGACTTAGATTTTTCAAGATAATTAACTTTTTTTAGTAGTAGTCGGGTATGAAGTTGTGTAGCAGTCCTGAGAACTTTTAGAAATTGCTATCTCCCCCCTTTCTAAAAACGACCGCAATCATCGCACTCACCTGTCCAAACGGTGGGGGGAAGGAGGAATTATACATTAAAAATTCCAAACTAATTTCATATTCAGCTTCTTATAAGACGGCGACGACCTTAAGAGGTTGCAGTTCCAATTGCCGAGACGACTCGGAACTTTTGGTGGTGGTTTTTCCATGCCAACATAATAAAAACGACCAGTTTTCCTCACGCAACCCGAAGTTCGTTGTTTGAGTCTTTCGTTCCCAGATGATGGGAACCTGGTGCACTCAAAATCTTAGGGGTTGCAACCAAGTTCCTATTGGCTGACTCTGAGACTCTGATAAGAAAATATGTCTCCCAAATGCGAGATGAGTTTAAGCAGCGCTCGACGGGCGGAAGTAAGCGATAATTAATTCAAAACTGCGAATCTTAATTTGTAAATCTGTAAAGACAGCGGCAAGCGACTGCATAAATATTCAACAAAGGCAGTAAAACTTCTCACAGCACCTCACCAGTTCGTCTTTTTGGGCTGTGAGAAAATTCTGCTCCTTAGCTTTGGCCGAAAACGGAAACAATAGTGTTATATATGTTAGCTTCTTAACTTGGCGTTCAGCAATTCCAGACCAAACTATAATTAAAGTCGGCCCCGCCAAGGGGGTTGCGGCAAGCCATCGTGGGAAGAGCTGCACTTGTTTTGTTTAAAAATATTCACACGATACTGGGCCAAATTCCCACAGCAATTTACGGGCCCAATCCAATCCTCCCCCTTGGAGACCAGCCAACTCACTCCCAGAAAGAGTGGTGGACAATAATCAAAAACATAAACTGACATGATTTGGTTTTTTCTTTGTCATAATTTCGGATTTCCTTCTTTTTTTATTCATGTTTGGGCATTCCGCTTACACTTAAATAAACCGCTCTTTTGTCTTGTAGCGATTTTACTTTACAAAATATTTTAGGCGACTTTTTGTGCTACGAATTTCCAAAGACTTGGTTAAATAAAAAAAATGCAACAAAACCGTATGTACAGAAAAAAGTTTCCCTTTGACTTTGTCTTTGAAATGGAATGTTTTTTTTAGTGTAGCATGGCTACTTGTTAGTATTTTATAAAGCAGGCTCAAGTTTTCTGCGATATTTCGAAGTACTTTTTTCCCGTTTTCTCAGTGTTTGGAAATTCATAGCAAATAAAATCATAAATATTTCAACCGCAGCTAAAAATCTTCTATAAATCTTACATCGATTGTATATTTAACTAGAATTACATGTTCTGTGTAGATGTATATATATTCATGCACATACAAATATATATGTCAGTGAGCTTTTTTTCGAGTTATGTACAGAGTTATATGTTTGCATTTACAAATCTATTGGTTCCAAAACTAGCACTAGATACACATGTATAAAGGATAATGATTCACTTTAGAGAGGAGGAGGGGGCGCACACACATTTTGCTTGACGTCATGAGAGGTGGAAAATTAGTATAAGAAAAATTGTCAATTTACAAACTAAGGTCTGCAATAAAAACTATAAATAACTTAGGATACATAGGTGTGCGATGCAATAGTCCTGCACTCAGGACAAGCCGCTACCATGACTATTCCATTGCACTTCTGAGATGGAGGGCAGCGCCTGATGTTGCTGCTGCTGTTGTTGTTGCTGTTGCATACTGCCGCCGGCCGGTGATCCCGCATTGTTGCTGTTGTTATTGTTGCTAATGCTAGTGATGTTGTTATTATTATTATTCTGTCGCGTCCGCATCACATCCTCGGCCTGGGCGTTGCAATGCGGCCGAGGACCCGGCTCCGGTGTATATGTGAAGGTCAGGCCAGTGGCATAAATAATGCCATCGTTGCGCACGAGTGAAATGGGCACCTGTGTGGGTTGTCGCACCTGCAAATGGGATATAAAATTTATAGTACATTTTATACAATAAAATAAAATAATAATATATAACAAATAATAATAATAAAGGCATAAAAAACTATAAAACTATAAACAAAAAATTAAAAATAATATAATAGTAATTTGATGTAAGTAAGTGAGGAAAATTGTTTAAATAATTGGTTAAAAATATCAACTCAATGTGACTAGCGCTGGGATATTAAATAAATAAATTACAAATTACTAGTAGGATTTCTTTTCACAAACAAAAACCCACCCAAAGCCATTCGCCGCGGAACTGGGAAATCTCGGGCACCACGCAAAGCAGCGTCTCCGTGCAGCGGTACATGGTCTCGGCCTCCACATCGCCGAACCACACCTGCAGATGCGGCGTAAAGTTGTCGCCGCTGAGCTCCAGCATGGCCACATCGCCGCCGCCATTGAGATTCAAGGAATTAACAATTGGCACTGGTGTTACAGGGGAACTGCAAAGGAAAATACATCATTAAACGCTATAAACTAACCAGCCAAGCCAGCTAAACTTACGCCACAGGACCCATGCCCTCGTAAAACTGATACTCTGCCTTGTCCGTGGAGATGATGGTCCAGCAGGCGCCGTCATTGATCATCTCCTTGTTCGGTTCCTTCGGACACGGCGTGGCCTGGAACTGAATGATCTTCTCCTGCGACAAGCACAAGTACATGCGGTCCGTGTCCTTCATGTAGAAGGCGCACTTGTGCAGCTGCGAGACAGGATCGTCGGCTTCCAGCAGGGCCATCTGCTTGTCCACCTTCCGGATGATCAGACGCGGCAGGGCCATGCCCGTAACCGAGCACACCAGCTTCACGGTGGCCCCGTAATGAATATATCCATCGCGCACCTGAAACTCCTCCGACTCGGATTCGTTGTCATCCAACAGGTGTATCGTGAAGGCGCCCCATTGCGTCGACGAGGCATGGAAGTGGCCATTCTCCACATGCAAATACCGCGTGGAGACGGTCTGGGAACGCAGGCGATTGAACAAAGCAACATTGGTGCCGCTGGCTATGCACAGATCGGCATTCTTCAGCGACTGTTTCTTCTTGGACGGCTTAGATATCACCTTGATTCGCTTGGAGTTGAAAACGCCAATGTCATGACCATTCCCATAGAACATTTTCACGGATAACATGAAGTGCTTTCGTTTGTCCGAATCCGAAATGAAGAGCGTCTTGGCCGCACAGTACTGCTTGCCATTGAGATCCAGCTGCTGCATGTCCTGGTCACTGCTCCCGATTCCAATAAAGGCACAGAGTTGGGCTCCCTGCTCACCCTCGCCCTGCTGCAACATCTCCTCGTACCGCCGACGCCAGCCACTGCCGAAAAGATAAATGCACGGCGGTGGGCAGAAGAAGCGCTTCTCATTGCCATAGGACTTCTGGGCCACCTGGAATATAGACAGAAAATTCAATTACTACCAAATTGGCATCCAGATTATCGGGAAATCATATCAAAACCGCAAGCAATGCAGCTTTGTTAATTTTCTGTAATTAATTTCAATTATTTTCATCGCGGACTGACTGGACCGGCGGGCTCGCGTTGCTCAATTTGCGGGCAGTCGAGTGTGAAGGATTCGGATTCGCATTTGGCGGCAGTCGCCGCTTGAAGATCGCCACCGCTAAAAGCTAAAAGCAACCGCGACAATTTTATTTCTGCCTGCCTTGGCTAAAAACCGCAAAAATGTAACACTTTAAAGTGGACAATAGAAACACTAGCAAATTTGTTTGGGGGGTGTGGTTTGTGGTGTCGATTGACCGATTAGTAAGCTTAATTTTGAAAAATAAAATGGGCCTTAGAAAGAATTAAAGAAACTAGGACTAAGAACATTTAAATTAGAAGAATAAAAAGTTAACAAAAAAAATGATTAGTATTGAAATTGTATAGCCAATTTTTAAGTTTATCAAAAGAAATTTTTAAAATTTTTGTTTTTCTAAAACCTTTTAAATATATTAACAAATTACCCAGTATTTTCTAAAAAGACTTCGAACTATTTAAAAAAATAATTAAAAGGTTAAGATATATACAATGTTGATCAAAAAGTCATCTAAATCCTATTAATTATTATTTATATTTTTTAAAAGGATACATCATACTCTAAGAAAAGCCCTTATCAAGGAAAAAAATTTCATTTTGAAATTGTATGTCCTAATCACTACACATTTAAATTCTATAAAATTTTCTATTCTAAAAACTCTTTATAATATCTCTAATAGGAAGAATACGTAAGTAATCTTTAAAGAGTTAATGATAATGATTTTTTTAGTAATCAACATAAAAACTAAGTTTCCCTGAAATAACCCTAAAAATTTGATTAAAATTAAAATTATTATTCTATAAAATTATAATATTAAATAGGTCCTTGTTACTATAAAAGGTTTTCTACAGACCTTTAATCAACATAAAATCAGAATTTCATATGAATTAATGCTGAAAACTTGATAAAAATGTAAAATAATATTTTATAAAATTATATTATTAAATATTTCCCTAATATAAAAATATGTCCTATACTAAACACCTGATAAAACTGATATTTTTTACACTTTAAAGTAGATTTTTGGTAATCCACAAAAAAACAGAAATTCTCTTGAAAATTTGATACAAACTTAAAATAATATTCTATGGAATTATAGTATTAAATATTTCCTTGACATAAAAATAGGTCCTATACTATGAACCTGTTAGAACTGATAGTTTCTCCACTTCTTAGTCTTTTTCCTCAGAAACTTAAGATATTAATAATAATAATCAATTATTTTTCTCACCTTGGCATGCAGGATGACGATGACCATGTCGTTGCGCTCGCGCATGTACTTCTCCATGGCGTCGCGGGTCAGTTTCTTCTCCTCGATGTGCGGCCGGTAAGGACCCGGTAGCAAGGACATTTGCATTTGTTGTTGCTGGTGTTGCTGTTGTTGTTGTTGCTGCTGCTGGTGATGCACTTGCAATTGTTGTTGCTGCTGCTGCTGGGACGCCGGTGGCGGCGGCTGAGGACCCGGAAGTCCAAAGTGCGGCATGTCCTGGCGCTGTTGTTGTTGCTGTGACTGCTGTTGTTGCTGCTGCTGCTGCTGGAGAGGATCGAGAATCGGCGATCCACTGGGATTCACTACTAAACTATCAAATGCAATGGCGGGCGGGGCGGCGGCGTTTAAATTAAATTGGCTGTAGCTCTTCATTTATGCACATGTCTCTCTCTTGCAATCGGTTTATTTGTTATTATCTCGGTTTTTTTGGCAAATTCGTTTGGCACTTTAGACACTGCGCGCTGTTGTTGTTGTCGCTGGATGTTTTGTATTTTGTTATCCTGCTGCAAACACACCAACACACACGCAGAGCAGCTGTCGTTTCTCTCACGCACTCTCTTCCTCTTTTAATCGCGGATTGGCTTTGTTGTTGTTGCTGGGCTCGGGCTTTACTACTTGCAGTGCCTACTAATCACACATTAATCGCTCTATCTAGCTGATCTTGACTAGCGACTAGCGGTCCGGGCGGCTGGCTTCTGTTTAACGCCGCAACTAGAGCCCGAGTTATATTTATAATCTACAACTAAAAAAAAGCGACGAGGATGTTGATGTTGTATCGATGGTTCGATAGGCGCTTATTTACGATAGTCGCTGGCTACCGGCGATACGTCGGGGGTTTTGCAACACTGTTCAAGGGTTTGACTTGTTCTGACTGTTCAGCTTTTTAATAGCTAAATTTGATTTTTTTATGTATTATGTTTGAAACTTGTAGTTTTGTAAAATATACTTCACTTTGTTTTCTTATAATTTTCTAGTTTTTGTTTTAACTTATTTATTTTTATTTCTTTTTTAGTTAAAGAAATTGGAATTTCTTGTATTGATTTCCTTTTGGCACTACAAGATATCGATTTTAGGCGGCCTCATTTAAAATTCTAGACTCAAGCTAGTAACCTCTTTTCAACCGACCCATGCATTTTTAAAACGGGCCGTGGGAATATACACGTGGTTGAATATATGAGATAATTCGCTTATTGCAAACCTACAAGTAAATGTTTTGTAAACGTGGCTTAAAAGTTAGGTGTCAGGTGCAAGCACTTATATAGTAAAAACGAAAAGATGTGAATTATTTAGAACTTGCTAACCATGGGAGAAGAAATATTTAACAAGTAGCAGTTTAAGCGATCACTGATCACTGAATATCACTTTGTAGCCGCTTAGCGGGGACAATCGATAGCTTCTCGCCACTTTGGCATATCTGACTTGTGAAATCAAAAATCGGTGCGGTGCTTGAACTTTTAAGATATTCTAGAAAACCCCAAGAAAATGGAGCAATTCAAGGGTCTGCAGAAATCCCTGTATATATGGACGGATAGCGCCGATCTGGACAAGCGTGTGGAGGAGCTAAAGGCGGCCACCGGCGGCGAGGTGGCCCTGGAAAATGTGCACCGTCTCTCGTTTTGTAAGTTGTGTGTTTTTCTTTTTTTTCGTCTAGCCAGTGAGTCAGCAAATATAAATGATATGTTTTGGATCTTACAGCCTCCTATGCCAACTCCAGTTTCGATCTGATTGTCATTGAATGCGCCCAGTTGACCGACAGTTATGTAAAACTGCTGCACATGCTGAAACCCAGTGGCAAACTCCATTTGGTGTCCTTCATTGGACCGGCGGCTAATCTCCTGCAGGAGGTCAAGCTATCTGGATTTATCAACTGCAGGGAGGACTCCAAGGATGCCCTGACCGCCGAGAAGCCGGGCTACGAGACGGGATCCTCGGCCAGGCTGTCGTTTGCCAAGAAGAACGCCAGTGCCGTGAATGTCTGGAAGATTAGCGGCGATGATGAGGAGCTGATCGATGAGGAGGATCTGCTGGACGAGGAGGACAAACAGAAGCCGGATCCCGCGGGTCTGCGTGTCTGCAGCACCACGGGAAAGCGCAAGGCCTGCAAAAATTGCTCCTGCGGCTTGGCGGAGGAACTGGAGACCGAAAAACAAAGCCAGACGGCCACCGAGAATGCCAAGTCCAGCTGCGGAAATGTAAGATCATCTATCAGTCCCCTCTATCCCCATAATATCGTATATTGTATTCCAAACAGTGCTACCTGGGCGACGCCTTTCGCTGCTCCACTTGCCCCTACCTGGGAATGCCCGCCTTTAAGCCCGGCGAGAAGGTGGAACTGGGTGGAAACCTCCTCAAATCCGACATTTAACAATCACGCACACATTTCAAATACATAGTTTATTAAGCTGACTTACTAACAAACAATAATGTCATAATGTAAATACACAAAAATGCACCGCATCACATTTCGCATGGTGTACCCTTGATGAGATCGCGGTTCTGGCCGGTTAGAATGCGATAATTGACGGCCGAGGGATCGAGTTCCTTGTACAAATACGTCGGCATCTTGTCGGAAAGCACCCAAATGGTGCCTTCGTTGTCGATCTTCATGTCGTTCGGGAAGACGAGAGTGTGCGAATCGGAATCGATGAGTCCCTGGGTGTCCGGAGTGTAGGGACGCTTGATATTCCAGCAGGCAATGGCGTCTTTGTTCACTTGCGTGTAGAAAATAACCCCAGTCTCGGGATCAAAGACCTCGGCGGTGGACTGACCATTCATGCCACGGTCACCGACGTACTTAAAGTCATAGTACGAATCGCCACCGGTCACATGCGATTCGTTTTGCAGCACTCGGTTGGAGACCTTGAACTCCTTGGTGCTGGCCAAAGCATGGAAGTAGATGTCCTTCGAGTGATCCGGGTTCATGGGTCCCACGGCGAGGCCAAAGACGCCATCGGTCCACTGGAAGTTTACGCCGCCCACATTGAAATCGCCCTGCAGCGGATCGAAGTGGAAGAAGTTGTGCTTGACGCGATAGGATTTGTCGTTCCTCAGGGAGTAGACAATCACACCATAGGCACCCAGATCAGGAATATAGGCAAAGGAATCCTGGCACTCTGAGCGATCGGCATCCACAACCTTTAGATTTATTATAATAATTAGTTTGTTATTTAAAACTGAAGCCTAATAACTTACAATATTTGCAAAGAACGAATCCTCCTTCGACTGATCGGCAGGAATAGTGAAACGTCGCACCAAGGTATCCGTTTTCAGGTCAAAGACCAGGATGGAATTTGGTGTAATCTGCTTGGGACTGCCCAGGATGTCGGCCAAACCGGTGTCGAGAACCCACAGGCGATCGCAGACGTCCACTTGAATGCGGAAGGTGGAGATAATGGTCGCGTTGTCCTTCAGCTGAATGCCGGCATCCTGAGCCTTGTCAGCATCCAACCTTCCGCCCGATGGCGTCTTCTGATCCTGCGGCTGCACATCGATGGGCAGCTTGTTGGCTTCCCAACTGGGATACGGGTGCAGTTTGGGCGACTTCTCCGTCGAATTGAGATCGATATAGTTGAGGGTGGCAGCAACTCCAGCCTTCCATCTAAAAATTATAAGATGAATTTAATTAGTTAGGAAAATAACTAAAGATTTAAAACTATGAATTAAATATTCATTACCTATTTGAATTTATTTTAATTAAATCCTAAAAAATCAACCGGTTTTTAAGCAACTTTTATAGATCACAGCTGTTTAATAAATACTTCTGCAATTATTCAGACTAATCGGACTGTTGCAAACAGTTAAGCTCCGAGTTATAATTAAAGGCTTATTTCTTGCTTAGTTAATTACTGACCATTAAAGATTTCAGGTGAAACTTTACCGGTCAGTTTTATAATCAATTTGCATGACTACTTAAATTAGTAGTTCCTAAAATAATTTATTCAAGTACATATTGTGCATATAAATACTACTACTTAAGAACACTGATCAAAAAATAAATAAATAATAAAAATAAATGATTGCATATTAAATGCAAAGATTCCTAATTAATATTTAAATTAAAAAAAAAAAAATTGTAATATTTATATTTAAATTAAGGTAGAAAATATTATTTAACTTAATTAAAAATAAAAAGATTTCATTTAACAATTAACTATAATTACTAAATGTAATATTTTTATATTTTATTTTTAAAAAAACCCGCAGCAAATGAAAATTAAAGCGAAAAAAATTTCAAGTGAATATAAAATCTTTGGATTTAATACGTTTTTTATCAGTGAAGAGTTAATAATCTCTTTTTAATAGATATTATATTTGGTTAGCCATGCCTGACACATTTGATTTGTTTGTTTATTTATATTATTCGGTTACTCATGTTTATATCCCGAAAATCGAAAATATTTTCGGGTCTTTTTCGCGATAAAGCGCATCTTTTGGTAAATCCCCAAAAGAGATGACGTCACAGAATGATGTTGTTTACTAGTTTTTCGAAAAAGTTCTGCTTTAATGGGTTCAGTTATTTTCCATCGAGTTTCCCGGTCATGTGTTTTCTCTTATTAAATTATAATTAACTACATGTTAAGATTTGCATTTAGAAACCACGATTTGAAATGCAAAATAGACATATACACAAAGGGGAAAAAATGATAAAGTTAACTAGCCAACGATGAAACCGGTTTTCCTGTCTTGTCGCTCGATGATTTTGCAAGTCTAGCTTGACATTTAATTACAATCACAGCCAACAAAAAAAGGTAAATATTAAAAAAAATATAGAAAAGTTAAGCAGAGGTAATTGTTTATTTTTTTTCGGTTATAAATATATATGGTAACTTACCTTGGCACAGTGACAAAGATTCTGTTTTGCCAGCGCTCCACGCCCAGTGGCAAATTGTTCTCCTCGATGTAGTGGCCATTGCGTTTGGCCTCCGCCTCGGCCTCCGGAGTGGGCCAATCGAAGGCCAGCTGCTTCCACGAGAACTTCTCCTCCAACTTGGCCGATGCACAGGCGATCAGGCACAAGATTAGGCCCAGACTCACCATTCCCAGGGGGTTCATGTTGGTAATTTATTTTATTTAATTTATAGTTTGTTTCTTGGAACCTCCGTTCGTTTCGAGTTGAGTGCGCTAACTGCAAGAGCTGGGTTTCAAGTCGGGCTTAATATGTTGGCTTGGGCTCCAAAAAGCGAGTAAAGCTTAAAGCTCCACTCTCAGAGATCGAATCGAATCCCCTAGTGTTATAATCTGTTATATCGTATCCCCAGCTGGTGCTAATGGATATTGGGTTGGGATGGAGGCTTAAAATTAGCAACATAAGCGGAAGGAAGAAAGATGTGGCTTTTAATGGGTAATACCTTAAAAATACTGTGATCCCCGCTTATAAGTCGCATATGGAATATATTAAATCGAGCAGTGAACTCCAGATTTCAGTTGGCAACTTACTTATTAAAATATATAAAAACCAAAGAAGCTATTAATGAATGAGAAATAAATAAAATATAGTACATTTAATTGTAATTATTGTAATATACTCATTTCTTATCGCCAAACTTTTAAAGAATTTCTGAAAATTATTGAAATTGCATAAACAATTCAAACGTTGAATTAATGAATAAAGGTTATTGAATACTTTGAACCTCATTTAAAATGCAGCACGAGTGGGGGGCAAATTACAATGTTTGCTTTTAAGAACGATTTGCATTTTAAGAAACAAATTTTGTGAAAGATGTCAAATTATTAAGTCTGAGTATTTTAAAGCAAATGAACTTGTGATTTAAACATTTTAGCTTTTGGTTAAAAATAAATTGGCCTTAAAAGGATTAAAAGATTACGATTTTAAGATTTAATTGACTAATTTCATTTTTAATAGATAAGAATTATATTTTAAAACCAAATAAACTCCAAAAAAAAAGCCCGCCAGTAAATAAAACACAAATATTTGTTCAATTCTGTTTTGTGTTTTTTATTCAGTAAAATTCTCATTTATTCCGTTTTATTAAACTTTAAATTAATTCGTTAATGTTACATTCATAAGAACATACCGAGTTTTTCATTACTTTGACGATTTGTTTTTCCTGCATATTGCTACCATTTTCTATGGTTCATATTTATTTTGTCACTAACAGTAGATTTTCTCTTTCTTTTTTCTGCGTGTGTTCATTTGAAATAAATCTGGATTTATTTTAACCTTTGCGTTTTTTCTATTTACTCGTATTTATACAACAATTAGCTTGGCTAAACTGTGTCTTACTTTACTAGAAGTTCATCTTCGGCTGTGATTCGAGGACAAAAGCAAATATAATTGATTCGGATTCGAAAATAAATGTCGATTAATTGTTGCATTTGTAGATTTGGTTGCTCTGTTGTGGTTGCTATTTTACTGTAGTGTTTTTAGGAGGCGCAGCTAAATGCTCTATATACAATATATATGATCTCGAGTTACACGACTACCCCTAACAGCGTTCCCTATGTGTATGTATGAAATACAATCCAATTAAACTACAAATTCCAACGATCCTTAACAAATATCAATGTACTAGAGATGTTCTTTGTCATGTGTAAATTTCATATATATATATTTCAATATTCATATATATAATCATTGTTTATCGAGTGTATAGTATTCATTTCATTCGCTTGGTTTTGCATTTTATTTAACGGCTTAGATTTTAAAGTCTTTCATTTCGTAGGAATTTGATGTTGTCTATGTATGTTTCTTATAGCACTTTTCGTGATGGATTTTTCTTAAATATTTCTTTAATTGAATGTGAGAGTGATTGAATTTAAACGGTTCCATATCGTTGAAGGGTGAAGAGTGAGAGTGATACGTAGTATGTTATGCAAGTGAGTGAATTAATCATTTTGTCAATAGGTTTCAGTTTTAGTTTTAAATAAAGTCAATTCCTATATAACGACACGCCCGCTCAATTATTTTCGGTTTTTTTCGCTTCATTTCCCGTGTATAATATATATACTTTATAAATGCAATTTTAGAACTTACAGTAGGTTCAAAAATTTCTCATTACCATTTAATTTGTCTATGTATAACAGTACATAAAAATTAAAACGTTTCTTGAGCACTTAACCCACCCATAATATATATACCATATAATATATTAACTTTTGATCCTACACTAGTCTAGGCTAAATGTATACATATCCTTTCATTATCTAATATTTGCTAGAATTTTCATTCGATTTGTGCTATTTACGATTTGCTGAAAATGTAAACTATTAAAACTTTTTATCGAGTGCACACTTACACCTGTCTCACGCACACACACATATGGGATCCTATACAGAGAGTGCCTAAAGCTAACTTAGCTAACATTTTTTTGGGAATCAAACCGATTATCCTGTCGAGAGGGACAGAGAGTTCCATAGTTTGATTCCCGGAGTCTAGGAGTTTTGGTTTGTATTGCCGCGACCTGGTTCGGAAAAAGACACGTAAATTAACGTAAATTTTGAAACAGGAGAAGGCCGCCATTTTTTGGGGGGAGGTTTTCATCTATGCAGATCTATTATAAAGAGCTCTAGGAGACAGCACTGAGCAACAGAGGTTCGAAACAGAAAATATTCGCCTAAACTAAACAAAAACAATTGGTTTTCTTCTTGCGTTTAAAAATTACTAACTTTAACATGATCTTTTTAGTTATTTTCTTGACTTACTAAATCTATATTTTTTTCGGTTTTTGTGTTTCAACTTTAAAGCCTAACAATTCGCTTAGTTCAGATGCTAATGTTTTTGTTTTTGTAAGTTAAAAGTATTTCGTTTTTAATATTAATTCTAAACACGTTTAAGGTACAATACATATTTCATTATTCTACAAAATTGCTGCTACCAATTCACTTATTTAGCTCAGCTTAAAGTTGATACAAAGTTTATTAAGTACGCGTTTTTTTTCTTTTGTAATATTAAATCCTTCCTCCGTTAGCATCCTTATTTGCATTTCATATTTTCTGTATAATTCACCTATCACGCAAAGGAAATTGACAAGTTTTTTCATGTACGATGCTCATGAGTATCTGAAAAATAAATGTATTAAAGAATTAGTAAATGTTTTAGGACTCATGGACAGGAAGTGAAAGATTAATAGAAGTGTGATTTAAGGATACATTAAAAACAGTGCTATAAACAGTAAAATGAAAATTATAAAAGGTGTAGACTAGAGTTTACATATAAAACTGAACGATTGCAGTTGTTTAAAAGTTAAAAGTGCATTTACATGAACAAATAACCTTTGAACTCCATTTTTATTGTTGTTCCTAATCAATTGTGTCAATGCCCACGAAAATAGCTAAAATTTCTAATTAAAATTGAGAACGATTACGATTATGAACGTCAAGCTAAAACCAACGATGCTAATACCGAGTACATGCAATTGGCTAATGGGAATATTAAGTATCCATATGGGATAGAATGGTGACTATTCACTCACCTTGTGTGATTGCGAGTGTGGCGGCAGGTGTGGCATGTGCGGATGATGCGTTGATGAGGGAAGCGGGCTGCGAGGTTGTCGCGACGGCGGCAGAGGCGGCACCTGTTGCACCATTCAGTTCTGTGCCCTTGGCCCCGTCGCCCCGCTCCACCAGCCGTTGTCGCAGGACTCGTATCTTTTCCTCCTTCTGAAAAGGGGAAAAAAAGATTTAATTTACAATTTTTGCTTTTGCACAAAATGGTATTTACCAAGCAAAAAATATAAGTGTCACGATCAACGTGGTATTTAAAAGTAAAATTACTCGAACAATTTTTACCATTCGATAATGTAAAATAAATGATATATATTTTTTTTAATTCAAATTGCATTGAAAATATTTATTTATTAATTTTATACATCTTCTTCGAGCTTATATATTAATGCGCCAGTCAGGAAAAATATATTATTTTCAAACTCAATACAAACTTACCTGTGTTATTAATCGTTGCAATTCCTCGTTTTCGGTAACAAGTTTCTGATAGCGTTCTTCATCCTCCTTTGATATGGCCGAATCGGGATTGTATTTCGACTCGGCCTTATCCTTGGGATGACGTATGACCTCAATGACCTGTACGGTAAAATGTAATTAAGATTACGCTATTTTTATACCAATTGACATGCACTAACCTTTGGCACAAATATCAGCAGCATGCTTAGGAAACAACAGAATATCACAGCTAGAGCAACGAAGGCAAAGGACGCGTCCTGTTGCGATGCAATGACCATGCCCACCGGAGCTGTTATCAAACATAGGACCACCACATTATAGATGCTCATGCCCACATAACGCGAATCGTTGATCTGTTTCACTTTAATGGAGCGCGTCTCGTAGGCCAAGAAGAGGCCAAACACCAGGATTAGCCCCTTGAAGCCATAAACGAGACCTGTAAATGAAATATTAAAATATAATATTAATCAAAAAATCGTACAAGTATAGATTATATGACATACCCAACCACATGGAGTTGCGTTGACTTTCACAATGCTCAAGCTCTGGACGTATTTTAATATCATCAGTAGTAGATACTGGATCTTCGAGTGGGAATGTTTCGAGATAACGCTGCAGCGGATCAAAGATCTGCCATGAGAGTAATATCACTAAATCTATTGATAAGAGTCCCGAAACCATGGTGTATAGCTTCCAAGGTTCCACTTTTTTCTGAAAATACAAATATTTTTACTATTTCTATATCCTTGTTGTATATTTTTGTCATAGTCCCACCTTCGGGTCAGTTTTTGCTTTTGTTGTAAATCGGTGCACACGCCAGACCTTGCTGAACATAGCACCGTATGCTAATGTAAAACCGGTGGATAGTAACCAAGCTCTAGCTTGACATATCTAAAAATAATCAGAAGAAATTTTTTATTATAATAAAAAATAGATAAAATATTTTTCTTCTGAAAAATTCGCGGTTTTATCTTGCTCTGAAGAATTTTCGTTTGAATTTGCTTAAAAATATAGACTCAAATATTAGTCCGTATTAGTTCAAAACTCTCACCTTTGGATATTCCTCGGGGCTGACAAAGCGTCCGTCGATACCCAGTAAGATGACAGATATAAGACAGATGATGACACCAAATAACATGATCGTATTGCAAACGGGATGCGAGGATTGTATTACTCTGAAAATTAAAATAGGAACAATGGTAATCCCGAAACATCTAAGATCTAAGAATGATCTACCTTCTATGCTTATTCCATATATTAAAGATGATCAAGGCGAAGGCAACAAAGATGCCGCAACTGGAGATGGTGCACATGCACACGAATAATGGCAAGGATACGGTGCGTAGAACATGAGTGACAATTGTGCGATCTTGAGGAACCTAGAGTTAAGAATATGGAACATAAATTATTGTATAAATATTTTTCGCCAACTAAAAATATAACAATAGTATTTACAAATTTTATTCAAAACTTTCTTTACAACGAATCATGGTGCCTGAGTACTTTCTCCACTCTTTCTCGATTTTTATCCGTAGCTAATAATACATAGAATGCAACTTGACCGTAGCCCTCGTGTTTATGATGAATATTACGAGCCCACATTTTGCAATTTACGTGGACACGTTCGTTTGCCTTTAGGTTTTGGATCTTAAGAGCCACTATTCGATTTAAATCGTTTGAGCTGAAGAAAGACTTTTTTCCTTTATCCCCGACAAACTCAATTTTTTCTTTAATATCCGTAAATTCCGTTTGGATAGACGGTTCAGGATGGAATTCAATTTGCACATTGGTATCTGTATCCGTGCGGCAAGTAAACCAAGTACGATTATTGGAGGTGGAATTATCTAATAGACCCTTTAGATCATTAAAGTCATTTTCACCCAGTTTGGCATTAACAAGATCATCGGAATTAGAGTATGGTTCGGTCTTAAAGCCAATTATGCGATTTACTTTAAGAAAAATGCAGGGAGTACCACTTGGATAGCCAAACTTTTCGTAGGCATTGCAAGTTCCAAATCGTAGATTTTTTCCAGTATCACCATATTTTTCCAATAGAGCCATTATGCTAGCATACTTTTCCATCACTTCAGTATTATTCCTAGGATCGAATGATATTGTTTTGGGATTAGTTCGAGGTCCTATGGGAGCAAAAGTGATAGTGGGTTGAACCATCTTTGTTGTGGGTGCCTTTTTGGTGGTAACCTCATCTGTGACATAATCGAACCAGGCCATTGAAAAGAGTATGACGAAGGATATATAAAGTAGTGCAAAGATGAGTGTGTAAACCCAGTGATTACAACGTCGTAATTCGTATTTCCCATGAGTTCTATTGTAGAAAAGTCGGCGCCATCCGGTTCGACCTGGAAAATGATATTCACAGCCCTCGTAATACGATCTCCTGTCCTCCTTTGTTGGCATCTTGTAGGGCCCATTATCTAGTGGAGGGTCCACAATGAGTTTATTTAGTTTGTTCTCATCCGACTTAATGGGTTCCATATAGATCACCTTGGTACCATCGTCTATGGGGAGAAAAGGTTTATCTGTGTTGGTCCCAAAGTCCCTAAATCGATCTCCCTTATGTGTATGCTCTCCAGAAATGGGTGGATCTTTTGTTTTCGGTAGGATCTTGGTATTAACTCCTATTTCCCTTTTTTGATTATCGATGGAGGGTCCTATCTCTATGGGTCCATCTTCTGGCTCAGTTTTATATTTATAATTCTTCCGACTCTTCGACAATCTTTCTGTGACTTGGCCTATATCTCGCAGTCTTCCGCCATCATGATAAACTCCCAAGTCGGTTTCTTTATCATAAGTGGTGACTTTTGGTCTTCCCGATTTCCTACTTATATCCGTATTGATTCCTATTGATCTGATTTTCCTACTTCTTTTTCCCAATTTAACCTTTTGGTTTTCTCGCAGTGGCTGTTGCTCGCCAGGTATTTCGGAAAATGTCTCTGTTATGGGAAAACTCCAAGGTTTCTTTGCCTCTAACTCGATTTCTTGCTTTGGAGGAGGTTTCTTTTCTTCCGTAACTTTAGGTTCTTCATCTTCTTTGGGAGTTTCCTTTTCTTCCACTCTCTTTTGTGTCAGACAAAATAGTTTCGTAATGGTGCCTTTGTGTTTTACTGGTTCATTATCATCATCATCACTTGAGTTTTCCCTATAATTTATTTCTTCCACATGATGTCTGCTGGTTCCTGTAGTCTGGGCACCTCTGATCTCATCTATACTTCTATCAACTCTGGGTTGTTTAAGAAAATCCATACTGGATTCGCGTTCATTCTTCAGCTCCTTCAGCCTTCCCATATTGATTACCTCAGCTAAGATCACACCCCTATCGTCATCGGCTTTTTGGGAACGATCTCGATAGCTACCTCGCATGGTCGCAGATCCAATGGAATCGATTTCTTCTTCCTCTCCTTTAAGACTTGAAGTTGAATTAAATTCATGTTCGCTGGGAAGACGGCGCCTAAGAACATTGTCTGGCTCCCAGGTTTGCTTCTTATCCTGCTTCTGATCTTCTGACGATCGATCATAATCTATTAATTCAGCCAGGTATTCTTCCCTATCAAATGAATCGAAAGGCTCTCGAACTCGCCTTGTTGAAGGGATTTCATTTACTTTATCTGATGAGGGATATTTTTGAAAGTCCCTGGAGTTTTGGGGCTTTACAGCTTCAGATTCTTTTAGTAGTACCTTCCCGGGTATGGATTGTACTAAAGTCTTTGAATCATCTTCTGCAATCTCTATTTCCTTTGTAATTGCTGGACTGCCCTTACTTTCTTTCTCAAATGATTTGGAAAATCCTGGCTTTTCATCTGCATCCTTTCCATCTTGTGAACTTGATTTACTTAAGGCAGATTTTTTCGGTTTGGGTGCTACTTTGGGACCTTGCTTAAGACTTATAGAAGATGGAGGTTCTTTATTTTCTTCATCTCTTTCATTGAAACTAACAGAGGACCTTTCAGTATTATTCGCATCTTTCGAAGATTTTTTTATCTTTTCGGTACCAGTTGAAGCATCCTTCAAATTTTCTTTTTTATTTTCGTCCGACATTTTTGATAATAATGAGTAGAATAATATTTCCAAGCTCACTGATTTACTTACCTTGCCACCAATCCACTGCTCAGTATTCAACCAGGATAGGTTATCCAATTGGGTATCGTAGTAGCCCAATTTCTCGTACTTTCCGTCCACCATCTGCTCGATCTGAGTAAGAGCAATACGATCGCCCTGAGAACTGAAGGCCACCACGCCCTATAAATTATGATAATTTTAAAAATATTTTTAAATGAACAAAAATTTAAAAACAAACTTACCGAAACACCCAGAAACTGAGTGGAGTTCATGGCAGCGTAGATTTCGTCGGCAATTTCCTTGTCCGTATAGGTAAAGTCCCTCAGAGATTTCTTACCGCTAGTCAATCGATCCATAGTTTTGTTGAAAGCCAAAGCCACACTCCATACGGCATCGTAGGCAAGCGGAGCCTCCTGATAACCCTCCGGGTAGCGATCGTGATTAATGTCGTAACCCTCTTCGATTAACGCCTGATTCAGTCGATGTCTGTTTGGAAAATAAATAGTAATTTTATGAACCAATTCTAATAAATGGTTTGGTGTTCGTAATTTACCGAAATTCCTCTGCAGTCATTCCGGATATAGTTGTCTGATTGTTCTGATTCCACATAAGAGCTTCTGTCGTCAGATGTCCCTCGGCAGCTATCCGCATTTGCTCTACAGTGCAGGTAATGCCCTCTGCTTTTAGGTTGACCTCGTACCAATTGTCTTCGTACCAGCCTAAGTAAAAATGTTAATTACATTTTACTTTTTATATATTATTTTTAAAAAGGTGTCTTCATTGAATTATTTTGTTAAAATAAATAGGCTTAAAAAGTGTAATTAGATTCAATCTTAAATCGATAATAAAAGCGGTCTGCGTCGATTCTATTTTTATCTCTTCAAAAACGATTTAACTTAAAAAACGATCTTGAAAGTATTTTTGTCTTTAATACAGGAAAGTTTTTTCTCAAAAAATATCTTCGCTCTTATCTTTTTAAGAACGCTTTATCTCGAAAAACGATGTTAAGGGGAATTTTCGCCTTAATTTCAAGAGTGTTTCTTTTCAAAAAAAGTAAGAGGACAAAGATCTTTGATTTGGCCTTCATTTTTTTTTTTACTTCTTGATTTCACTGTTTTTAAGGACTCACCAATGAAGAACCATACATGGGCTCTACCATAGAGCTGCTGCTTGTACATCTCGCAGAGAACCCGTCGGGCGGCCACCACATAGAAGAGTCCCACAATGATGCGTGCATCCTGGCGTCGCAAATTGCGCACGGCGTCTGTTGGATCGGAAAGAAATGATTGTCTAGTTACGATTTCAACGCCAGCCTCCATGCATCGATTCTCGAGATCCTCTACGGTCTGTATGGTGAATATTTTAATTAATATATGTAATGGAGAAAATTCATAGTCTATAGCCTTACCGATATAAAGACCTCCTCGGCCTGTTGCAGAATGGCCACTCGTGACCATCCAAACTTCTTCATCAGCTTGATGCGTGTGGGATTGTGCACCGTGGCCGATGGATGGGTGCGGAATAGTGTGGGAAACCGTTTGCGATCCGACAGAGCCGGACTAGAGGCCCCATAGCAGAGCTACAAAATGGTATAATTCGAAGGTATTTTGAAAACAACAAATACGGGGATTTTATTTGCTAGCATTATGCAACGACGGCCACTTACCACAATTAGATTCCACATTTTGGCAGCCTCGGCCACAGTGGTGCAGACCGTGCTGCATCCAGCCAACAGCATCAGCTTTTGCGGTTTATTATAGAGCAGATTGTACATCACGCTGGCGCCCAAACCGGGCTCACACTATCGATGGGGAAAATAGAGAGGGGGGAATAATGGAATTAGCCAGTTGCCAAGAAAATTATATTCTCCGTCACTCTTCAATAAATATTCATATACATATATTTTCGGTTTCGCCTGATGGCCGCCGTTGGGGAAGTATTGATTATGCTTATGCTAAGCAACGAGGCCCTTAAGGAGTTATTAATAGCGAATTTCCTGTAATTTATGTGTCTGTCTTCATTCAAAGATAACTATTGAAATGATTAATTTGCCTTGTGATTCATGGGCGTTGGTGTTAAGGCGTTGGTGTGGCTATACAATTGAATTTAATCACCGAAAAGGATACTTAATCAGGTAATCAATATCTTAAATACATTTTAATTTAAAATTTGCATTTTTAAAAGCTATCAACATATATTAAACTTTAAAATAGATGCATAAAATAATCAAAAAAGAAATTTAATTATTTATATATATTGAAGATTTCATGAATAATTACAATTTAATCAATTTTATTAAATGTTTTTTAAATGGATTAATAAACAAGAAAGGAAGCTAGCTTCGGCAAGCCGAAGCTTATATACCCTTGCAGATCATTCTATAAATTTACAAATCGCAAAAATGTTAAATTTCTTATTATTTCACATTAATTTTTCGATCGTTTTTATCACAGCTATATGATATAGTAGTTCGATCTTTTAAAAATTAAAATCGAAATTCGGAAATATTTCAAAATAGTCATATCCCAGAGTAGAAGGGAATGTAATAAAAACCAACAAAGATATAATTTTTTTCCCATTAATTTCCATTTAATTTTTCGACCGTTCCTATGGCAGCTATATGATATAGTGATCCGATTTAACAAACAAAAAAACCGAAATTCAGAAATATATAAAAAAAAATATTCCCAAGAGTAGAAGGTAAAATTTCGAAAAACACCGGAGCTAGAATTTTTTTACGTTTTTTTTTTTTGATCCTTCCTATGGGAGCTATAAGATATAGTTGTCCGATCCGGTTGGTTCCGACATATATACTACCTGCAATAGAAATACGACTTTTACGAAAGTTTCATCCCGATAGCTTTAAAACTGAGAGACTAGTTTGCGTAGAAACGGACGGACAGACGGACGGACAGACGGACAGACGGACAGACGGACATGGCTAGATCGACTCGTCTTGTGATGCTGATCAAGAATATATATACTTTATGGGGTCGGAAATGTCTCCTTCACTGCGTTGCAAACTTCTGACTGAAATCATAATACCCTCTGCAAGGGTATAAAAAGTAGGATGAGCTTGGTATATTATAAAAACGGAAAATGATTATTTATTGTCATTATTTTTGTATTATCAAGGGATGGTAATTATCTAAGAGCGAACGAACCTTGTATAAAACAAGAACATAAATTTCTTAATTGATTTATTATATTGCATTTTTAGTAATTTGCTTCATTTAATTTCCATACTCAATCCCCTTGCTAATTTATGTCTCCACCTGGATGATATTTTTCCATTTATTCTTTTTATTAATCCCCCTGCCATGGCATTTATCAATTAAACAAGATTCATTCATGACAATGAATTATTCAAGAAGGCGTGGGGACTCTTCCCCCTTTTTCTCCTTCATATGTGGGGGCTAAAGTTGCGATACATACATACGTGTATCCACGTTGACCATATAAATGATTCATTCATTCAGTTATTCATTCTCCCATTCATTCATTTACATGGCAAACTCGTTTTCGCTGTTTGTCGTTTCCTTTCCATTTTTCCCGAAACCCCCGTCGTTGTCTTCCTGTTCTGACGACAATTTTCATATTTCTTACTTGGTTTGCGTGTAAACAACCATTCTAATTGTTTTTTTTCTGTCCTCTCCTTTTCATGTCCAGTCCCTGTTTATGCATAAGTATTATCCTGTTCATACTCCCCACCCACCACATCTATTTAGATTTAGGTGTGGGTTTTAGGTCTCGAGGCATGCCACGTTATAAGCGCTCGCTCTAGTTAAATAGTTTCGCTTTTCGTTCTTCCCTCACAGAAGGTATGCTAAGTTTAAAGGAAATGTTTGATTTTTAAGGCTACAATAACAAAGATTACAATTGTAGAATTTAACCATTTTAACCTTTGTTTTTAAACCTTATATTAATTTTTACCATTACTTACATACATATTTTTCCATACAATTTACATGTTTTTTATTTATTATTCGAGGGTGCCACATAAATGGGAAACGACTATTAAATCCATCATTTTACTTTTTTGCTTTTTATCATTTAAGTAATAAAACTAATTGAAAGCTTCTGTTTTCTCATTGTAATTAAAGAAAAACAAAAATCTTTTTGGAGCACACACTCCCTTTTCAATAGTTATGGCTGTATGACACTAGCTTAAATTTGGACTAAGCAACTATGCATATTTATTAAAGGAGTCATTGTAAATAGAGAAAGCTAAATCACATTTTATAATTTTTATTACAATTTTTTTAAAATTTATTTATAGTTAAAATTAAGTTAGTCGAAACTTTAGCAAGTGTCACATGGCCATTACAAAACTAATTTCCTGTTTGCAGCTTAACTTTCCGCAGCTATTTAAACCCATCTAAGCACAGGTACAGGTAAAGGCACTTATCCGCAAATAAATCGACAGCTCTGCCAGTGAAGCACTTAAAAAATCGATAAAATATTTGACACTTTTTGGGAACTAATGTGGTGATTGTCGGGCATCCTTGATTCCACCGGAAGGGCGTTAGATGTTTCGGTTAGCAGAGGTTAACCATCCAGCCTTGTTTATATATTTTTTTCCCTGTTCGCTGTTCTCTGGGCTCTTGTGTGCAGGCTTCTTTGGGACATTTCACACATCAAAGTAGGTCAAGCAAAAGGCAGTCGGCAAAGGCAAACATTGCGTGCGACCTTTGCCCCTTGTCGCTTGCCAAGTGACGTGAATGGGGATGTGGGATGGCGGATAGATGGTGGATGGGGATCTAGGTTCCGCTTTGGGACCTGGAGATGGCAACTAATTATGCAGCATTTAACGGAAGCTGTTTGCCTAAGCCACAAACATAACGCGCCTGGCTCTCTGGCTCAGGCTCAGTCCAGCGAAGCGAACTGAACTGAACTAACCAGTAGAGAACAGAACAGAACAGACCAAAGATACAGATAGGAACAGGCACAGGGACTCGGTTTACCTCTCAGGCTCTGTCCTAATCTATATGTCCGTATCTGCCTCGTAAATGGGTAGTTTATGGGGGTGTATATAGTATGTGTATGTAAGTCCTAGGCTATATACACAGAAAAACAAATTCGAAATAATATGCGGTCAATTCTACCATATTTAATGTCAACTATATGATTTAATAATATCAGCTTGATACTTGAAATTTTAAAAACATTGTTTTAAACTTTCAAATTTAGTATTTTTTTAACTTATAATGAAAACTTACATAAGCCAAATCTTTATTCATATTAATATAAATAAAAAATAAAATAAAAATAAAATTAAAAAAAATATATATCAATTTGATCTTTTGTCATTTTTCTTAAAAAATATTAAATCGACCTGCACATATCAATCTGATCTTTTGATATGAATAAATTTTGTCTTCGAGTCTTCAAAAAATCAAGTTAATCTTCAAAAAACATTAAATTGACCTGCACATATCAATCTGATCTTTTGTCAATTTTTTTTCTGTGTATTAATGTCTGTCCCTCCTGGGCAGCCTTGAATAAAAATAACTCAAATGATGAGCTACGGCTACGGACGGGGCAAAGTGACCTCATTCAAAACTCAAAACAAGTAGTTAAGCTTTCGCTCACTTAAAACTAATGAGGTTCGCGCTTATAAATAGGCAGGGCCAAACAGCCGAAACCTAAACTGTAACCGAAGTAGTCAAAACCGCAACAACTGTACCGCAGACCCTTAAAATGGAAAACCCGCAAAAAAAAAAAAAATAAATGATGTGCAAAATATGAAAATATGAATAAAAATAGTTTTTTTTTCTATATGGTATATGTATAAGCGCCAAGGGGCATTGATAGCGCCAGTTAGTTGGGGAACTGAGAACTAAATAACGGAAACTACGCCGGTTACTGGCCATTTATTACGATACATGGCCATTTAGATGGGGAGTATTTGTTTAATAGCCTAACAAAAGTTACAAAATCCACTGAAATGGATACTTTCCAGGGTGTTTCAGATACATTTGCTCAGCTTCCTTGTGCTATTTTTTAGTTTATAATAAAATGCTTGATAATAAAATAGGGATCCTTATAACATTTCTCTTTAAACTTAAGTACAAAAGTAAGTCAATGCAAGTCAATAGAAATCAGCAAGAAAATCAATATTAAGTGCAGGTGAAGCTATCGCTTTCATTTAAGTGTCGAAGTTACTATCTTAGTAATAGGAAAACTTTTTTACTTGTTAATCCCACGGGAAACTTTTGAAGAAAATAAAGACATTTGCCCTTGGTGTTTTATTTATACTAACTAAATGGAATAATAAAGTTTCTTCGCAAAAATTACAATCCCGTGGTCAAAGGCTATCTATCTTACGTAAAATAAGTTAATGCAAGTCAAATACAAATCAGCAAAACAATCAATATTTGTCGGAATTTTTCTATCGTTTTAATCTACTTAAATCTTAGTAATAGGATAAATATCTTAGTAATTTGACAGAAAACTTAAAGCAAAATTATGTACTATAGAAGTTTTATGAAAACGAAGTATCCAAATTAAATGAAATGCAGTGAAATCCCAGCGTTGAAAGCTACCCAATATTTACTAAAAGAATAATCCAAATTGTTTTACGATTTAATGACCATTAAGCGACATTTATTATGTGACCTGGCTCGGAATATATATATGTACACGTTTTTCTTAATGTTAAATACCTTTTATCAATTACAAATCACGCACATAAAAACCCGATTAACCGAACTCTACCGATATAATTGCTGGTGGCAACGTATCGAACGTGCTTCAGCCAAACCTCAATTACGATTTATGTGTGGTCATTAAGCCCGAGACATTGCCAAATATCGTTGGACATGGCGGATTGTGCGGAGAATTCAATTTGTGGAACACATGCGTAGCAATACCCTTTAATGCGGCATAATAAAACTGTTTGTCCTTTGTTAACAGAAACAGTAACAGAAAAAGAAAAAGAATGAGACCTCCCAACCCATGATCCCCTGGAGAAATATGCTAATGAATGCCAGGGCTCAGCCAGCACTCCAGTCATCAGTGAACAGAAACAAAAACGAAACAAAATAAGTGGCACCCAAGGGTATGTCACAGGACACCAGATACCAGGAGACTGCCGTGCTGCATATAAGTAGGGCTTATCGCGTTCCAAACTCACTACTGCACCGAAACAAAAATCTCTAATAAGATAGGGCTCTAAATGATCCTACAACTACTACGACAACTAGTGTCGATTCTGCATAGAGAAAAATTAAAAATAAAGATGATAATCACTTTATTGAATCTCTTTAAGGATAAGATAATACATTTAAAATTAATATGTATTTAAAAATATCTTTATTATTCTTGTCTTATTAAGATGAGCTTTCTTTTACAAATTGGTAACAGCACAAAAGGATTAAAAATATCCAACTATTTAGAAGTACAGAAAAAAAATTTTGTGTTTAATTTGAAAAACCTAAAAAAACATGAAAAAACTTTTTTCGTCTAATTCGAAGTCCGTAACTGGATTTTTTGCTTGTAATTTGAAAGTTCGAATTTTTCAGGAACAAAAATAACCAAATATTTAAATACGCATGAAAAACGTTTATATTTAAATTTGCAAAACCTTTAAAAAATAAAAAAATTTTTCTCCAACTTAAAGTCCATTTAACTTTAATTTATGCCTTTGCAGTTGGAGGTTTGGGTTTTTTTTCCGTTTGACCGTATTTATATTTTTTTCAGTGCAGCCTTTTAGTACTCACCTCGCTGTCATTGCTGTGCAGGATGAGCTTGAAGCCCGGCAGCAGATTCGGCTGCTTGTTGACATCATCCAACGCCAGTCTTGCGGCAGGCATACAGGCCTGTCCGCCCTGCCATCCTCCCTTGCCGGCTATCGGAAAGATGCCGCCGATGTGCAGCTCATCGGGCCTCCCGGCCACGCCCCCTTTCAGGTGCGGCGAGGCGATCAAACAAAGCAAAAATATCCAAAACGTAACAGCACCATCACTTGTCATATCCTGCAAAGAAGCCAAGCAAAAGGACCACAATCAGAAACAGGACTACAGGGGTCCCCCTCGAATAAAACGCTTGAAATGTGATTACCGAATTGGCGAGCGCACAAAATACAAATCGGGGAATACAAATAAAAATACAAATAGCAATACAAATAGAAATAGAAATATAAGAAGGACATCGCCGCAAAAAACAAGCCCACCAGGCGATGGAAACCGAAAACGAAACAAAAACGGTAAGAGGCGAAATGAAACCAAACCAAACCAAAACCAAAACGAGCGTCAAGCTTCGTTTTATGTGCCAAAGCAATTTTTATGACTACATGGGCAAACGTAAGCAATTTATACACTTTGTTGTGTATTCCTGCAGATGGGGTATACTAGATATGATGGGGGAGTCGCAATAATAAAAATATGACATTTATTTGATTTTTTATATTACAGATTTTAGAATTAAATCAAAAAAGGGGTTAGCTTAAAGACTTCTCTCAAAGAAATTTTGATGTAGGATATATATATATTAAAATATATATGCGTAATAGGTGAACTTTATGAGAATTTTGTTAATGGGAATAATTTGTTTATTTTTAAGAAATATTTTCAGGAAATTGTCTTAACGGAGCGAATAATTTTATGATGATAAGGAATTGGGAAGTAAGAAAAATATGAGATAGATTAATTTTAAGGAGTCAATAAAAAAACACATTTGGACTTAGTATGATCTCAAACAAGAAGAAGAATTAAATTTTAAGGTAGTTTTAAAGATATAGAGTCAAAATCTGCCAAGTGGGCCACCCCTGTTCCGAAGGTCCGATTTTCATCGAACTTTTTTACTTTTCCGGTTCACAACGAAAATATAAGAACTTCATTTGAACGGTTTTGCGAAATTTTGAGTTTTACCGGAGTTATAGGGGTCAAAACATGGCATTTTTGACACTTTTTCGAAAAAGTTGCACTCAGTCATTAATTCATAACTTCGGAACGGTAAGAGATATCTTTATGATGTTTTCACTAATCGCTCAAGAATTATTATGGCTTTCCATAAAAAAATGTAAAAAAAAATAAAAATTTTTTTTCTTAAAAATAAATCAACATTTTTTTAGTTTTTATTTTTTTCAGTGTTCTTCACCAGCTATAGAGTTTAAAACCATTTGAAAATGAAGTTTGATTCATTACGAAAAAGATCAAAAAAAAAAAAATAGTGGCCCGGACAAAGGTTTTTCGCCATATCGATTTGAAGAAGGGCGCACAGCGGATTCCCATACAAAAACGGCTTGCTCATGAAAATTGGCTGGTCAACACATGCCGTTGCGCGCGTAGCGTCAGCCGACTGCAGCTGTCAATGAGGCACTTCTTGTCGTTTTGTATGGGAATCCGCTGTGCGCCCTTCTTCAAATCGATATTGCGAAAAACCTTTGTCCGGGCCACTATTTTTTTTTTTTTGATCTTTTTCGTAATGAATCAAACTTCATTTTCAAATGGTTTTAAACTCTATAGCTGGTGAAGAACACTGAAAAAAATAAAAACTAAAAAAAATGTTGATTTATTTTTAGAAAAAAAAATTTTATTTTTTTTACATTTTTTTATGGAAAGCCATAATAATTCTTGAGCGATTAGTGAAAACATCATAAAGATATCTCTTACCGTTCCGAAGTTATGAATTAATGACTGAGTGCAACTTTTTCGAAAAAGTGTCAAAAATGCCATGTTTTGACCCCTATAACTCCGGTAAAACTCAAAATTTCGCAAAACCGTTCAAATGAAGTTCTTATATTTTCGTTGTGAACCGGAAAAGTAAAAAAGTTCGATGAAAATCGGACCTTCGGAACAGGGGTGGCCCACTTGGCAGATTTTGACTCTATAATAAATATACTTTTTTGTTGACTAAATTGTTTTCTTACTTTTCTTATAGGTCCTTATTAACATAACACGTTATTTTATAAACTTGTCGGCAAGTTGTGATACTGTCAGCAATTAAGGATAATATATCCTTCTGTCTTCCAAATGATTAGAAAATTCAATGCTTTCTTGACAATAAATCTTGCCATAAAACGTTGAATAAGCATCTCGGTCTTTATAATCCACTTCATAAAATGCGTGCACATTTAAATTGTATCTTTGTTGCATACTTTTGGGTTATGTTTTTGGTTGTAGCTTAATGCGGATTAGGTATGAGATTTTCCTTCATTTGTTCATACACAAGTATATGCGTGTATAGCGTTTTAAAGGTTTAAGAGCTTGTTGCGAAAGCGAAAGCTTGTTTTTGTGCTCGTCTTAATGTATGCAAACATTTCTAAAGAAAATAAACAAATTTGAGACCAAATAAGCTGGCAGGCCAGCAAATCCATTATTAAAATTGAAATGAGTTTCATGCGTCCTTAATAACTTTTTGTGTTATTCTTCTTTTGACTTAATTTAAGTAGTCATTCATTTTAATGAATGCTGCGATTTTATATGTCTGTTAACATATTTATTTTGGGAAAGGAATAAAATTAATATCAATAAGAGTATTGGCATAAAATTCTCTTTTTTTGCTGATTAGCTTAGGTCAGTTTCGATTCGACCTTGCTGACTAATCAAACGAAATAAGGACATAAAAAACAGAAACCAAATGCTTTTTATGTCCTTTCACCTAAACCACAAAAAAAGAAAAAACGAATTCAATTTTCCCTAACATTTAAATTCATTTCGGTTGCGTTAAAGAATTTCGTTTTAATTAAGCAAATCTCATTAGGAAGCAAATTGCGGCCAGTCCAATCCCACAATAATCCCAGAAAATAGTTATCGCAATCCACATGGAAGCCAAATCAAATCTGCAACAAATTCAATTGTTTGCGGACCGAATTGAACTTGGGTTTAATAGTAATTGTCTCTTTGTCTCGTTTTATTCTGTCTGTGTGGTTGCTATTTAAGTTTTGATTTCAAAGCTTTTAAGCTTTGTTTCAATTGAGATTTGTCGAAACAAATAAATAAATAAATAAGCAGTTTCTATTTATTTGCTGTTGTTCTCTTTCTTTTTTTGTATCCTGAGGTTATCCTGAGTTTGTTTTTTGTTACTGGGCAAGGGCATTTTGCGCTTCGGCGCCTGAGTTTTATGGCTTTTACTCGCTTACACCCCCACTTCTTCTGTCCGCAGCCCCTTTGGCAATGTTCTAAACTCCTGCCACCAATTTTTTGTTTTCTATAAAAAAAGAAAGAACTTTTATGTGGGGGGAAGCCTCTTTATCTCTGTGTGTCCTGCGTAAACGAGGTGTACATACACGCATACGTACTACGACAATACGTAAAAAGATATGGGGGGCAACAAAAAAATAATTTAAAGTATGAATTGTATCGTGTATTTTATGGTCAGCACGTTTTATAATTTATTAAGGTTCTAAAATATTCAATTTAACCCTAGTTTTCGGTTAACTAAAGGTCCTGATGGATATCTGGATTAATCGATAGTTTAGACCTTGGAATCGTGCTGAATGTGGAATTTAAAAAATCTGTATAAAAACACTAAAATATTCTACTTAATTTGCTTCCTTTCAAAATCCTAAAATCTAAAATTTAATAGAAACGTTTAAAAAAACTAAAACTAAACATAAAAAAAAAGTTTTTTCATTTTGTAAAACATAATTTAAAAAAAAACCTAAAATCTTTGTATCTTTATGATTGTTTTAGTTTTTTTATTTAAATGAATAAAAAAATCATATCAACCGTCAACGTTGCGTATACGCTTTTTTTTAATGTTTGACTTTAAGTGAATGATGAATGAAATGAAAGTCAAAAATAAAATACAGTTTTTCTTTTTGCCCTGGCTGGTTGGTTGATGAATGACACTTTTTCATGCTCAAATACGTTAAATTTTTTCGTGCCAGAACCTTTTTTCAGTGTTTGCATACGAGGACCGTGGGTTATTGAATGGAAATGCTGTCGGCATGGCACAAACAAACATACACCGCCGCAACCACTCAAAATTTGTTTGCCAGTTAATCGCACTGAGGCGCGTTAATCAGCGGCGGTGCTTTAGGGGTTGGGGGTGGTGGGGTGGTGCTTTAGTGGGTGGTTCAGGTGGTGGTGGGTTACTTAACTAAGGTGTGGTTGCAGATTTGGCGAGTTGACACCTTTGACGTAGAGTTGCCGCTGAAGTGGGACTGAAAAGCAGGATGGGTGCTAAGGGGCTAACTTCCTAGTGACCTAGTTTACAACCCCCCCCCACACACACACACACACACAAACACAGACTCATAACATTAATTACGCCGAGAATTCTGCACAAAATGCGACAAATGCTTCACTTCACTTGGCTGCCTCCTCACCTGCTGCTTTTCGCTACACAAAACAAAAAGAAGATCCTAGATTTTAATCGGCTTCTACTCTAATTAGCTTTCTAGTATTCTTGTTTTTATGCCTGACAAAAGAGTATAAATAAAGCATACAACAACAAGAAAAAGTATTATAAGGATTTCAATTCTTACTACAATTCTTGACTTAGAAGGTTCAAATTGCAATAGTACTCAATGCATTTTATATATTTTAAGTTTCATTAATTTTAATTAATTCAGTAATTAGCATACAAATTCTTCTTATTGTGTATAGCTAATAACCGCAAGGAATTCAATTGAAATAAATAACCTTTGTATAAATAAATTCATTTGAAATACATTTTTAATTTTTTTATTTTGCAAATAAAATATAAATGACTACATGATTCGATTTTTCAATATGTATAAATAATAAATAATTTTATTTATTTAAGAAGAGGATAAATATAGTTTAAATAAATCTTCTTGCTATTATCCATTTAAATCTTTTCTTTTCCTATCCAATATTGTAAGAAAATAGCATATGCGACTATAAAATCATAAAATTAAAATGAAAACCAAATTGCAATTTGAATTTAAATTTATTATTTATTTTAAATTTTTTATTTTTTTTTTTATTATTTAAATTTTATTGATCTGATTTCTCGTCCTAACTTGAATTGCATTTACTCTATTTCGGCAGCATTTCCATTATTTTCCAATCGACGAACAATGGGACTTTAAAATGCAGGATTTGAATATCCTTTTGAAATGAATATTTCTTTTTTTTTAGGTGTATTCCACACTCCCCTTTGCGGTACTCTACACCTTTCTATGGCCGTCTCGCTCACTTTACACTTCACTTACTTTGCGTATTGCCGTTTAAAAATGCGATGTTGTTGTTGTTGCTCCTGTTGTTGCTGTCTCCTTTGCTGCTTCTTCTTCTCGGTCTCCGCTTTAGCCTTTGCCTTTGCCGTTGTTTTTGTCTTTGTCTTTGTCTGCTCCTTTGCTCCTTTGGCCGGTGCTTCAATTGTTTCATAAGACGATTCTTCTTTTTCGCTGCTCCTTTTTTGGTGGGCAGGGGCGTAGGGGGTGCGGCAAAAAAGGGGGTCAGGGGCCAATTCAATGTTTGTTGCTGCTTCTGTTGTTGTTGTTGCTGTTGCTGTTATCGCTGTTGCGGCGGCGTTGTTCAAACATAATTTGATGACTGCGCATTACAATCGATAATCCCATGCACAAATGCAGCTCAGCACATCGGCATTGGCTTAAATCCATTTTAATGAGAACGGATCCCGATAATTCCGTAATCCCCAAATGATGGCAATTCCTCTAGCAGGACCTATCCGCTCTCCTCTCCCTCTCCCTTTCTTTTTAATATATATGTGTTTGTTGCACTTTCACAAATAATACGAGAAAAAACCGAGATGAGAAGGGGCGTGAGCTTTTCAATTTTTTTTGTCAACTTGGTTTGAGTTTCTCGTTTTTTTTGCGGTTTATCCTGCTCTATGTACTATATCTTTTTTTATACAATATATGTACATATAATCTCGAAGATTTTGCTTTTAATTTCTTATCAAACTAGTAAGCTTGTGTGGTGGCTTTGTTGGCCATGGATAATTAATGTATTCCGTTTTATTTCACTTGATTTCCAACTTTAACACACTTTGTAACTTCACATTATCAATTCCCGCACGGTAATCAAATTTAACACCTTTTTTTGGGTAGTATTATGTTATTTCTTGCTTTTTTAGTTGGTGTGTGGTGTCTATTTTTTGTACAGACTTTTTCGCATTGTATACGGGGGATGAGAGGCGATGAGAGGCTCAGGCTCTTTCTGTGTTCGTTGTGTTCCACATGTATCCGACGACTGGAACTCCATGACTGACATTTACATTTTCGCCTCGCCAGGACGAAAGCTTAGCGAGCAAGAGCTTTTCGAAACGGGAAGGCTGCTCGTGCTTCCGCTTTTCCAGTTGCCAGTTGGGAAAAGTCGGTTGCCAAGTCGGGTTTTTGAAGTTTCGCTTTTTCAGTTTTGGTGGCCAAGTCGAAAGTCGCGAAACTCTCCGGGCAATTACGGTTATTATGGGGGTAGGGGGTGCTTATTATAGGGGGGGGGGGCTGTGGGTGTAGTGTAGGTTTAGCAAGGACGAGGGCGGGTTTAAGGACACCGGTTTTATAGAGTTGTCAAATGGCCCCAGGAATGGCCAGTCAAAACATCAAAATTCACTCGCAATTGGCCAAGGGCAACTAGAAAACCAGGAAACAGGAAAGTCGGAGGGGGCATTGTTTTGAAAGCGAAAGGCCATAATGGTTGCATGCCACATTCAAAGCCAAAGTTGAGTTTCATTTTTGGGGTCGGGTCGCCTGAGTCGCCTCATCGAGTCAAACATGCAAACACGCACGGGCCAAAGGAAGGCAAGGTGAGGTCCTTGTCATTTAACTCACTTGTCGAGTTGACCTTTGTTTGGTTGCCATAGCTTGGTTGTCGTGTACGAAACACCTAATGCCCAACTGCCACGCCTTGAGCTTGAGCCCCTTAAATCCCTGTACCTCCCCAGTACCCCTACCAAAAAGAAAGAACGGAACCCTGAAATAAGAATAACCCTCTTCGCACAAGGAAAAAATATAAGATCAATATCTATTTGTTATTATAATGTAGTAGATATATATTAAAATAACATAACAAATAAACAGATTCAACCGCAAATTCTTTAGAACAAGATGAGCCTATATGTTACAGTAATAGAACATTTGTTTAAAACATTTAGATCTAAAAATCCGCGTATTCTTCAGAACAAGAGGAACTAATATTGCAAATTTATATTATTTTTATTTTTTTTATTTTTGTTTTTATAATGTTGTTATAATGAACAAGATGAGCCAATACGATATAATAATAAAACATTTGTCTAAGCCATTTAGATTTTAAAATTCGCGAATTCTTCAGAACAAGAGGAACAAATATTTTTATTTATTTTATTTTCCATTATAAAAACCCATTTATTAACTTCATATTTGCACTATTCAGTTCCTTTTTTTATGAGTAATACCGAGATTTTCTTTCTGTGTGCTCACTTAGCTCTAAAAACAAACTTACCCCCAGGTTGGTTTGGCCATGTGCATGCTTAATGAGCTTATCAAGGCTCTGGGATTATTGAATATTTTCAAATCGATATAGATATAGCAGCAAAGCCACACCACACCGTTAGTTGGCACCTTAATTGCCAGCTGAATAAATCATTGACAATTGTGCAATTAGTTTGACAACCTCAACTGTCCGCTCAAGTCGAAGGATTCTGCGGTCAAAAATAAACTTTGGTATTTGCATTGTCCAGAAGTATTCAAGCCAAGAAATTTGAAACTTCCACCATACACATGGGTCGACTGGGGAAATCAATTACTCAAATATTTATATCTCTGCATGTGGAATGTGGGCATGCTGAAATGCACTTGTCTTGAAATCTGTCAGAGAGTAAATGGTAAACGAAACTGTGTTGAACGGATTAAATAATTTTCAGATGTGTGAACGCAAGGGCATTCGGGTTATGGTCTTTATTGGTTCTGTCGAAATGGTTATAAAATTCATTGTTTAATTTTGAAATTGATTTAGAAGTCAGTTGGAGCAGAATCTGCTCTGCTTAAGGGAAATCCTTTCAACAAAAAGTTGGTAAACACAAGGAAATTGAATTTGTTTGGCTTATGAACAGCGATCAATAAAAAAGACTTGTATATTAATGATTGTACTATTGAAACCTTGGGCTTGTATTTTCCCTATCGCTGAATTCTGATTGCTCGATTTCTGAGAAATGTTTATAAACTTGGAAGTTGTAAGGTGGAACGGGAATGAGGTTGATAAGGTTAGTTAATTGCATTGAAGTAATTAAATAAATGTTGATTTAATCTATCATAAATAAATATTATCCAAAAATAATTTTATAATAGGAAAATTTATTTGAAGTAGTATGAAAAAAATTTAATTTAAGTATATATATATTTAATTAATAAAAGATCATTTTACAGACTTACTAAAAGAAATTGACGCTATTCAAAAGCTTTATTTTAAGTTATAAGACAAAGTGCAATCTAGTTGTAATCTTACTGAAAAAATACACATTCTAAGTAGAAATAAAAGAAATCTTTAAATCAAATCCAATGACATTTTATTTCAAAGGAACACGCATAGAATATTTTGCACAAAAACCTTGCCAAGGCATAGAATTAAATGTAATTACTGAGCCAACATCCGACCTTAGGCTTGGTAAAGCAGGTGAGGAAGAGGCTCCACCTGGCGGGCGTTGCACAAACGCATCCAAGCGAGCCAAGAGTGACTACAACTACCACGACACTCGTACTCGTGTGGCAGCAATGAGGAGCAGAGTTCAAGTTTCTCTTTGGCCAGAAAAGAACCACAAAAGATTACCAAGCGATGAGCTGCAGCTCATCATCTTCACATCCTTTCAATGGGCGCCGCTAAGTCCTTGGGCATACACACACACATGTACTTATGTGTATGGTATGCACAAATATGTGTGGAACGTTTCATTTTCCACTTTTTTTCTTTCATTTTTTACCCATCTTTCTTTCTTCTTTTGGTTCGTTTTACCTTCTTTTTTTCTTTCTTGGTTTTGTGTTAAATTGTTGCGTTAACCAAGCCAACCAGCTCCGGGGGCAATCCTTGTAAAAAGTTTAGCATAGCAGCAGGCGCACGCAGACATGCTCGCAGCCATTCACACACACACGCAGAGGGAGAGAGGAGCCACCAACACTGTCGCACGCCTGGCATGCGTTTTTCACATTGTTTCATGCGGTTGAATAAACACAAGCCGCACACAGACATACCATCAAAAGGCATACACGCATACATCTACAAACATTCATGCATTTTATGATCTGCAGAGAAAGGACCAAAAGAGAGACGGAGAGAGAGGAAGAGAGAGCCACATAGACACTTATTCGCTCGCTTGCCTCGACAGGCTTACAAAACAAACATTGCGGCATGTTTTCTGTTTGTACACACTGCGTATACGTAATACGTACTATATGGGGGGTCCTTACATTTCCTACCTGCGTTTTGTCAGTGTGCCCAGCAGCACCAACACACTGACACACTGCCTTCCACACGAACACACTGCAGTCACGTATGCACATTACTCAACACAACCTGGCCAACAATTGCCCCACAGGCCTTAACCCTTGCGAGGCTAACAGATTTTTTACATCCTTTAAGAAGCCCCAAAAAATTCAAGTCTCCTCAGACTTAGAACCTCTTATGATCATAGCATCCTTTAAATAACCTCTTTAGTGTAAAAGTATCCTGGGATCCAAAATAAAAAAAATATTTAATCTTTTCAGGATTTTACATGCACATTTTTTTTAAAAATAGAAATCCTACAGAAATGTGCCAAAAAAATGTGTAATATTTTTAACCGCTTATTTTATGGCAGCATTTTAATAGTTTTTAATTTTACAAGGGTCAACAGGTGAAGGTCACGGTAATAAATAAACAAAAGCATTTAAACTACGATAAACAATTTTGATTTGCTGATTATATACAAGTATAGAATTTGAATTAATGGTATTTGTTTAGCCCCAGAGAATTTGTAATCAATAGTAGTCAATTATAAGGGGTTCTGTTTCATAAATGGCAATTTACTAATTTAATAGGAAGAGATAATAATATAATAACCCTGGATGAAAAATGTTTTCAGATAAGCTTAGTAGGAATTTATATAAATAATATTTATTGAATAAGAATTGATGTGACTGAACTAAATAAAATCCTCAGAATCATTGAAAATAACATTGTCTTTAACTAGAAAAGCGATAATAATATGCTTCAGCTTCAGAAGTCCTATAAAAAGCTGAAAACTGACCCCGATAGTTATAGTACTACTTTAACAACTGAACAAAATGCGTTTTTCATTGGTGACCGCTTTGGTGCTAGCTCTATTAGTAGGAAAAACTATTTGAAAATCATTAAAACGTAATAATAATATATATTTTTTCATAGGGTTTTACCAGAGGATCGGCCACTGAACCCGACAAGGAAAAGTTTTGTGATTTTCTCGAAGGCGTTGAGGACGATCGACTTCATTTGGCGGACTCTTTAACAAGAAAAGCTCTAAGTGTTGCCCATAAAGTTATAGACATGTTGGGAAGCAATTCGGATTTTGGAAAATTCATACACGACAATCGCGTTCCGTTGTCCATCGCTACTACAGATACGAAGATTAAGTTTCTTTTGAATTTCCGTTGCAACTACAAGACAATGATTCTCTATAACAGGCGCTATAGTGACAATCCGGAATACCAAAATATTTACAAGTCTTACAAATCGGAGAGCAATGCGGAGATAGCGAAATTCGATCAGCTTATGGCCCGTGATGCTTTCAAAATGCTTAACAGAATGCGTAATACTTCATCCTCCACTAAAACTGAGTTCAATGATGCCCTCAATTCTTATATGGATCGTAAGGGTATTGTAGTTGCGCACTGCATGATGGATCGCTTTCTTCAGCTAGCGAAGTCTAAGTACGAATGCACCTATGTAAAGATGTTTTTATAAATCCGTAAACCATTACAATAATTTTTTTATAATTTTGTAATACCAAAAAAAAATATTTTACATTTATTATCCAAATAAAGTGTAAGAAAGTACATTAAAAAAGATTTCTTGGTTACTAATTTTCTTAATCTATCTTGTCTTACCCACTAAAATCTACATGATCTCATTAAATCAAAAAGATTAAAAGAATTTATAGAAATCCGAAATACTCTTGGAAGCTAACAAACTTATTATTTGAACAACAATTTTTTATAGTAATACCAAAAAACACATATTATACATATATTAAAAATAAAGTTTAACGAAGAGCATTGCAAAGATTTCTTGGTTACTAATTTTCCATAGGGAAAATGTACCCATTATTTACCCATTAAAATCTACCTGATCTAATTAAATCAAAAAGATTAAACCAATTTTCAGAAATCCGACATTTTCTTCGGGGCCAGCCAAACTTATAATTTCATGAAAGTTGAAAATGTTAATTTGTTGAATGCCTAAAGGGGTGGGATATCTGGCGTTTGCCAATGTTTGGGTTAAAAGTGAACTAATTTACATAGACCGCATGGTACAATGCGCAGGCGGCCGCATGGAGAAGGTAACAAAAAGATTCATTAGGGCCAATCAGTGCAAAGCGAGTCGTGGCGAAGGACATGCGGAGAGTGGCGAAGGACCTGGCCAAAAGCGGTGGGTTGATGGTTGGGTTGGATGGTTGAGGGCAAGCCGTGTGTGTAAACGTAAACAGCTCGGGCAGCTCTGTTGTTTGCCATATAAATACGCACGCTCTACTTTAAACAAAAGTGGAAGACCCACCCATCCCGGATCCCGAAGCCCAGAGCCCAAAGCCCATCCACCACGTACACGTGCCTGGCTTCTTCTCTTCTTGTTGTCCGTGTGCGTCAGTATGTGCAAAACAAATTTAAACTTTACACACAAAGTTGATTTTTATGAGGAAAACTTTAAATAATGAAATTATCTGACAAGAAGTTGGGAAGAGAATTTTAAGCCCCCAGCGATAATGAAAGGAAGAGGCTAACTGATTGGGCCAATATAAAGTTTGCAAAACGCTTGGAAACCAATCAATGGCGTAATTTATGCCGTTATTTTCTCCAGGACCCCCTGCCCTACAAAAAAACCCCCTACTTTCGACCCGTTATCAAATATTTATTTACACTTCAGCTACAATAATTCATTGATGCATCGAGCGCCTGGCACGACACGCTTTCTCCTCGGTTTCGACTGGCTGGTTGGGGTCGCTCCAGAGCACAACTGAACCAGAGAACGGAGAACAGGTTGGGTCCTCGTCGCTGGCAGGCGGTCAGGCACGACCCGGCAACGTAAACGTCAGGACTAACCTTTGCCCGATGTCCTTCAAAGGCGCCGTCGCTGTGAAAGCAACAGCTGTGCGCTCTCTCAGCCCCAAAAAGAGCTTCGTTCTCCAAGGAGCTTTCTTCGATGTCCTTCCAGTTTCGAACTCAACTCTCGGCCATAAAGCCTTCTTATCAAAGCTTTCGCTTTGGGCGGGTTGAAAGGACACTCAAACGAGGGCTATGCAAAAGATATCAGGTTGATATAGAGCGTAGATTTCAAAATGATTAAGAAATTTTGGAGTAATATATATATTTTATTCTGTAATTTTAAAAACTTTACAAGTGGTTTTCGTAATTTATTCAAAGTTAGCTGGTTCGATTTTCTCATTTAAAATAAGAAATCCATCAATATATTTTTTGCATAAAGTTGACTTACCAATAAACCACATTTTTCGCTTTCAAAAATGTATTAAATGACCCTTTTTAAATTATAAACCCCCTATTTAAATTAGAAATTTTAAATAATTTGTATACAAAATGTATGATAATCTCTTTAATTTTGTTTTATTTTATCATATTATGTCTTAAGGTCTGAATGAAAATGTTGCATAATTTTTTTTAATTTGTTATATATTACTGAAATAAACGTTTTGTCCGATTCTGTATTTATCTTTAGCATTACGAAAATATTAAAAAGTATTTTACAATTGTTTTCTAACTACAACACAAACAAACGAAACAATGAACTAAAAAACAAGAGATGTAGTACATGGACAATAAACATAGTTTTAAACAACAAATTTGGATTATTAGTAATATTCATAGGCGGGGAAATTGGAAACTATTTTATGAATTTGTCAAGTTCTTTTAAATAAATCCATTTTGTTTATTTACTTGTTATATTTAAGCTAAAATGAACAATCAAGTTTTTGGCTAACCAAAAGTAAAATTGAATATTAAATTGAATTGGATACCTATGAACACAAACAAACATACCTTCTTAATTAATTACAAAATTCCACTTACGGTCTAAGCCTTTCAGCAATCTGAAATCTGTTCATGCTTTCGAGTATAATATGATTTTTAAAAATGTTTGGGCCACGAATACAGATAAATAACCTATAACGCAAAATGTTTGATTTTTGGCAATATTCAGTCATCGAATTCAAACAATGGTTTGCCATTGGTATCCCAGGTGTTTTTGCATTTCTTGAAGGCACAAACCAGGTAAAGGGCTAAAAAATTAATAGATATTAACAAGGGAATTTGTTGATAAACCCAGCACACTTACTTGCTGCTTCCCACTCGGATTTGGAAAGGGTTCCCAGCGGCCGGCCGCGCTGTGCTCCCTGGAAATTCCGCACGTGGGCGAACTGCTCATCGTTTTCACAGCGCTGCGGGTGGACCGTCTCCAAACCGGACATTCGCTGCAGGAGATGCCGGCCGTGGGGCAGACTCTCCTTGTAGTAGTCCGCAAATGTGGACCTTCGTATCAACTGCAGGCCGTACTTCCTGCCCAGCTTGATGAGCGTGGGAAAATGCACGAGGAACTCGGGACAATCGACTACGCCCTCCAGATGAAACTGATACTTGGCTCCGAAAAAGGGCAGCGGATCCGTTTCGCAGTCGAATTCAATGCTGTACACATCGTTGCCGAAACGCCGGGCATCCGGACCGGCTGCCTTGAGTCTCCTGATGATCTCGTAGGCATCCGGCATGGTGGCTATGAAGAAACCACCTGGTTTCAGGCACTCCGCCGCATTGCGCATCATGCAATCGGCCTGTGCCATCGATTCAAAGCAGTAGTGAAAGGCAAACTGGCAGGACACGAGATTCAGCTGGAGCGAGGGATCCTTGTAGCGTTCCCGCAGGCGCACTAATGTAGAATCGCAGGCGAAGAACTCGGCGGTGAACTTGTTGGCAAACTTGGACTTTTCCGCACGCTGCAGGATGTCCTTGTAGCGCCGCTGGCATTGCTCCACGGAGACCTCGGCGATGTCCGTGCAGATGAGGTGGGAAATGGAGGCCTTCTCCCATTTCAAGAGATCACCGCCCTTGCCGCAGCACATGTCCAGGACGCGCAGGGCGTCGCCCATTCGCTTTTGCTGCTTTATCTGCGACATGTACTCGTTGATCAGCTGGCTTTTGATCCAGTTGTTGAAGTTGCGCATGAAGAAGATCTTCGACTGCTGGCGATCCTTGCGACCGCCCTCCTTCAGCTCGTTGTAGTGGTGCGCCACCACATGTGTGTTGGCCGCTCCTCCTGCGGCGGCGGCCTCAGTATCCTGCTCCTGATCCGGATCCTCCTCCCGATCATCTGGTGCCTCGCCTCCTTCACCTCCTTTCCCGCCACCCGGCTCCTCGTAGAACTCGCGGGCTCGTTTACTCGCCGGTGGCCCATCGTCCTGGGACGTGGACTCCTCCGCCTCCGCCTCCTCCTCGTCGTCCGACAGACTGACTGCCTTGTGTGCCCGGGCGAACTGCTCATCTGCCGCATTTTGCTCGTAATTCACGCTCATTATTTTCACCTATTTTCTGTTTGTGCGAGGCAGTCGCTGTCTATCGATGTTATCGGGTCAGCTAGGGGTGGGCGTTGCACGGGCTGTCGGCGTGATTTAACGGTGAAAAAGAGTGACTTGGAAAATAAGAAATTTAGGATTTTTCTTAAACAATTTTTTAACTTAGAAAAACTAGAAAGAAATCTTTAATATTGAAAATAGCCAAGTTGTAAAGGTCAGCGTGATTTAACGGGAAGAAACAGTGAATTGGAAAATAAGAAATTAAGGAATTAAGGAAACAAGAAATTTATCTTTAATATTTAAAATAGCCAAGTTAAACATTTAATTTTTCACTTCACAGCCCACCAAATTAACCCATCACTAATACATCGCCGATGGTTAACAGCGCTGTTAATGGGTAACAGTAATCTGCAATCAGCTGTCAACAACTCATGCGTTCGTTAACATAGAGAAACTTTTAAATGCGGTTTTTGGGAAATTTGAGTAAATTCACCAAATTACTGAATCGCAACCTTGTTCAGGATATTCCCAAGCGCAGGATGGCCTGCAGCAGATTCGAGTACGTCAAGTCCTTCGAGCAGGACGACAGCATATTGCCCAATGTGTGGATAGTCATAAGGATCGATGGCAAAAAGTTCCACAAGTTCTCCAAGACGCACGATTTCGAGAAGCCCAATGATGCGAATGGTACTTATTTACTAATAAATTGTTATATATTCATATTAAAGAAGCCATCTTATAGCTCTAAATGTGATGAATGCGGCTGCGACTTCTGTAATGCAGGAATTCCGGGATGTGGTGCTGGCCTATGGCCAAAGTGATGAGTACTCCTTTGTTTTCCGCAAGGAGACGACTGCCTTCAAGCGAAGATCCGCCAAACTGCTCACCTACGTCACCAGTTTGTTCTCCTCGAGCTACGTGATGCAGTGGTCCAGGTGGATGAGCCAACCTTTGGCCTATGCTCCCTGTTTTGATGGCCGGGTGGTCCTGTATCCCTCGGAGCAGAACCTAAAAGACTATCTCAGCTGGCGACAGGCCGATGTGCATGTGAACAACCTCTACAACACGGCCTTTTGGAAATTGGTCCTGGAAAAGGGTCTCTCCAATCAGCAGGCGGAGGAGAAGCTGCGAGGGACATTCTCGGCGGACAAGAACGAGCTGCTCTTCCAGGAGTTTGGCATAAACTACAACACACTACCGGCCATGTACAGAAAGGGAACGATTCTACTCAGGAAAAGAGTTAATTTAGGTGACAAGAGCCGACAGGCGGTGGTTCCACTGCACGAGGATCTGATTTCCTCGGCCTTTTGGAAGCAGCACACGGAAATATTAGGCAAATATGTGCCGGGCACCTATGAGGCACCGCAATCACTGCCCAGATTGGTGGAATTGCAGCTGAATGACCAAAATCTGGCCGGTATTAGCTGATAGTTGATCTTTAGGCAATATATTTTAAGATTAAAACTAAGATACTGCCTTAGAAACCACGGATTTGAACTTATGGCATATATTTTGTAAGATTAAAACTACATTAAGCTCATAGACGGACACTCTACCCAACTAGTAGTCGTCGTCGTCCTCGTCCTCGTCGTCCTCGCTCGGTTTGCTCGCCACGGAGCCGTCGGTGAGAGGTGGCCGCTGCACCATGGCCGCCGCCTGCATGCTCATCCACTGCTGCTGCTCCTCGCGCGCCTGCTCCTCGCGTGCCTTGGCGAAGAGCTCCTGTTGCTGGCGCAGCAGCTCCTCCTCCGGAATGCCCAGGTTCTCCAGGCGAGTGCTTTGGCGCCTCCGCTTGGCGGCCACCTCCTTGCAGTCGTGCAGCACCGCCTCCGCCTCCTGTTTGTAGTCATGGAAGCCAAGCCTTTCAAGCGCCTCCAGGACGTGCTCCGCATTGATGGTCTTCTTGTTGCGCAGATTGCACACCTCGTTGGCCTCCGAGCTGATCAGGTGGATGAACTCGGAGCAGCAGTTCAGGATCAGCTCGCGACTCTCGTTGGCCACCCGCACCGTGGGCACCAGCTCCTTGATGATCTTGTTGATGCTCGCCCGCGGCAGGGTCAGCTCGTCGTCCTCGGCGCTCGGCGGCAGCAGCTCCTCCTGCGGATTCGACATGGCTTCGTGGGATCTCGGGTTTGAGTGAGAACGTAAACAAAGATGGGAACTGTTGTTTCCCTTATTTATTTGTATCCAAATAAAAATGTGCTAGAGCTGGTAAACTATCGATGGTACCATCGATAATATCGATGGTTAGGAGCCAGCTTGAAAAGTACCACGATAGTATCGCCATCATATCCCCGAAATTACGCTGTAAGAAAAAATGTAATATCTGTTATATTATATTTTTATTAAACAAAAATTATAATTTTTTATTATTAAAAACAGTGGATTACCGAGTTTAATGTGTAATTTTATCTCACGTCTAGCGGCTGGACCGCAATTAACGAAGCCGCATTAATACGATTTTTTATATAACATAACTAAAAACCTAAAATATTTTATAACATTAGAAATTTATTAATATTCATATCAAACTAGTAATGTGTAATGTTAATTTAATGTGTAATTTGATCTCAAGTCTAGCGGCTGGACCATTATTAACGAAGCCATGTTTTAGGATAATTTTTACTTAACATCAATTAACTAAAAGATGTTAGATACTCGAAGCGTATTAAAATTTGGATCAAACTTATAAAGACTACCCTTAATGATTTCTCTATTTTCCTAAGTGAATACCCTTCGCGATAGTATCGATAGCTTCCGACAGAAACCTCGAAAACATCGATAGTGTCACTATTTTCCAAATTAAAAACAATCTCTAATATTCTAAGCTAATTTATTAAAATATCCATTTAAAATGGGGGATTACGACTCGGATGAAGAGAAATCCCAAGTGGAGAAGCTGCGCTATGCAAAAGTACCCCGTGGAATGTTCGTGAGTGGCTGGGATGACGATGCCGATGAGCTTATAGAGGAGGACAAGAATCCACAATGTAAATTCCTTAATTTTATAGTTATTCCTCCTGTATTTGATATATGTTTTTTACCCAACTTAGCCAGCATTGAACGCATGATCCTGTGGGCGGTGAACGAGAATCGGATTAGCGAGGTGCGCGAGATCCTGCGCCTGGATGCGGACACCGTGAACGCCAAGGACAACGATGGCTACACCCCGCTGCATCGGGCGGCCTACAACAACTTTGTGGACATGGCCAAGCTGCTGCTCCAATACCGGGCCGATCCCAATGCCCGCACGGAACTGGGCTGGACTCCCCTGCACTCCGCCTGCAAGTGGAACAACGCGGATTGTGCCCACTTGCTGCTCCAGTTTGGAGCCGATGTAAATGCCGAGTCAGAGGGCAAACAGACGCCGCTCCACATCACAGCCACCGTTTCCAATTGCCGCAATACGGCCACCGTCCTGCTGCTGGACAGGAATATCCAGCCGCGCAAGGAGAACAACTCCGAGGAGCTGGCCTCCGTGATCGCCCGGCGCACCGGCATGAGCTTCCCCATCTTCGAGTCCGACAACGAGGCCTACGACTGCCAAACGGGACTGATAGATTAACCATTAAGCAGCCAAACCAATGTGCATACTTATAGAATACCTAATATACGTTTTATTCATAAATAATCGTTTACATCTGGCAGATTTCTGGGAATGGATAGGTTTTATTCCTATACGTTTTCATTTTTCAATGCCCGGCTGCAGCCAAAATGGTGGTGAACCTTTAATTCCTGGCCCCAAAGGAGCATAATGCCAGCGAATACTATTCTATGGACTCAAAGCTCTGCGATATTTGAAGTAATTCTAGCTTGTTGCATTACCTAAAACTTTGGTAATTTAGTTAATTTCATTTATTCCAATATAAATAGGTATAAAACTATCTTGTCGCTTCGACAAATGTTAAATAAAAGATTTAAGGACTTTTCTAAGCAATTGATAGTGGTTATTGTAATATCGTACCAATATTTATTTCTACACCTATATTTTTCAGCTGGCTGGTGCCGGTGATCGCACGAAATGCTCGTAGAATGACTTTGTGTAGTTGATCATCTCATCCTGCATGGCGGCGGGCACAAAGTACGGATTCCCCTGGCCACCCTCGATGGTTCCCTTGGCCGTGTATCGCATGTAGCTGGACACCGTTGTCTCTGGCGGCAGAACAGCACCATCCTCAATCACACAGCAGTCTTTTAGAACACAGCGACGGCCCTGAAAGCGCAGAATGATATGATATGTCTATAAATTTGATGATTATATTGGTGAATACAAATAGATAATCTTATAAAGGCCATACAAATCCTAAGCTTTAAAAGATTTAGGACCGTTTTCTCGTCCGTTTGTTAAATTTAAAGTAGGGTTAAAACCTTGAAATCGTATGAGAAATTATTGTTTTAACCCTACTTTAACTTAACAAAAGGACGAGAAAACGGCCCTAAGTAATGACAATTTTAGGCTAAATACAATTCTTACTAAAATAAACACAAGATCCAATTATAAATACAATAAATTTTCCACAACTCGAATCAAACCCGAGTTATAGAACTAAACTAAACAAACTACTTCTTCAGACTACAAAAATATGAAATCAGGAAGAATATACTAATTATATAATATATAATATATATACAGAAGATCTTTCACGACTCTAATCAAAAGTTATAGAATAAATTAGACCAAAACAACTAATTCTACTTATATAGATTATACAAAAATTAAGCTTTCAAAGTTTCAGGGGGCTTAGTACTTTAAATATAGCTTACAATAATGGAATTTTTGCCGATATAAACACAAGATCCAATAGTATATAAAGAAAATCTTTCACAAAGTGGAATCAAAACCGAATTATAGAACAAATTAGGCAAAAAACTAGTTGTAGCCTACAACTTGTAGGTATAGAAAATTGGTTCTTTGTGAGTTAGGGCTAAAAATATATCTTACAATAATGGCATTTTTGCCGATATAAACACAGGATCCAATAGTGGCCGCTGAGACGACGGCTCCTTCGCCCACGAAGACATGATCGCCGATGTGCATGGGGAAGAAGGCGATTCCCTTGCTGAACTGTTTGTACGGCGGTCGGATGACGGAGTCCCTGCCAATTACACAGTATCTTCCCGTCCGGACATTAGCCAAATCTCCGCGGATTATGGCGCCGCTCTGGACGATCACCTTGCCATTGAGCACGATGTTCTGGGATCCGCAGAGCACCGTATGTCGACTGACTTTGTTTCCCGAAGCCTGTAAACAAAATGTTTTTGGTCATGATGAGGTCATCCTAGTATAACTTCAAATTCCCTTCAGGAATCGTTAAGAATACTTGCCGTCTCCACGTATTCATCTTTACTGTAGTAGGTATCCGCAATTTCCATGGTTAAACTTCAGTTTTATTAACTATTTTCTAAAAAATAAAAATTCCCGATTTGCAAATATTTTTGCCAGCTGTTTAGTATGACCAAAAGTGCAAGGCCTTCAAAATACCAAAAATAACAGTAAAGTTGCTTAGCCCAGACACAAACCATGTTTTAAAATCCCAATAAGCCGCCAAATTTAAATTCAATTGTGTATCTTGTTCTTTTATATTGCACTCCCAATAAAGAGGAATGCATTTTCCATTACAACTAACTAATTATTAATTAAGTGCACGCGATGTATTGAAAATTACCAACTGCCTTGGCGGATGCATGATAAACGCAGGTGTTTTAACCCACGATGACCCTGAACTTTTAGCTTTATATATATACAGAGTAAATGCAGCAATCACGATGCAAATTAGACAGCGACAGCTGCTCTTCACAGAATAAAGAGAAAAATGTGAGTAATTGGGCTCACAGCTGGTGGCCAGAAACGCAGCCAAAAACAACCCCCTCCCATCGGCGCATAGTGACCTTCCGCATTATAAACTTCCCGCTGTCCAAACGCTCCAACGATGTTCCAATTAATGCTCTTTAATAATCGCAAGACCCAGCCCCATTGGGCTTAACCTTCATGGGGCACGCTCGAATGCCTCACGAGGCGGCAACTCTATTATCATAGTAGATTTTAATTTGTTTATGTTTGTTTGTCTTTTCTTCATTTGGTTCTCTGCCTTTTGTAGAAGTCAGCACGCCAATACATATGATAATCCATTATGCTTGGCCATTTGGGATTGCATTATGCTGTTAGAATGTTAATTAAAAAGTACACTAAAAAATCAAAAAAATATTAAATAAATATATCTAAAAATTATGTTCTCCACTTTTTCTAGTGAACATTTTATCTTCAATTTATATAATTGCTTTTTTATAGTAATTTATTTTCTAACACATATTTTCAAAATTTTTTTTTGCTTTTTAAATATATAAGTATTTTTTAACTTTCACAACATATATTCGATATTTCATAATAATTCCGCACTTACAAATCTGATCAACATTAAATTTAAATAATTTATTTTCTAAATTTTAAATTGTCGTTTGCTATTTAAATATATATATATTTTTTAAACATTTTACAACATATTTGCGATTTTTTATTATATTATGTGCATTTTAAATTCATTTAAATTATTTAACAACGAAACCGTTTTACTGGTTTTGAAAAAAGCCTTAGATTTCCTTTAGTTTAGAAAAGTACATTCTTTGACCAACAGCATTTTCCCCATCTGACCTTCTTAGCTTCTTGAACTATCTGAACTTTGCCATTAATGCTTTTCCATGCCAATTATTGCAAACAATTGTGCCAGTCTATTGACTGCTTTGAAGAATCCGCCGAAAAGCAAAGAACAGAAATCTTTTAACCTTCGAGCATGAAAAACCGCATCGAAATCTATTAATCTGTTTGGTGTTTGCACTTTTGAACTTAAGGTTAATAAACTTGAACTTGAATAATGTTTGGAAATTAATTGAGTTGTGCACACAAACAGCTCTCGAATTTGTTGATCACACAAATGATTCCAATTTGTTTCATTTTCGGTTCTTTAAATTGTGCCTATTGTTGAGTGGGATTTTCAGCAAGGCAAAGTGGCGAAGAATCGGTTATTAATTAAGTTGTTTGTGGGTTATTTTATGTTTATAACAAAAATATAGGGACTATAGAAGTTATAGAAATATGGCAAATATTTATAACAAAATCATAACATTTCCAAATATTTATAGATCTATAAAAGTTCCTTTTTAAATTTTTCCAAATCATTAATTACTTATTGCCTGTTCTTCTTTAATTTAATTATTTATTAAGTTTAATTAACCAACAAATAGGCACTTGAAATTAAAGAACCGAAGAAGAATCAAGGTATTTCTTGTAACCTCTAGATTTTGTTCATACTTTGTTCAAGTTTTGTAACTTTCTCTACCATCAATTAGAAGTCCAAGGCCCCGAAGGTCTTGACTCCGTAGAACGTGTAGTCAAGTGTTTGCCTTACACTAATCCAACAACGCTCGATGAAACTCTTCTGCCACAATTCGACCTTGACGATCCATGAAGGAGGGCCGCGAGCTATGTAAATATTTACAATAGCCAACTCATCCGCGACCTTGATAATCGGTTATTGTTGTATTGTTGCTGGAAATTCATTATTAAATGGCCAGCTAATCAAGATCATGAAACACGCATTCCGAATATCATCCATCCGCCACTGCCCAAAAACAATCGCTCACGATCTCGGATTGATCTTGATGCCGTTTTTGTATGGCTTTACAATTTTTTAATTGCTTTCGGCGGGAGAGAGAGAAAACCGGCGGCACTGGATCACATAATTCACATAATTAATAAATGGAAATTCAGCTGAAGCTAAAACAATGCCAGTGCTATCCAGTTCGAGTTCGAGTCGAAGTCATGTCAGGTTTAATTGAATAATTGCAAATAGTTTACATGCACACATATGCGATATGGCCAAGAACAGCAAAGTTATAATAATGCAACAATGAAGGAGAAACGACAAATGAAATTAATTGCAATTAGCAAAAAATTGAGAAAATTTATTTATTGAATTTATTGCGCACAAGGTGAGGCGGAGTGAAAGAGGGAGACAGAGAATGTTGCATAATATTTTCACTTTTTGCATGGAGGTCCCCAAGAAACAAGTTTTTTGTTCAAGTCTTTTGTTTCAATCGAAAAAGTGTATCTGTAATTGACAATTCATAGATAAATGCCTATGTTTGTGTATGTAGTTACATATGTATGCGCTGATGTTCGGATTGACAGAACAAAGGTGACTATCAGATACTCGGAATGTGATCATTATGTGAACATTTCAAGGATCTTTTGGGTATGCAACTTTTTCTCCATAAATGGCAGCTCAAGTTTGATGACCGCAGAAAATCAATAAGCAGAGAATTCTCTTAAATAATTAAAATTTTTTATAAATTTTTACCTTTTCCCCGAATTGTTTCAAAATAAATTTCAAATTTAAATAATATTTATAAAGAAAGATTTATAAAGTTTCTTAAACTAACAAAATATTTAAGTGAAATTTGCTACTATATTTTAAGTAATACAATTTGTATTTCTCCGAAAGATTAGTTAAAGTGTAAAACTTCTAATAAATTTTAACTTGGAAATATTACGGCTAGACCTCATAAGGTTCTATAGAACTATTAACCATATTGTGGCCTGTACTTGCCATATATTATATTCCCTCTCCCTCGACCAAACACTTTTCGGTTTCTCGACTAATTACAGTCATTACAATACTATATGGCGACCAAATGGCTTCCTCATGTCAAGATCCCAAGCGCGAAACGAGTGCCCCGCGATTAGCTGCGAAGTTTGGAGAGCTCGGTTCAAAAGCCGAGTTCAAGAACTAACTAACGATTGTCTGACAATGACAGTAGCTGAACGGCTGAGAGTGGGGTTGGGGTTTTCTTAATATAATACTTCGAAGTTGCCAATGTTTCAGCTTAAAGCGGCCAAACAAATATTGTGTGCGCTTTTGATGTGGCTAATATTTATAATACAAATTATATATATTCATTTCCTCCACCCACAGCCCCTTTTCGCTATGCTTGGATGGGCGTGGCCTGCTGCAATTTGTTTTTGTGCCCCCAAAAACGACCTCAGATTGCCCAAGTTGTGCTAATTAAAACATTAACTCTGGCCCGAGGCTAAATTCGCATTAAATAACGATTGCCCGTGTTTATTTTTTTTTTTTTTGCCAAAATCGATCAAAATCAAATCTCAAGTGGCCCCCGTTTGGTACACGAAATATTCAAAACCAGTAGAGAGTTAACTGTCAAAAAGCAACGCACGACAACGGCAGCAACAACATTGCTGACAACAGAGCAACTACAGCGTGGTACATAGTCGTAAATCACATTGTTGAGCTAATGAAACTTGACCTATGCCTATACAATGAATCAAATCTTAATGAGCTCTCGTTGGTGCTGTTAAACCAAAAATTTATTTATTTATTTATGTGTATAAAAAAATAAAATATAAAAAATATAAATATATATATATAAGAAATAATTTGTCCTTTAAAAGGATAATTATCTTATCTAAACACATAAAATAAAATATTATAATATCAATGTAATCGAAAATAAAATGTAAATAATAATTGTAATAGAATAAAAAAACATTATTTAATTTAATGGTTTTGATATTGATTCTACATATTTTGTCCATGTTTTCTACATTCTTTGTCCATGTTTTCTAGTAATAAATAATAACATTATAGGATAAAATAGTTAATTTTCAATATTTTATAATATCATGAAAATACCAAATAAAATTTGTTCCTTGCTGTATTTCTCAAAAAGCTTATTTGTTTTTCGCTCTTGCATTGTTCCAATTTTGATTGCTCTATTGGGCTCTGCTTATTTTTTGTAGCATTATTTTTTTTTGCATGCGGGCGCTAATAGTTTTGAACCTGACGAGAGACCTAAAAAATATAAGCCAAAATCAATTTTCAACTTTGTATGCCATGGGCAAGGCTAACCTCGAGACACGAGCCACTATCCACGATTTTGATTCGTTCGGTCTCGTATTTGGATCAGGCTGGATTTTGGGTATTAAACATATATAATTTGATTCAATTTGTGGCTTTGTTGTGACTCGGCTTGTTTCCACTTCCTTTTGCCTTTCAGCGGTTTTGATAAAATATATGATAGCCGATCGGTATCGGTTTATAAGCCCTCCAAAACCTACTTGGCTGCAAAACAGGTGATTAAGCCTCTTGTGTCTGTCAGTTGATTGAACTTTAAAGGTTTTCCAACGGTCTCTCGAAGACTCAGTGTCAAATTCGTTTGGTTTTGTTACTGGGTGGCCCCCTGATTGACAATAATTGACAATAAAACTCCAGTTTGTCAATATATCTCCAGTTTTCGAGCATATATTTCCATATAGGTAGCGTTTCAAATGGAACGCACTGTGGCTTATTATTATACTTAGAAACCAAGGCTTCCACACGAAGTGTGCCTCGGAAGTTGTTAGTGGGTGGAAGTAATTAAATTCGATTTTAAACATTCGATAACAATGAGTGTGGCGGTCAATGGGTGCCATGTAATTATTTTATTGAGGTTCTGCGAACTAGTAGCAAGGGTATCGCACCGAGGTCAATAAGTATGGAAAAATCAAATCGATTTGGAAATTTATTCGAATTTACTTATATTTGAGAGTATAAAAAGTTTCGTAAAACTATAATAATTTTGAAATTAAAATTAAAAAAATTATAAAAAAAATAGTAATTTTTAGTTAGACACCCATAAATAAAGAAATCTATTTAAGTTAACTATAAATTAAATATGTAGATAAATTGTTAAATTTAATTGTTAATTATTTCTTAACCGGTTTTTTCGTCCGCATGTTAAATTTAAGTATGGTCAAAACCTTAAAAATGTATTTTAGTTCAACATGCACTTAATTTTAAAGTTTCTATTTGAAAATACTTAAAGTCATAATTTTTAAATACATTAAATATCTACTCCATAATAATATTTATATCAAACCAATACCATAATTTAAATTAAAGACATACAAATAATTATAATTAATCCCACCATTATAAAATACAAACAAAATCGTATACTTTGCCACTCCATCAAGGTCTTAAAAGTACGCCTTTCCATCAGCTGCCACAATTAGCCTCCAGAACCACCCAAGTTGTGTGTGCCGCCTGTCACATCATCAACGCGCTCGTCAAAAATTTAAAAACAAGCCACCGAAAAAAATTATATTAAAAATTAATTAAACAAAAAGCCGAGACTTATGTGAAAAACAATATAAAACACATTTGGCGCGTGCACTTGACCTTCCTGATTGTGAGTGGTCGGGTCGGACCAAAAAACCAAAAAAAAAATAAGAAACCAAAAAAAAGGGGGAATTCGGGGGCTGAAAGGCGGTATGCATGCCGCGTAATTCGTTAGCAACTGTTTCTGCTGGAATTTCTGATTGTGAACTTCATGAATTTAATTTGTGCGTAACGTACATATGTATTTTTTTTTCTGTCGCTCTCGCTTGTTTATAGTTTGTCGGGTTAAAATCAAGGCGAGTGAATCGACTGAATTGAATTTCGGAGACTGGCCGGCTTACATGGCGTATGCGCAACTCGATTAATTTATTACTCCGAGTGCGTAATTGTAATTGTAATTGACATTCAAGTTGATTACTTCCTTATTTGGTTTCAAGTTAACTTTAGTGACGCATAGTTATCGCTTTTTGTGTTAAAACTGTTTGGAGCATAAAGGGGAAAAGAAATTTGTGGTTTTCACAAATTATTTGGAGAAAATAAACATCCGTTTCTGGATTTGGTAATCATTTTCCGGATTAATTAGTGCATTTCGTAAAATAATTTGAAAAAAAAGAGTTTTATTAATTAAAAAAAAAATATATTCCTTGTTTTATTATATTTAATAGAAAAAAATTAAATTAAAATTTACAAAAAAATCTTTACAAAAAAATTTTTCTTATAAATAATTAAAAATTCGTAGGATAAAAACATCTTGAATATAATATTCTAAAAGTGCTTAAAATATTTCATAATTGTTAACACTTTAATTTTATCACATTATATCTAATTTAAAGATTTTAATAATCCCAGCTTAATGACTACTCCCGCAAATCTTGTGAATAATTATAAAAACCGATCCACCATCGCAAGCATTGGGTCTTCCATTATAATCATACTACAATTACCATTCCATCGGCAGACAGCAATCTCCCATCGCATCGCATTTAATGCACTCTCATCGCCCTGAAATAAGCGAAATAAACCGACCTTGAACTTGAGGCGATTGCTAAGTAAGTACGAAAGCATCATCAGCCACTCGTCGGCAAATCGCTTTATTTCCATTATAAGTATGAATGTAGTATAATTTTCCATTACATTGCCCTTTTCCTTTCCCTTTTCGGGGGATATATACATAAAAACTGCTGGTGGTTTTCTGCCGCTGACAGCTGGCTGGTTGAGTTATGAATGCTTTTAGCGGAGGTTTAGCAGAAACTGAGTCAGTCGAGCAAGTTCCACAAAAAAGGCAATAAAAAAATATAAATCCAACCGAAAGTGACCGCCGCGTGGTTTGCATTCCTGATATGGGACACGTACTTTATCCGTAGTCTTGGTTTTTTTGGTCTGCTTCCAGAGACCAACGACCGTCCTCGATCTAGGCATTTCAACTTCAATTTTAAGACAGCGACATATCCGTCTTTATTGTATTTAACTTTAGCTTTGGGTGCTCACCCAATGAAATTTTAAACGGTAGCTGCTTTTGGCGTAGCTCAGAAGTTCCCTTCCCTTGTCAAGTGATTAATTTTAATTTTTTGCTTCGCTTTTATTGCTGTATAATTTTTATTAACTGCTTGCAATTAACAAATCAGCGCGAACAAGAATTTTCGTTGTATTCGAAAAAGGGCATTTCATGTTGGTCGAAGCTGCAGTCGTTGACCGTTTTTAACTGACCTTGCTTTTGGTGAATTTTCGTTAATTTAATTTGTGGTTGGTGGCTGACCAACCGGGATGCTGTTGGGTATGTTTTTGAGATTTTTCTGGTTTTTATCGCCCATCAAGGTGATAGGTTTGCATATAAATGCCGCTAGAACAAAAGACTTTGGCGACGAACTTGAGGTGAGTAAGCATGTGGCCGAATTTATTGTGAGAACAGTTTAAGGAAGAGGTGGTTTGCCCCCAAGTTATTGATTTTATAATGGCGATGAATCACTGGATTCCAAGCGGAAGTGGATTCGGCGTTTAAGAATGAAATTTCAATATTAATTAGCTAAGAAAGAAAATATTTTAGAAATTAAAAATGTTCACTAAATCTAATAGCGAAAATGTATTTAATATTTAAGAAAGATATTTCAATATTTATTTGCAAAGAGAGAAAAATATAAATATATTTTATAAATAAAAAAAATTAAAATATTAAATTTTAAAATCTTTAAATTCTTTATAAGTAACTCCAATAAAGATAAAAACTCATTAACATCGAAGTACTAGAGTTCTAAGTATGCGTTCATGTTTGTTTTTTATTACTTAATTTTCAAATTTACCCGTACATATGTGTGTTTTATGGCTAATTTGACACATCATAAAACATGCACTGCGACTGCGAAATTTACCATAGTGCAACTGAGAAGAGAAGTGGTTTTAGTGTTGACCAGCCAAATTTGCAACTGTCAAGATCCACGAGATGAGATCGCCGCCGGAATGGATTGACTGGACATAAACAGAGATCACGGAGGCTAACTCGGTGATTTGGCTTCGCTTTGGTGCGTGGCACGGTAGTCGCTAGTAAAAATTCAATTAGCAAATTAAATATTAATTACCACACGGGTCTCGATGCTAATTCGATTAGCAGTATCAGCAGCTGCTCAGCTGCAAATAATTTAAAAAACAAGAAAGGAAGCTACCTTCGGCCAGCCGAAGCTTATATACCCTTGTAGATAAAGTAATGCTTACTTGGTGCAGTTCCAGGAATTCCAATTTTGTTTTTAAGTAGCCAAGAATCAAAACGCCTACTTCCTACAAAGTTACAATGAATTTTCTTATTTTTTATAATTTTCCTATGGCAGCCTTAAGATATAGTGGTCCGATCCGGCTCGCTCCGACATATGTACTACCTGCAATAGAAAGAAGACTTTCGGGAAAGTTTCATCGCGATAGCTTTAAAACTGAGAGACTAGTTCGCATAGAAACGGACATACGGACAGACGGACAGACGGACATGGCTAGATAGACTCGGCTATTGATGCTGATCAAGAATATATATACTTTATGTGGTCGGAAACGTCTCCTTCACTGCGTTGCAAACATCTGACTGAAATTATAATACCCTCTACAAGGGTATAATTAATAATGCTGTGGGGGCTTTGTGGAGTGGAATGTTGTAGATTGAGTGCGAGTTTTTTTTTATATTAGTTTTTCATGGTATTTAATTTTTAACACCTCTTATTTGCTTGAAAAAGTATTCCTAATCCTATTAAAAGCTTCTTGAGTAGGTAATCATTAAAAAAAATTGTTTTATAATATCATATTATTTTTTAAAAATAAGGTTATTAAAAGTTGGACAATTAATGGAGTAGTCTTTATAAAAATGTTATTTACAATTTAAAATTCGGTTCATATTACAATAAGTTTTGTAATTTCTTGCAGTACTATATTAATTTGTATTTTAATACATTGCGAATAATAATATTATTTGGAGCACATCTGTGTAAATTTTTGTTCCCACGTGACAGGTGCTTTGCTACTTACGCCCGGCTGATTAAAGTTAATAATTTGTTGCTCGATTGTTAATGTAGTGTGAGGCCAGGCCCAAGATGAACCAGTTTGCGGTTCGAAAGTGTGGCAGCCTAGAGTTGGACAAGGTCCCTGATCAGGAATAGCCCTGGCCATATATCATATACCATATAGTGGTTCCCTGTTCACTTTTTTTAGTGATTTTCTGAATTTCTGACTTGCCGTCTTGACTGCTTCATAAATTCACACTCACTTAAGCCTGCAATTAGCGATCGGGTCGAAAAGCTTTGGAGCTTTGGCTCTCCGCCGCTCTCTTTTGGTTTTTTCCCCCGTTTTGGGGAGGTTTTGTCGAGCGCTCAGCGCTCTCCAGCGATCAGTTCATCGCCGACAAGCTTTCGAACTGGACGCAAATTTGTAAGTCGCCGCCGCGCATGCGCAATTTAAATTTAGTGGCAACAAAAAACGGGCAGCGAAGACGAAATCGCATGGTGTTTTTATTTGTTTGCTTTTGTTTGTTGTGTGTGTTGTTATGCCATGCACAAAAAAACCCCATGCTCGTAAAAGTGGAGAAAAATCAAAAATCGAAAAATCAAGACGAAATAAGTTGGCCAAAACAAAAAGAAACCGCAAAAGCCGCGTTATAATAACGCAAATAACGGTATCAAGTTTGAAGCTCATCTAGTTATTTGTATTTATGCCTGCTCCTCGTGGTTTTCTGCATAAATAATAATAAAACAAACAGTGTCGAAAAAGCTAACCAATTTGCGGGCATATAAAATATAATTAAAGCAGGCAAATTTTTGCCATAAACATAAAAAATAAGTAAATCAACTTGGCTGCAATTAAATGTTGCAATTTAATTATTAAACAGCAAAAGTGCGAAATATTCGGTGCATTAAACCTAACAAATAATTAAAATAAATAAGTTTCTCTGAAGCAACGCAAAAATAAAAGTTTCTCCATCGTTTTTAAAGGAAAAATGTGAAATAAAAAAGATGAAAACTTAATAACTTAGTTATCTATTGATAACCAAAATAAAGATAATACAATTTTACGTTTTAAAAATAAAATTAAATTTTGTTAGTCATTTCTTGCCAAGTAACCTACAATAGTCGTAAGACACAAATAATAATTAATTCTTGCCACTCATCAAAGCAAAAATAGAATGCTGAACAATGGGATCATAAATTATTTATTTTCTTGGCCAACCATAAGTGTCAGAAATTCATCAAAAATGGTTGCCAGAACTTAAAATAAACCGAAATCCAAAAATAAAAATTAATGAAGCACAAAAAGAATTCTCAAACTTCTGAAGAGAGCCGCCATTACATAAGTGTATGTGTGTGGGGGAGCGTATGTGTGTGGGTGGAAGAGGAAAAATAGTGTTGGTAATTTCTAATGCACATTTTCCCTTGCGCTGTGTTTTACACCCTTACCAAGGGTATATTCAATTTCGCTATCAGTATGCGAACACAGATAGATGATCTATTTGTTCTGATATCATTTTTTAAAAATAACTATAATTTTTTTAAATGGATAAAAAAGTTTATTAAAGGGTATATAAATTTCGGCATTTATTTCCCGCCTCTCTATGTTTTACTGCTCGCCCTTTTTGGTTGTCGTTGAATTTGTATGACGTGTGTGCATCAGGTTGATTTTAGTGATGCGTTTTGACTCTGTAATTCCCATGTCAGGCAGCTGGGATTACTTCATCTGCCCGATTCATTTCCTATATGGCCAGATGATTCAACGCCAAACTGACCAGCGCAAAAATAAAAACACACAAACTACAACTAAAAAAAAATCCGAATAAGAAAAAAATTGCACGAAAAAGCCGGTTGAAGGCAACTCTTACATATTTACACGCACCAGCGCTCATTGAACACACGCCGCCAGCAGCAACAACAAAGTGTACACAGAAAAAAATACAAAAAAAGAAAAAATTTACCAAATAAAAAAATTTTAGTTTTTTGAAATAATTTTAAAGTACAAAATTGTTCTAAAAATATAAATATCAGGTACTTTGCTATTTTTCTTGCTTTTTAAATTTTTTCATATTTATATTAACAATAATAAAATTGCTATAAATATTAATTCTTTTTTTATAAGGTACATGTGTAAAATAAATTAAAATATGTATCTTAAAATCATCTAAATTTTTCTTTCTGTTCATTACAATACAACAAGACCAACGAAAGCAAAAGCAACAAGGCGACACAGAAACCTGTTGTTGTAGCTCTTTGTGTGGTGGCTCTTTCGCCGTCTCTGTCTCGTCAAAAGACATTTGCAGAGTTTCCAGCTGCGTGTTGATTATGTCAATTTCATGTTTGCTTCATTTCCTCAACACACCGGTAAAGGTGTAAGCGAGAAGCAGGGAGAGCGGAAAGGAGAGCGGAAAGGGGAGCGGCAGCAATTTCACTTTCGTTGGACTTGAAAATAAAAGCTGCAGTCTGTCGGAGAGTGAGAGAGAGTGATAGATGGAGGGGTGGAGCAAGAGAGAAAGGGGAGATGATGGGGCTGGGACAGAGAGCAAGTGAGAGTGAGAGTACGCACAGCAAGTGGGCTGCATTGCGGTACTTGGATGCTGCTGCTGCTGCGTCACTTGCTTTGTGGGGCGTTTCTGCACAGTGGGCCACAAAATCAAAAACATCGCTTGTTCTAATTCTAGAGCTTTAATATTATATGGTATGATATAAAAAAATGGAATAGCTAAAATAATATCGATATTTGGTATTATAATTAAATAAAAATCAATTACAAATTAACTAGGATATATTTTATTTACTAGTTGGTTGTTACTAGGTTATTTTGCTTTTCAAATCGGATTTCAAATCAAATCTATGTGTAATAAAATGTTAGGTCCGTAACACAGAGTTTTTCTGAAGATTACTCATACGACACGTTAGCCAGATAACATTTTTAGAGCTATGAAATAATACACCAAAATTGATGGAGATGATTGTTATTACTTAATTAGTTTTGAGTGATTCGATGGAGTTTCATCACTTGATCAACTGTATTTTTTGAATGGAATAATAATGATATTAAATATATAAATATAAAACAAAATAAAGTATTCCCTTCCTGCTACTAAATAAATAAATCTAAAAAGCTACATATCATCCCACTGTTCGCCGGCACCTTTTGTGCGCTGCTTCGCTGCATATTTTCCGTTTTCGTTTTGTAACAGTAATGTCTGTTTTTCCCATTGTCCGATTGTTGTTGGCTGTCGCTTTTGCCATTGTTGTTGTCGCCTTTGTTTTGTGCTTATAACGTAATAACGTAATGTGCTTGAAGATTTCCACATGCAATGCGTCGAGCTTTACGTTTTGGTGCCAAGTCCATCGTGTCGACGTCGACGTTTATTGTTTTTGCAGGCAATTGAGCTAATAAACCGACGCGAATCATAGCGACTTACAAATTCCTGTCCGAAAAATATGCGAAGGTCAACCAGCAGTGGGAAAAAAATATCAAAAGATATAACAAAAGGCGTCGAGAACTCCCCCAAATCGATTTTCATACACTATTAGTATTCGCACCTTTTTCACAAGTATTTGCGCTGACTTGGATTTTACGGGCTGTCAGCTTGGCGAAAAATTCTAATTATAAATGAAACAATTTATTACCGGGTTTTTAAAATAAAATGCAATTTATGTGCAAAGTCTGGCGGCGGCGGACTTGACTAGTTAAACCGGTTGACTGCCAGCAGCAGCAGCAAAAACAAAAGCAAAAACAACCAGAACCCATCGACTCAACGGGGGTGCAACCGGCCAGTCAGCAACAGCAGAATGCAACTGCAAGGAAAACAAATTTTTTAGCCTTTTAAAGAATTGCTTCAATTATTTTTAATCAATTAAGAAAATTAAAAAAAAAATGATTTTAACAAAAAATGCAGAGAAAAGCTTTTAAAACTTATAAAAGTATAATGCGATGGGAAATATAAATAATATGTATCATATAAGATAAATAGAAACTAACATTACAGTACTCTTGAATAGGTAGGAAGTAGGTTTAGTTTAAAATAAAAAATTATTGTTTTTTAAAATATTATCACATTTAAACCAATACAAAAACATTATTCTGAAATATCTTCGAACGTCTTAAAATAGCATCATAGCAACCGGAATAAAATAAAAATACCCTCAATATATTCAAACCAAATTTTAAATATATCAGCTTCACTACAACAACAAATATTCAACAACAAAAATAAAAAACAAAATAATAATATATAATAAATCAAACCGTTTAAAACAAAATTATTAAAAATATGTTCACAGCTGTGAAAACAAGAATATTTTCAAGTAAAATATCTTAACGATCATAATCGATGTGTGTGTTCATTATTTTATTCATTAATCATAAATGCAAATTTCTTGATTGTTTAGATTTGGCTTAACGGCTAACTCCAAGCTATAAATTGGACATCAAAATTGGATTATAAAACAACAAAAAAAAACCAAATAAATACAACAAAGTGAACACGAAAAGTTAATAACAATTATTTTGTATGCCGGTTTCTTCTTGACAAGTTTGGTAAGTGAACTTTAAAACTTGATGAATGAGACTGAATGATAAAATGAATGTTGGATGATTTGTTGCCGCAATAAACGCCAGCTAATGAAGAAATAATGGTTTATCAAACGATTTTAAAAATAGGAACAATAAAATCATTGCGGAACTGGCCAGCTTCATAGCCTTAAGGCAGCGATCTCTGAATAATTCTCTTTCTTATTCCTCAATCTCGTCTTGCCCTCGGGCCTCTCAACTTTCACAACTCAGAACTCGTGCTGAGTGGGAAAACCCAGCTGAAGTATTCTGAGGGTGAGCTCAATGTCTGTTGGTAGAAGCTTACATCCGCGTGCCTCTGCACGTAACACGTTGCGTATGCGCAATTCCCATACTCCTTCAATCAAGAGCCATAATGAGGGTACTATTTAAAATCACTAGTGATCATTTACCAAAAATCAAGATATATTAACGACTCTGGAAATACCGAAAAAATAGCCAAGGAAATAAATGACTTAAGCTTACAACATATTAAAATATTTTGGGTTAAACGACATTTTATTTATTATTTTTTTGAATAATGTAATGTGAAAAAAACCTTAAAAATTGGAAAAAAAATTCTTTATTAAATAAATGACTTAGGCTTACAACAGATTAACTTTATAAAATTTTTAGTGAAATGTTTTGAAATATAATATTTAATAAAAATCTTTAAAGGTTTTCAAATTTTTTAGATTTACTTCGATTTATTTTCCTCAGCAATTAATCAAATATTAATCGATCTATTCGTGACGCTGAATCCCTCATTTTAATATCACCATCCTGCAAGGGTATTTACAAAATCGAAACGATCGTGTTGCCATTGTGTTTAACCCATTCAATTTTATCGACACTTAATTATAACTTTTGCCTACGTCATTGCTTCAGAAGCAGAAGTCAGCAGTCGAATCTTGATGATGGTTTCTCGCCGGTTTCAGTTGCTGTTTCGGTTTCTTAATTGTTCAAGCCCCCCCGCATATGGCATCTTAAGACTTCGACGAAGCATTTTATTGTTAATTTGTTTGTCTTTGGATCCGGTTCTAGGTCTCATTTCTGGTTTGTTAACTTTTGTTGAGCTTCAAACACAAAATTTTGTAGAGCGTCCAAATTAAATTCCTTTGTTTTAGTTTTTAGAAGAACCTACGGCATCGTGTAGATTACTTTGGCTATTTTGAATTTTACATTTCCGGGTACTCGTTAGCCCCAGCCAATGCACTTAAAAAAATATTTGCATATTTCTTCTGTTTGCCAAACTAATTTCGCATTGAGCTGCCAGCCTGTCACTTGAAGCTAAAGTATCTGCTACCTTAAAGCTTAGTCACGAATTGCGGATACATGGTATCTGCAAGATGCGATGAGATCAGTTGAGCCTGAGTTTCGCATGATTTTGCAATGCAAATCTTTTTAATTGAGTGCTCTTGCAAAATATCCACGCAAATATATCCATCATATTAATTTCGGCTTTTTTTACAGCAATATTATTTATTTGATGTCTTATTTTTTTATTTTTTTAACAGATCCCAAGCCCCGACATAAGCAACAGCGACCAGCATGAAAGGCTGGTTCGACGCGTTTCGAGACGATGGGGGACCAACGCTATATTCCTTCTCCAATCGAACACCGGTCACCGGAGATGTCTCTATAGTAGCTGTCTCAGTACTATTTGCCACATTTTATGTGGCATTTTTAGTCATCTTTCCGGGTGTAAGAAAACAGGTGAGTCGTGAGTTTTTAAAATATTTGTTGTAAATTTTTAGAAAATAAGCAAATTTAATTTAAATTTATTTGTTTATTTTGAGAGAAAGTGAGTCGTTAGTTTTATAATATGATATAATATGAAAATGCAGTTATAATCTCAAAAACAATTATAATATTACAAATTCTTCATTAAACATTTTTTAATAAAATTTTAAATTGGTATAATGTATTACAAAAGTATAATTCAAATTCTATTTTAATTTTTAACTTAAGTTAGATCAGAAATTTACATTTATTTGAATACCCTTCCAAGTCAAAGTGCTCACCATTCATCGATTTGACTTTGTTAGTAGAATTGTAAGTTAATTTGATGTAAAATATAGCGCATAAAAGTCAAAAAAGGTCGTTAGTTCAATTGAATAAATGAATTTTACTATATGCTAAATTATTGTTTATTTATCACCGTATCTCATATACACTAGTCAGACTGGAAACAATTTTCTCACGCTGTTGCTGGCTGGACTGTTTAATTGAATTGTGCCAACTGCTTGGCATCGCCGTAATCGTCGGCACGTTTCCAACAGAAGTCAGATAAATCTTATAGCCAATACATATAAGCCTCTAATGAGAGAGCCATAAGCCAACTCGTTTTTCCAAAGGCGCGCCCTTTTTTTCAGGTCTCTATCGACTGGTTGGCTTTATTAGAGCATGGCAAACATTGAATGTTGATCTCTTGGCTTGTATTTAATTTAAATCTAAATTTGTTGTTCAAATATCTTCTCGTTCACAGAAATTCACAACATTTTCGACAGTCACATTGAGCCTTTTTGTGGGTCTGGTCATACTAAGTGAGTAGAGTGACCTTCAATTAGCACAATATTATGGTTGATTTGCATCCGAGAACCAACAATGCCTAACGTTTCACGTCTTTATCCAACCCCAACAGTCACCCGCCTGGGATCCGCGTGGCATGTGGCACATGCAACAATCATTGCGCCGTACAAAGCCTTCTCACGCGAGAAGCTCCCAGCGCGCATCGGCACCCACATTGGCCTCATGCATGTCAATGTGACGCTGACGGGTAAGTTTGCCAATTCAATCCTATTCCCCTGCCCCTTCACCATCTCCTTCCCTATCCAATCCAATCTGATCCAATCCGATCCAATCCTATCCAATCCGCCAACAAGTAGGCACTTCTGCCATGGGTGAATGGGTTGTCATATTTGATTATATCGCCGTCACCGATGCGCTGCTCGTGCGGTAGTGAAGGATTTTAAGTTTGAGATGAAGATATATTTATTTTAATAATTCATTTTTATAAAGTCTTAAATATATCAGAAGAATTATAACTTTAAGATGAATTTATATATGTTTTATTTGCATTCTCCTTTAAAATATATCAACAACTTAGTTAAAAGACTTGTTCTAGTAACTCCCAACCTTAAAAACTTTAGCGAATATAAGAATGCATTACAGTAAATTTATGAGATTACTTCTTATGTCGATAACCCACTGAAATTATTTATTATTAAATTGTAAAATGTGAAATATATACAAACTGATACAAATTAAATTTGTAACAAACCTGATCTAAGAAAATTTATTAATAATTTCCATTTGTTCATCCAAACACTTTTTCTCAGCCTCTACCTGAATCGTTCATTGAATAGCTTTTGTGGTGATTTTTTTGAGTATGTTTATGTATGTCCAACAGAGTTTTAAATTCGTTAAGCATAATAATACCCGATCGTCAAAGTTTTTTCTTGGTTAATTTTTTATTTTTTTGAGGCAGTGTCGTGCACGCCCCCGTTTTTTTCGAGGCAAACGCCGATGGGAGATAAACAACGAACGTCAACGAAAACAATTGAGCAATTTTCATTTTAGATTTTAATACAAAAAGTAAAATGAGCGGCATGTATACATAAATTTTAATTAAAATCTCGTAATTTTCTTCGGAAGCACTTGCATTTTGATGTTCGATTTAAGCTTTTTGGTTTCAAAAATTTGCCAAAAATATTTTGCTATAATTTTTATCATTTTAAAAACAAAAAGAAGGAAATTCAATACAAATATTTTTGGTAAGATCTTTTTACAAATCCCTGCTTTTCATATTATGTCTGATAAACAAACAGAGGTAAACAGTCAAGTATAGAGCGAAGTTCCTATAAAATCTCTGATCTTTTCTTGAATGCACTTGGAATTTAGGGCTCGACTCAAACTACTGGCTAATTGATAAACTTTGGCGTAGATCTTTTTGCGATAATTTTCGGTGCCACTCGCTTTTGTTTGACTATCCGAAATCAAAACGCAGTGTGGGCGGTGACGTCAGCTGCGGTTGTTGCTGCCGCTTTGTTTGTTGGCTCCTGCCAAGTGCCAAGTCAAGTTGCATGTCACGATTCTTGGCAACAATAGCGGCCAACAACAGCGGCAGCAACAACAAATTGAAATGCCACTCGACTCGCGCTCAGCTCGACACCTGCGGAAATATTCGATTCCAAATAGCAAATGCTCGTCGAGGAGGCCTCTGTACACACATATAGTATGTATATATCTAACCAAACATATATTCGCCGGCTTGTTTGATTGTTTCCTCGTTTCACTCACTACTTGGCTCATCGAAAAGGTGAAATGCTTTTGTGTTTGAGCCGGGGCTACCTTAGACCCCAGCTGAATCAATTGGAATGCCAGTTTGAAGTCAACTCGAGCACGAATAATCCGAACGAACCATCCAATCCAATCCTATCAAGTCCCATCCCATCCTCTCACTCCTCAGCTTACCAACGAAATTTGGTCACAGCCAAGTTGGAATTGTTTGGCCCAGTAGCAATAATTTTTCTTCGGTTTGCAATATTGGCAGATTAAACTTTATGTGTTGCCCTTCGAAGGCAACCGAGTTTTGTGCATTGAAATCTAAATATTTGGGGAGCCAGTAACTTTGGCAGCAGGCTAATTGGATTTATAAAATGTATAGTCTTTTAGTTTCCTAGGCCCTATATTTATTTAATATGTGACTTATGTTTACAGAATATAAATTAATTAAAGTCTAGCAATATTGTGACATTATTGTAGAGTATTCTACAATAATTTGACAACGGAGGAATTGCAAATTTTACGAAAAAGTAATATATGCAATTTGGTTGCATTAGTAAATAATTTTTAACATTTCTCGTTCATAAAATAGGTTCGTAAATATAACTCTTCTATAAAATCACCGTGTTTTTCCTAGTGTAAAACATACAAAGAGATGTGTACAGATACTCTTGAAAGTACACATATGTGCATTAATATATATTTGCCCTGTGTTGCCTCTTCAACTGTTGGCTGTGGGCATTATGTCGGTTGCCATATTGGTTTTGACTAATACAGATTTGTGGAGAACATCTCCTACCCCTTTTCCCGAATCACTGAAAGTGTTATTTTGGGTAGCATTTTCCCCAGCTAACAACACAACCCTTCGAGTGCGCAGTGAATGACGTTTGCCAAAAGTGTTTCACGTGTTTTCATTCCGCATTGTTGTTGGTTTGAATATATATATTTCACCATATATGGTGGGCGGTTGTATTTGAGATGGTAAAAGGGCAAATGTTGCCTCAAGTTGACAGCTGGCTGGCTCTACGCTTTTTTCCTGGTATAAATTTCGATTTTGAATATGATAATTGCGCATGTCAATTGGTGAGTGGTGGTTGGATACGAACGGCTTAGTCTTTTGCCTGACAACTTAATTGTTGCACTCGTTATATGAGTACCAATGGTTTAGAGTAACTTTTCAAGCATTTTCCATTGCCAAATCAAAGTCAGGCAAATGTCAAATTCGGGTGTCAAAATTTGAGTGCCAGTGGTTTGGTTTATTCAGCCCAATTATTGAACAACCCCATGATGATGATGATGATCTTTTTATAATGATGATTACTTATTCTTTTTGTCAGTTATTTTTCTTGTTACTTTGTATTTTTTGGCCCAATCTGCGGTGACTTTTGTGCACTTAATTATATATCATTATGGCTTTTGTGCACTTCCATTTGTGTTGCATTTTTTTTTAGTTTTTTTCTTTGCGGTCTGGCATTTATTCAACTCTTTTGAATAGGTTACGGTATATTTATTGATATATGTGTGTCGATATTTATATTATTTACCTCGATTGTGGGTGTGTGCAGTAAGCTCAATTAACTGCGGCGTTTAGCCAACTTGTTTGCCGGCTTAGACATCATTTGAAGTGGCTGGGAATTAAGGGTGCCAGGTGTTGCATATAATTGTGATTGGCTTTGTTAGTTGTTTGCAGCCCATTGAAAATTTATAAAAAGAATGGGAATCGGTTAATAATTTGTCATCACTGTGGAAGGCAGTAAACGTAGTCAGTAGGTTTTTAAACTAAACTCAAATTTGTCGGGATTATTATGATTATGATTTGGATTTTTAGTAATTTTCCTTAAAGTTATATCAGTGTAATAATAATTTTATAACAAGAAACAATAAAGTTATCACTTAGAAATGTATGCTTACATTTTACTCAATTACCTGCGTCCTTTTCTTTTTTTCAATAATTAATTTCTTCATGCACTCCTTTTTATAAATCTTTTTCTATTTATTTCTTAATAAAGATGGACATCGGCTCACTCACTCTAGATTTGTTTGTTCAGGGTACAAAAATGACAGAAATGGAACATTCATTTATTTTTGCAGACACATTGGGTTGAGAGGAGTGAACAATTTAGGAAAAAAGAGAAGCCGTTCAGCTCATTCATTGTCTCTTTTCTGTGGGTTTTCGTGTGTCGTGTGCCTTTTTGTCTATTGTAAAGTCATGATTAATTTAGGTTTTTTCTTTACGCCAGCCGCTGCTACTGCTGCCCAAATTGTTTTTAGCCCCATCAACACCACACTTCTTGCCTCGATTTTCGTCTCTGTCTAAAAGTAAACACGAAAATCAGCATAATCATCACTTAAAATTATGAAAAGGCATAAAAATGCTTAAATTTATTTATGTTTTTGTTGCTGCTGCTGCGAATGCCCATACTTAAGCGCGAGCTACCCAACATCATCGTCATCCGTCTCAAGTATCACGTAGGGCAACATTAATTTCGTATACGTAGATATGGTAATTTTTTTAATGTTGCTATTGTTGCTTTAACGCTTTATTTTCAATACAACAACTTTTTGGCTCTGTCGATGAGAAGTTTGAAGTTTGCGGAAGTTTATTTTGGTTCTGGGCGCTAACAACAATGGGGCATTGTAAGTTGTTAATGAACCAAGTGGTTTAATGATACTTGGTTATGAAAAAGAAAAAAAACTACAGCAAATTACCATTAAATAATGTGAAATTTAGTTGGAACAGATTTTTCCAAATCATTAATTAAGTTTCATAAACATAATTATAATTTACAAAAATTGTAAATCGACTATCAGATATTTAGCTGAAGGAGGTGCGAGGGAGAATGAGATATGCCTGCAGCAAAGCGACTCCTTGTACTGCTTGAATTTCATTATTTGTTTGCTCATAACTTCTTAATGAATGGTCCGATCTGAAAAATTTGTTCTACATTTCTATAGGTATTAATAAACGCAACAAAATTGTATTTACACTTTTACTCTACGAGTAACGGTTATGCAAATGTTTACTATATTTTCTGATAGTTAATTTAATTGTTGTTAAATAACATACAGAATTAAACTCTTTTAATGGATAAATTAAGTTTATAGCTGTTATTTATTTTCGATTACCTCAAGTCTAATTTATCTAGGGGCGCAGCAGAGATTGCAAATATATTTTATTAGTCCCCTTGCCTAATCTAGCATTTTATTGCTTGTATTTTTGTATAGGCAACCAACTCTTACTTCCACCTTTGTTAGATCTGTATCACGGCAGCCATAAACCACGTTTAAATCAAAAGAGCTCAGCAATTACCATTTCAAATGGTCAGAAGTGAATTGAACCGGTTCGACTTGCAGCATTTCCACGTTCACGAGACCCGAGGAGAAACAAGTCAGTCCGGTCACCACCAACTGGGAAATCATAACGATTGTCAGTTTAATGACTCCACCATCCAACATCCACCATCCAACCATCGATCTAAAATGTGCGTAGACGGTGCGTAGACATATAGACTTGTAGACTTGGCTTAGGTCGGGGTTGCCATTTTCGGTGCAGTTTTAATCGGGGAAACCGGAGGCCAGGCCAAAACCTTGTCCCGAGTCGAAGGCCAGGCCCCAAAGCATATATTATATGACAACTTTTGACGATTTATGTAATTTATTTACATTTTTTTTTCGTTGTGTGGCGCTGAGTTTGTAATTTGTAAGCTTACTTCGACTGTAGGTAGCCAATTTTGGGCATAAATTTGGACCGCATGCCGGCTTACGTCGCTCTCATGAGTCATTCAGTTCGGGTAAAGCGTGGGAATTTTCGTATATATAATCTGTTTTCAGTTTCTGGCGTTTATAGACATGCCACAAATAAATACAAATAGGTGACAAATGTAAGGAAGTTCTGGAAAATTTGTGAAATTAAATTAATATCCATATCATTTACTTGTTTAATATTTAGGCACTTGTTGACACTACAAAATATAATCTGTTTTATTCTTTATTTATTTTTGTATGCAATATAGTTTCGTATACATGTTTGCTGAGTTTTTTATATCCACATCTTTTGCTTTTGCTTTTATTTATTTGTCAAAGATTAATTCTTAAGCTTTTAATTAAAAATTCCTGTGCAGCTTTTTTGGTCCGAGATTTGGGCTCGAGATTTTATTTATTTATTTTTCGGTTTTAAGTTGATTTGCATATTTTGTCACTCGGTGCCAGACACTGTGGCAACGTGATCGGTTCCATGCCATCCAAATCATATATCATTTTTAATGTCTTGCCGATGAAGACCCCTTTTAGCTGTTCAAAGCAAAGGCGAAATTAAAAGATTAATGATTTTTGCCGAAATGTTTAAAAAGCTTTTAGAATTTAAAGTCGCCAAAAAACTGCCGATTATAGTGGGCAGAAATTTGCATTAATTTTCATTGTGTACCTTTTATTGTTTTATAGATTTTGGAAAGGAAATCTCATAAGAGTTTCTCTGCCATTCACAAAAATATTCCAACAAACAAATGTCGATTAGTCAAATTTCGTTTCTAATATTCCCGTGCGTCATATATAATTCTACATATATTGGTACACTTTTTAGCTTGTATATTTTTAATGGAATTAAGCAATGCGGAATCACATGGTTAAGTTGTTTGGCCGCTCGAGAGGTGTGCAAACTTGTCTATAAATTATGCAAATGATTTTGCCTATTTGTTGAACGTCTATTTCTCGCTCACTCTCTTCAAAAACTTGGTAAATAAACAAAATGCAAAACGGGCCAAATGCGCGTGCGCTGTAAGCCGGAAAAAATTGTTTTTTTTTGACAAATCTTAATAAAATATGCAAACGGAAAAAAAATGAAGAAAAAGTGTACTTGTTGCACATTGATTATGGGATTTGGTTGTTGGTGTGTTGCACTTTTTAAGCCGCTCACTTGAGTCTCAGCTTGTCTAAGGTTAGCGCGTTTAAGCCATTGACAATGAATTGCCAGCCGAGTGAGAGGAGCGGCGTGCAAATCAACATATTACGCATACGCAGTGTGGCGCGCGCTTGGGCGCAACTGCAACCAAAACATTTCCGCCTGCAACAGGAAATTATAATTTGATTTTTGTTATTTTGTCAGTCCATTTTTTGCCCGTAATTGCTGTGAAGGTTGTGTGATCGAGTGCAATTTGAAGGTGTTGCCAGTTGGCATTTGTTAGATTGCAAAAAAAAGGTTCTGGTTAAGCCACGTTTACAACGCTTAACGGTCGTCAAGTGAGCATTTCTGAGTGCATTCAGGAGTTTGACATTTTGGGTGATTTATTACAGTAATATTTTGTTTACAGAACAAAAAAATTCAAAGAAATTAATAATAAATAAGAAAAGAGTTTTAAAATATTACAAAATATTTAATTTTTTCTTTGTTTTTAAAAATTGCATATTACAAAAGTGGATTAGTTATTTTTTCTGAAAGAAATAATTTAGGAAAAGCATTTTAATTATTTCTAGGATTCCATTTTAATATTATTTCAACTTAAGTTAATATGTGAAAAATAAAATTTAAAAGATGGTTTAACAAAAAAAATAATTTTAAAAGAAATTCGTTTTATTTTTTCCAAAACAAAAATCTTTTAAAATTAGAAGATAGTTAGAAAAAGGACCAACAAAAATTTTTATTACATTTAATGGTTATTACCTTAATCTTAAATAAATTTATGAAATTAATTTAATGTTATTTTATTTATCAACAGCTATTCCCATTGGCAACTGGACACCACCGGACATTGACTACAACGAGCGCTTCACCTGGGAGGGAGCCCAGGATATGAGCGCCAACTACCGCCACGCCCTCCAGCGGGGACTGCCCTTTCCCATTCTGACCGTGGCCGAGTACTTTAGTTTGGGCCGCGAGGGATTCTCGTGGGGTGGACAGTATCGGGCAGCCGGTTATTTTGCTAGCATCATGTTGTGGGCCTCGTTGGCCTCCTGGCTGCTGATGAACCTTCTGCTGATAGCCGTCCCCCGATACGGGGCCTATATGAAGGCTCTGACGGGAGCTCTGCTGGTCTGCACCACGGTGGGCTATCATTGCCTGCTCCCGAAGCGACCTTTGTGCATTTACCTCGAGGGCGGACGCCTGGAGTTCCATTTCGGCTGGTGCTACTGGCTGGTTTTGGTGGCAGGTGAGTAAATGGCTATCAAATGTGTCAGCTTGAATGAAATATCGATAAGGGGGAGTTTAATGATGCTTCATTTGAAAAATAAACGAAAATATGAAAAATTTAATAATTTAATAAACTATTAATGTCGATTTTTTATAACATTTATTGTATTGTTTAGGTTAAAGCTAAAATACGCATTAGAGTTCCTTGAAATAACTCCTCATTATTTTTAATAGTTAGCTTTTGAATAAATCATAAAGTTAATAAAAGCCATATCTTACTATTCATAAAATTGTTTTGTTCCTAAGTTTTTAATCAAAGCCGGCTGGTATATCTAATATTTTTTAAAATGTTCACTATAAACAACCCTCTGTTTTTCAGGTATTCTCTGCTTCATTGCGGGTGTTCTGATCTCCATAATCGACCTGGTTTGGCCGCACACGTTTTCCACGGTGCTGGAGGTTTACTACGGCACTCCATACGATCGACATGTGATCCTGGAGGAGTCGAGTGATGTGCGCTATCGCAAGCCGCGCAACAGTCGCAGTTTGGAGGATCCACCTGGATTGGGATCTCGCATTCTAAGACGCCTCAGCTCGAAGGCTAGGGATTTACAACCTGGGGGCGTGGCACCGCGTCGCGATAGTCCCGCTGGAGTTTCGAGCAGTGGAGGAGGAGTGGAGAACAAGGGGTTCCAGTCGGATGCTCCGAAGAGTCCTTGGAGATATCCCTTCCGAAGGTCGCAGCAATTGGCCCAGCAGCAGCAGAGCTCGCATCCGCTGCATCAGCATCCGTTGCAGCAGCACCACCATCATCAGAATCAACATCAGCACCACCACCAGCAGCAGTTGCAGTTTGTGGGCGGTGGACCGGTGGTGCAGCAGCATCCCATGCATCACATGCAGCGCACCATGTCGCAGGACTCGGGATCCAGCATCGCCTCGGCAGCCGTGCAAATATCCCCGCTGCACAAGCACGCTTTGGCGCGAATGTTGCCGTAAGTTCCGCATTTTACATAAAATCACGTTCTCATTAGGGAGACAATAAAAACAAATTTACGCCTGTCTAATACCTTGAAAAACATAAAATAAAATTGGATACATTATTTCGCGTTCTAATACCTAAAGATTTTTCTATTGACATTAAACATACAAAGTTAAACTCGTAAAAGATGCATTATATATATTCATATTTAATTTTCATAAATTTATTAATTTTAAATATTATTATATTTCATTAAACCATTTTAGTTTATTTTTAAAGATTTTAAACTTTGACTTTAAAAACAATTCGTTTCACTAAACTTGAAAACGTTTTCTACCTTGATTAAATATTATGTTGCATTATTAAAAAATAAAATACAGTCTGCAGCTAGCTGTAAAATTATATTCCAACTTTTGAAAAAATGTTATAAATATTTATGTTATTAATTAATATTTATATAATTCATTCATTTTTACAGTAATCCCCCAGTGGAGCGTATTCGTGACATGGATCACTGGTGATTGCCATTTGGACAAACCATAAAAATAAACTATTTTTATTGGGCTTAATTAAATCTTGACTAATTGGAAATAATTTTAAAAAACAAAACTTGAAAACAAAACCATTTGTGATAATTTCTTAATTTAAACAAAACAATTCAACACAACATAGGATGGAAGATCACATATTTTTAGCTTACGAAAACGATGTTAAATGTAACTCTAACTTTAATTAAATTATTTGTAATGTTAAGCTAACCCTATGTTAACGAACGATGAATCAAATTTAGCTATAAACGTGTTTTTTAGTGATGTTCATTTGTGATAAGACAATCCTGCCACACACGCACACAAAAACCGACATTTATGAGGACAAAGAACACAGGAGCGTGAGTTATGACGAAGAAAAAAAACGATGTTTATGTTTAATGAGTAATTTATTATTTGTAATATGAATTCAATGCCAGTGTCTATAACGAATAAGTTGAAAAAAAATGTGTAGAATCCGTTTAAGTTTAATGTTTAAGCTTGACAATGTTTAAAGACGATAAGATTGGAAAAAATACGATGAACTACAATTTGGAATGGTTTAATTATTTTTTGGAATGTTTAACTGGATTTTCCTGGATTTTTTGAAGAAAATCCCCTTACTTAGTGTGCATTTCTTAGTCAGCTTAACAAGATTTTATTCTCACTTAAACTAGTCAAATAAATCAATTATCTCAGCAGAGATACTTGGCTCTGCAGAGCAGGACAAAGCATTGCAAACGAGTGCAAATAAATAAAAACAAATAAAATGTACTTCATATGCAAGGCGAGCGCATAAATAGACAGTTATATTGCCCACCCAGCGCCCACCCACATCTCCAAGCGCGAGCAAGCGAGAAGGGCAGAGCGATGCGATGCGATGTCCTGTTCCTGTTTCTGTTCCTGTGTCGCTATCGCACGCTTTTCGGTTTAGAGTTCAAGGAATCAAGATTTATGACATTTTTATTACAAAAACGAGCGCAGTTAGTTGTGGGCGGACGGACTGGCTTCCCCCCTCCTTTCTGGCCCACACATTCTGCATCTCTACGCTGACTTTAAAAATATGCAGCCAGGCGCGTCAAGCCATTATTTGGACTTGGGCCTTGGAAACGGCAACAGCTACAGCTAAACTGGGAAAAATATAAATAAAGATGGCAAGAAATGTAGCCAAATCTATATAATATTCATTGGAACGGTGAAAAGAATGATTTGAAATTGATTTTAAATTCTTTAAAATATATTTATTTTAAGATTGAAAGATTAAAACAAATAAAAGAGAGATTTAAGATGGAATATTTAAAATCTTTAAACTAAATTTAAAAAAAAATTAAATGTATAAAAATATATTAAAAAAAATATTGAAAAATGTATTTCAAATTATCTTTAATGCATGTTTTACTATTTTATAAAATATTTTAATATTGTAAGATTTGAACCGATAAAAGATAGATTTTAGATGGAATATTTGCTTTGTCTTGACCTACAAAGCAAGTATTCCTTATGAGAACATTAAATCGAAATTTCCTTTTAAATAATATAATATTTTGTAAAATGTATTAATTTTATTTGTAATTTCTCTCAGTGCATTGGCCTGCGCTTGGGCTCGGGCTGGGAAATGCCGCCGCATGCAACGGAAGGCGCATAATTCACAAAACAGCAGGCGATACTGCACAAAACGGAGGAGCCGAGGAATGGAGCAGTTGGCAGAGCCAAATGCAATGGGAATCTGGGCGCAGGATACAAGAACACAGCGCCCGAAACCCTCCACCTTAGGATGCTTTTTGACTCTCAATTTTAATATAAACAAATTGCAAACGTTCTTATTTATGACATTTTTTCTTCTCTACCTCTTTGGCATCTTGGGGGTGTTTTTTCTTACTCATATTTTTTTGGGAGAACATAAAGTGAGAAAGGTCAAAAGGTAGAATTGGTTTTTTAAATCTTATATATTTTCTAGTATGCCTACAAATAAATCTGTTTTAATTATAAATAATAGCTGCTGAATACCCATATATCAGATTAGAAAATTCAAAAATGTTGTGCACTTTCAAAAAGGTAAAATTTATAAAATAGCCTAATTACTAAAATCTCCTTAAACATCTAAACATCTCGGTATCGGAATTTCCCGGGATTTGACATATGGTTTAACTTGTACTTGACTTCCTTTACTTTTCCGCCCAATTTGTGTTGCATACTTTTCCATACTGGTTCCATACAGAATGGAAGAAATTCCATTAACAATACGCATCAATTTGCATCGATCATTCTGTGTGGGGCTAACAATACGTCCAATATGCCAAACAGAAACAATGAGGGCACAAATAAAATAAAATCGAGTTGCATTCGGTGGGAGTAAGATAAATTCTCTTGGCAGCTGTGCTAACGAGCAGCCCCGGGGAAAGTATGGAAGGAATCTAAGGGGGGTTGGGACTTATAGACTTTTTGTCAAGGCAGCTAGCAAACAAGTATTTGCTGAGTAATGCCAACGCTTTTATTTTACGCGGGTGGAAAGTGCAGCAAAAATAGAAAAGAGAGCTAGAGATTCCTCAGCAACTCGGGCATGTCCTTTGCCTTTTGCTTAATACAAATGAAAATGGATGAGCTACTAAGCGTTGTTGCATTCGAATGTTGCATTGCCTTGCATTGACTGAACCGAACTGAACTGAAGTGAATAAAATGAAATGAAAATGTTGCAACAAGCTAACACAAAAGTGAAACCCCCCCATGATTTTCCTCCTGGGAATGCACTTTGTTTCTATGACACGCCGTTGTCCTCCGCTTCTCGATTCACTTTCTTGTGCTGTGTGTGCATGTGTTTTGTCTTTGTTTTTATGCCATTTATTTATTTAAGTCAATTTCGTAGAGTGTGTTTGAGCATTTTGCTGCAATTCATTTTCGGGGTTTCATTTTCTGTCTGCCTTTTTCGCTTGCCATTTTTTACGCGTCTTGTATGAGTTTTGTGCGCAGCTTGATGGCAATTTTTACTTTGAGTGATTGCAGTTAAGGGGGTAAGGAACGTTAAAGGTTGATAAAAAAAAGTGAAACGATTGAGCAAAGGATGCCTTTGGGGGACGGGATCTGAAATCTGAAGTTAATTAGCTGACAGTCGACAGCTTTGATTGGGTTTGCTCTGTACTTAATGGGAGAGGGAAAAATACACAGAGGTTGGTTTTGAGTAACCAAACATTTTAATTTACTCAATGGAAAGAACAATTTTTTTAAATCTTTTTTTAACTTGGAAGAAAAATTTTAAGATAATATATAGTTTGTTTTAATTTTCAAATATTTGTTTATTTAACTTTTACAAAATTATTTTACATAACATACTTACACAGTGGCTTGAATCTCCACTAAGCCAAGACCTCGACCACATTTATACCAAATTTAATTCGTATAAGACTTTGGCTGTAAGAGAGCCTCAGTTCACGATTTTAAGTCAACAAGAATTTCTCTTTATGTTTTGAATTCAGCCAACTGAAATCGTTTTTCCTTTCTAATTCTCACGATTGCCGATCAAGTAATAGGCTAAAGGAGATTAAGTGGTTTGGAAAATTCGTTATTACAAAAAAAAATTAAATAATGTTTTACTAATCATTTTAATTTCAGGGATTTTACTTTGTTTATTATTATAAATAAACATTAAAATATTAGGCAATAAATAATATTAAAAAAGTATAATAAAATGATAGTTTGTATGTAGATCCTTTTACATATTGAAGGATTTAAGTGGCTTTTTAGTTTATTATAGTTAAGAGGTTGTTGAGTAAGACACAATTAAAAATGGTGTTTCCGAATTTTCTTTTTACATTTTACATTTCCCACTGATTTTTTAATTGCCATTTATTTTCTATTTTATATTTTTCGAGAGTGCTTTCTCTTTATTCAGCCGTTTTCAGAGGATGCTCGTGAGTGATTCGCTCGTGTTATCCTTTTGAGGCACTCGGCTCCCATCCTGTCGCTCGGCTCGGTGTCGTTTGTGAGCTTCGGCGACCGAGGGATGGAGCTTCGGCCAGCCGACTTCCGGTGAGAGGGGGGCTAGAAGTACTGTGGGGCTTGTGGGGCACTGAGCTGGCCAAACGAATTCAGTTGAAGCTCAGCCGTCGGACTGTTTCGAACGTGTTTTGCAGGGATGCTGACGCTCGCCGCGGCAGCCATCGAATTAGCGAAGTTATCGGGTTCGGGTTCGTTGTGTCGCGAATACAAAAAGTATATGTAAATCTCGTACCGCCAAAAAGGACCACCAATTATCGAAATCAATAGGAGCTAATTAGAATATTCCAGCGACGATTTTCGGTGGGGTTTTTTCGGTGCATATAAACTGCATCATAAAAGCTTGCGTGTTTTTTAGTTTAGTTTCTATTTCGAGAGTACGAAAATCATGCGACTCACTCAACGCGCAGCTGATATTGTTGCACACACAAAACGCTCCACTTGGTCTCCTTTTAGGCGATTTAATTGCCCTGTTCTCGTCGTTTGTGGCATACATTAAAACCAGGCAAGGCAACTAAGTATTCGCAAGTGCCCCAGTGTCTTGTTGTTCGTGCCACCCGGTGTGTCTGTGTGTGTGTTTGTTTGTGTTTTGATGGTCACGTGGTCAGTTCAAAGTTGGCTTTCGGCCACAACTACTGCCTTCTTGTGCGTGACAAAAGTCCAGCAACAGTAGCAACAATAAACAGCAACAACAAATGCAATAAAGGATTATCCTGCGTGGGACAAATTTAAATTGTTCGCCAGGTAAGTTTAGCAGCGACAAGCTCACTTTTTGCTCTTTAAGGATGACTTTTTGCCTGAAAGTTTCGCCGAGCTAAAGTTGAAATTGCCACCCCGCCCTCGCAGTTGTTGCAGATAGAGAAAAAACCCTGGGTTGAATTAAGTTTTCAGTAACTTTTCATGAAATAATTAATTGCGTTTGCTATTTTATCTCATTCTTTTTACCAGCTTAGTGCAAAATGGCACTAGCATAATTAAATGGGGAATTTAATGATATATAGATGGGTTGTTTTGCTATTTTAGAATATAAGAATAAGATATTTTAGTCAAAAGAGGGAAAACTATAAAACTATATTTGTTATTTTTTTGTATTTTGTTATCAAAGTTTGGACTATACATTTAACTTTAAATAATTTAATACTTATACACTCTTTCACCCTCTGTTGATTTTTGGGGGGCATAACTAGACTCTCAATTGCTTTTCTCAGTGTGGAAGTTGGGGAATTCGCGGTTTTAAGCTCTTGTCTCGATGCGCCAGTTTTTCATTTTTGCCGCCCCTTCACTTTGCCCCCGTCGCTGGCAACTTGTATTCCCCCGTGATCTCGCTTCGCCGGCCCCCCTTTCCACTTTCCGCGACGCCACTGTGCCGCGCCGATTGCCGTAACTTAAAATGCGCCAACTGACTGCCAGAAAGTTGCCAAAAACTTTTGCCTAAAGTTTATTTACTTGTTTTTTTTCCGCCCGTCTTTCCTTGCTCATATTTTTTTTTATTCCATGCCTTTGTCTAGCAATGCAGAATAAAGTGGGAAAAAATTAAAATATTGCAAGCAAGAAAAGAAAAGACTCTGGGAATGATAAGTAGTAAATGGAAGCTCTGATAATGTTGTGCTGAAATCAAATATGCGAAGGCATTCAGTTTAAATTTATTTATATTTTTGTTTAAATGTAAAAATTATTATAATTAATTTAAATAGAGAAACTCGTAATTAAAAAATCATTAAAAAATAACAATTTCTTAATAATTCTCTTGTTTATTTTATACAATAAAAGTAAATCGTTTTTTAAAATTATTTTATTTGTATTAAATTTGTATAATAACCATGAACCATTATACCATGAAAGTATAAATTCCCTTATACTTTTATTTTAAGGCTTTCTTATAAAGGTTAAGGGCAAAACTCTGTATACCTTAAATATATCGAAATGTGATTTAATATAGCCTACAAAATAAAGTTCAACTATGTTTTCATAAATAATGGCTGACTGACGAAAAGAGCAATAAGTGTCCTTGTCCCAACTTGTGAGCCGCCCACCTGAAGAGACCCAAATTTCATGCCTTTCGCCTGTTTATTAAATTTGCATGCCGTCTTTCATTAGAGAAAGTGAAGACTTCAGGACTTTCAGTTCCCTTGCACCTCCTTCGAGGACAAGTACTTTTGCTGCTTAGTTTCGAGGAAAAATAAATAAATTAGTTCAGTAAATGGAAGTTGAAAGAGTGAGAAATTACAAACTGCTGGCAAAGTTAATATTTAAGTCCTGCAGTAGTAGTGATTTAACGAATTTCCCTCTCATTTTTGGACAATTAAAATATGCAAATGAGCCGACAGCCCAAAACCCCATTGCAAAGCTTCCAAATGGACACGCACGGCTACCCCAAAAGAGGAGATAAGAGTGAACCGGGGGTTTTTGACCGGGTTGTCCGCTGCCACAGGGAGATTTGAATGTGGAGATACAAATGTAAAGATACAAATGCGTAGGCTGAATTTTTGATTGGCTCGCTTGGTCCTCCGCCTCCCGAAAAACATTTTTGACAATTTCCAAAAGCCTAATGGCTAATTGAGCTGCCAGGAAAAAGGGAGGAAATGTCGCTTGCATTTGTTGGAGTACGTACACAAATTTATGGCGAAAAGTCAATTACGTGCAATGGGTCCAATAAAAACGGAAAAAACTAAGAGATACATTTCCCCAAAGGGATACGCAGTTAGGGGTTAGTTCCCATATATATATGGCTTATCAGGAGTACATATTTCCAACGAGTGTGTACTTACTTCAAAAAGGCATTAAGCCAAAAACGTATAAACAAAAGTTACGCATACCCAACCTTAACCGTTGACGGGTTAATGTGATTTTAATGTACTTTTTACCCTCCCATTCCACAAACCCTTAGGCCCTTCAAAACCCCCCGCAGTTTTGCGTTTCTGTGAGTACTGCGACTGGGTTAAAGTTTTATGCAATTTCATCATTTCCTTTTTTTTTTATGTTCGCATTAAGAAAGTTTTTCTTTGCCTTCTGCAAGTTTACGCAGTAATGCAAATTGAAATGTAAATCTTTACATTTTATTTGTGATGATTTTTGCTCTGTTATAAAAATGTTGAAATATACCTGTTTATTTTTTTATTTAATATTTTTTTATGTCTGAGAACCTCTAGGGATATTATTCTTTTTTTTAATATTTTCCTCATAATAAAATTAATAAAAATAATTTAAACCCATTTTGCCTTAAAATCCTGATATTATTGAAACAAACCAAATAGTTAAACTAGCTATTTTCCAAATGAAAGAAAATCAAAAGAGTATAACAAACCCACAAAATTAACTTTCTTTAGTAGGGAAAATTGTGGCTCCTTTGCGTGTGGCTGCTTTCCACATAACAAAAGCTGCTTTGGCGGAAATTTTCCACGCTTTTGAAATCAATCTTCCTAATGACAGACTATCCAAAAGCGAAAACAGCGAAGGCAACATGAATAAAAGGCGGCTGGTAGACACGTGCGTTTTCCTCTGAATTTCACGCTCAAGTATCTGGCACTTGTAACCGTAATCGATCTGAACAATAACAGAATGAAATGGCATAAAAAATTGTATATTAAGAAACGGCAAACAAAACCTGACATGGCACGAAAACGCGCCAAAAGAAGCAAACAGATGTCTGCTGCTCTGAGGTTTTTCTTTTTGGTTGGGGGTTGAGTAAAAGGGCTGTGGCTGCGATGATTCCAAAACAATTTTCACCTTTTGTCGGAGATATTTGAGTGGGTAGCGTATTCCTTTGGGAGTTTGGTTAAGTTCCTGGAAAAGAAAATGCAATTGAAGTCGTTCGGTTAGAATAGCAATTGGATAGGCAGTCAATTGCGGACGAGTCTGGCATTGTTTAAATTGATTGATTTTTCGCCAGAAATAATTTACCTAAAAGGTATTCTAAATTGGGAATTTTTTTTAATTTACTGAAATAATATTTTTGATAAATTACATTTCAGTTGTCCCTTGGAATTTATAGTCTAGTTTACATGAAATTTGAAAATATTTTTAAATGTTATTCAATGCTTTAAACTTGCGAAAAACATTTCACATTTACTTACAAAGATATTACTTTTGATTAATTACATTTTATTTGACTCTTAATGTTTAGAGACTATTTTAAATGAAATGAATTAATATCTATAAAGCTATTTTATTTTATCTTTTTTATTCCACTATCAAAATATTACTTTTGATAAATTACATTTTATTTAATACCAATGATTTTATATGACTATTGGTATTTATTGCCTATTTTAAATGCAACTCTAAATATTTTATTAACGTTATTTAATCCACACAGAGACTACAAAACACATATGTAAAGTATCCATACATAAATAAACAATTATTGAAATTGGCCGAGTTCTGAATAAATTGTATAAATGTTTGAAAATAATCATTGAAATGTTGGGGGGCCCAAACATAATTTAGGCAGTTAAATGAAATGGCTGTGGCAGTTTTAGTGGCTCTGCCCAAAGAGACTGCCATTAGAGGTGGATGTCGAGTATACCCTTAGTAGCTTCGACCTGCTCATTGCATTTATATTGTATATTCAATGATGAGTATGTTATTTTACCGAAATGAAACATTATTTTGCGCAATATTTTGGCCTTTTACGATGCCAATGTCCGCCTTCAGCCAAAGGGGAATTCCTGGGGAGGACCTCCATTTTCGGTAGTCTGTATGTGGTATGTACTCCTACGAGTCTGAAACTCATCTTTCTCGTCCTGTGGCTTATTTGCAAGTTTGATGGATTTTTATCCCTTTTGGCCTGCCTTACTTTTATTATTCGCTGCCTCGTCCTTAACCTTTCCCTCTATCTTTTCACTGGGCCTCCACTGAATTTGTTTCCTGTTTTCTTGGGCTGTTGTAGCTGCCTTTGGTGCAATTTTATTATGCCACCACAGACACACGCATTTTTATTTATTGTGTTTTTCTCCCTTTTACCCTCCGCTTGGCATTTATTTATACTCGTTACATATTCCGTCTCTTTCTCAGTCTCTCTGGCTGTGTTTTTTATTTTATTCTCTTTTTTTTCTGCAGCCTTGTCGGCGAATTTATAAATATAAATGAGTTTTGCTCGATGAAGGTTAAATTGAAATTTACTTGGGCTTACTTTTACAAAAGGAGTGAGGATATGGTGCTCTGTGCTCTGTGAGCCAGGAATAAGTTGTTTAGCTTGATTGGTATATGTGCCGCACATGATGGAAAACCCGGTGAAAAGTTGTTTAGAACTCTGCATTTCCGCTCTTTTTTCGGCTTCCGTTTCTCTAGTCCCTCAAATATATAAATATATATATACCTACATATGTGCGTTTCCCATTTTAATTTTGCTAAGCAAACCGCCGGATATCTCTTGCCTTATCCCTTATTCATTCGCCTTTTTTTCGGGTGTGAAAACTTTATTTGTCTGGCTGCCTTTTGTTTGGCCTTATCATTTGTCAAAAAAAACTTCCCCAAATTGAATATTTGCATAAGTTTATTGAAACAGCCATCGGGGAGGGTAATGTTTGACAAAAGGGAAAGGAAAACATAGAAGGAGTCTTCCTGCCCTAATTCTGACTTTCTGTCCCTCTTCGAGGCATCTGTTTGATTTGTATATTGAAGGCTTTGCCTTGGGTAAATCCATCTCTTGAATTTTTTGTTAATACTGCTCAAAGAAGAAAAATAAAATGTATTATAATATTTATTCAGTAGGAAATTATCTGTTGATTTTGATGTTTAAATTTTGCAATTAAGTTCTGAAACAAATGAAAGCTTAAAAAATTTTCTATAAAATTATATAATTTACTTTATTACTTTTTTACTTTGTTTCCATGAAAAATATTAGATTTTTATGAAAATAAAAATGTTTCAATTGTATTTATTAATACTTCTTGCATAATTTATTTCAGTTAAAATAAAAAGAAATGTATTTAAATATTTATTCAGTGAAAATTACTCTGTTGATATTGATATTCAAATTTTGCAATTAAGTTCTTTACAAAATTTTCTGTCAAATAATTGAACTACCTAGAAATTTAAATTGAAAATTGCTTTTATGTTAATAATATGGCTTATATTGCTTTCATACAGCTCTTACTGTAAGGTTGCAAATATTCCATTCGAAAAATCAATAGATATATTATTTTACTATTTCCTTTAGTACCCATATGTACATAATACACAAAAAATGCTGTTAATATTTATCACTAACTCGACCATCAAAGTTAATCAAACTAGGCCAGAGGCTCGAAAACAATTTGATGGCATTTGCCTGACCGCAAGTACATATAAACCATAAATATTTATACATACATAAATGTGCGACTGTGTGCGAGGAAATACGAAATACATGAAAAGATACTTCCTGTGCAAAGGACATAAATTTCAACGGCCGCTGAGGCATAAAGCCAGTGGCTTAAGTGTTGGCCATGTGTCAACCATGGCCTGTCTTAACACATATAGTACGTAGTATATGCTTGCTTACAGATTTATTTGTATAAATGTTCTTGCATCTGGAATGGCATTAATCTTAACGACACTAAAAATCAGATATTTCGTTCGCGCCTCCATTAATGTCATAATATCGAAAACAATTTCTTAAATTTTTCGCATATTAAACGTTTTTGCCATTAATAACTGGCGAAGCGGGAGAAAATAAGGAAAAAAGCGAAAAAAAATTCTGTGCATGTTCCAAATGATCGCTTCAATAACCACAAAGGCCATAAGAAACAGGCGAAACAGGCTGAATCCTGTGGATGGAGACGTGGATGTAGTAGGAAGTGAATGAATGAATAACTGAATGAGTGACTGGCGGTCGGAATGAGGTAGCAAGTGCATGATTGAAGTGACGGACTAGCCAGAGATTGTTTGTTCTCCAGCCGGCCCTTTGCACATGATAAAAATTTATTTAGACCAAATAGAAAAGAATGAGGCTAGCGGGAATAATAAACTACAACAGGCATTCGAGCCAGACACAAAGTGAACGGGCAATCGAGGGTCAGGAAGTGCCCAGGCAGCCATTGACAGGAAGAGGAGGAGGACGTAGAGGAGGAGGGGAAGTGCCACAACTATTGTATTGTCTAGATGGTTTGGCTGCAGAAGATCCCTGCCCTCCGGGCACTTGAGTTCCCCAGTCAGCCTGCCACTGAATAGCAGCAGCGACAGGCCACTGACGACGGCGACTGCATGCAATAAAATGTGTCCATCAAATGTATCCCTTCATTCTTACGCCAACGTTACGTATGCTTAATATTCTCTTCTGGGCAAAAGACTGAAGCGGCTTAGGCCTGTATCCTGATTTATAGAAATAAATATAGTGTGATATTAAAGTAAAAATTTAAAATTTAAATTTGATAAAATGAATGGAAATGGCCAATTTTCTATCTTTTACTTTTGAATATCCAATTAAATTAAAAAGAAATTTATTTTAATCTTAAAGTCTACATTTTTTATTAATTATAGTCTTAAAAAGACATATGCTTAAATCTTAAAATCTACTTTTTTCAAAAAATATAGAATCAATGGAAATTGTTTAATCCAAAAGACTACGTGATATTTAATCTGTATTTTACTAAAACTGTTTCAGCCTTATAAATATATTTTATTATCTATTAAATCCCTTAAAATTTCCTGTCTCCTTCGTAGCGATCCTTACTAATAACTTACCTGAAAAACGATAATACTTTTGTTTTATTAAATATTGAAATATCTATGTTTTTGACCAATCTTATATGTCAATAAACATATACTAAGATTCTTCCTAAAACCTCATTTGAAATTCAAATTCTATACGATTCAAAAATAGATTCTGTTACCTAGGGAATCCATTATTCGGCTATCAAGTTTTAAGTACAAATGTTTTTTGTTTTGTTTTCGGTTTCCCTGCCTAGTTTTTCCCTGCACTGCCCACTAGTCCCCCTCGATGTTTGTCTATTGGTTGGATGGTTCTGTTGGTTGGTCGCTAGCTCGGCCGGCCGACGTTTCCGTTTCCGCTCACTGTACGCCATGTTGATTTTGCCATTTCTCCATTGTTGTTTTTGTTGCTTGTTGTTTGAAGTGTATGTGTGTATGTGCGGCGTTCTTTGTGTGGGTTAATGTGCGCACTCGACTGTGCGCAAATTGCTCAAGTGTAGTTCAAGTTGAGCCCCCACTCGCGTTCCTCTTACAGTTTATATATTTTCAACCATTTTTTTGTGATGCAAAAACAAATTTTTCTTATTTTTTTATAATTGCCAGCCGGACCATTAGTTTTATCATTATTATTTTCCTGTAGAGTGGGCGGGGGTTTCGTGTTTTAAGGTCCTTTGTTATTATGATTATTATTATATTGCCTCACATTGGCACCTTTCCGGCAGTGTCCCCTTGTTGCTTATCTCCTGGCAATATTTCTGGTCGCTTATTGCGCTGTCTTACATTCTTATCATTATTAAGGGCAGGTTCTCTCCACTCCTCTTCCAAGTTGACGACACTCGGCGGACACGTTGACAAAATGACAATGGCATAAAGATAGCGGAGGAGCACAGGAAACCAAGTGGGGGAATCCTTGAAAATTTTTGACCCAACTTTGGGTTGATATTTTGCCTGCGCCTTGTAGCCTATTGATTTGCCTTTTTTCTATTTCGTCCCCGGGTTAACATCTTCTCCATCTTCATCCATTTTTGTATCTTTCTTGGCCACCTTTTGTCTGTCTGTTTATTGGCGGTACCTTTTCCTCCTTTGTCAGCATTTTGTTTTCTTCACTCTCACCTCTAAGTTTCGTTCTTGACCCATTCTTGCCTTATTTATTTGCAAATCATTATTATTTGCTGGGACATTTTTATCCGAAAAAAAGAAAAGAGATACATGGGATGTCTTTTTTGTTCTCCACTCGTGTGCCAATTTTTTTTCTTTCTACCTTTTATTTTATGTCAGTTATTTGGTTTTTAAGGTAAAATACAATATTTCTTGTCCTTTGTTAAATATTGCTTATGGCGAATTTTATCTTTCGCTGCCAGTCTAGGGATGCTTCGAGGGGAGATATAGGTATAGGGGTTGGCTGGGCAAGGGTAGGGTTGATGAAAAACGGAAATGGCAACTTTTTTTTTCCCGCAATGACTTATCTTTAACTTCAGAAGAAAAAGAAAAGGATATTTATTTTGCATTTTTTCTAAGAAAATTGTAAAGTGGTTTAAAAAAATATATTAAAAGTATTTACTTAGTAAATGAGGGCTTAAATGTTAGATAAAAGAAGTTATTATGATGAAGAAATTAATTTAATAAGTAAAAAAAGGTATTTTTCAACATTAAATCAGTATCAAATTTCTTTGTCCTTTAAGTACAGAAAATTCTTCTGATTTCCCTCACATTATTAATGATTTATAGAAGGCATACACTTTATAATAATATCCTTTCCTTTAGCTGACACCATTTTAATAATTGTAATTATCTTGCATAAGTCATATTGTATGTGTTAGCTGAATATGGTATAATCCTAAAGAAGGACACAAATGATCTTATCATGCAAACCACCGGTTTCCACCGACAAAATTAAAAGTTTAGGTCTTGTAATATTTTATTATTCCACTCTAACCTCTCGCTTCAATAATTACTCCCCTTAAATTCCATGACTAATGTTGTCAAACCACCTTTTGATTCACCCCCCTAAAAGAGGGCCAAACTTTTTCGGCAAGGTGACGAACTTGCTCATCTTTCTTTTGAGAAACTTTCCTGCCCGAAATTGAGTTTTCCCCCCAAACCCTCAACCCCTCCCCCCTCCACCCTGTGAACATGAACATCTGTGTGAGGTCTTAACGGGGCGCGTCGCCTTACAGCTCGATAATTGCGGCTTCAACTTGACTTTACCAAAAAAAAAAAGAAGAAATTATATAGGTATATATAAAATCGGAGTGGAATAAAAGAGCAAAAGAAACTTGTTCAACTTTTTAACTAGCCTCGAAAACTAAAAACTTTTCAATACTCAAACCAATGGAACCAATGGATTCACCCCCACTCTTCTTTTTTTCTTTCTCAATTGCAGCTGCTGCCAGTGGAAAAAGCGAAGCGAAGAGACCGGAGAAAATCGAAAATGTGCTTCCATTAGGAGGAAAACTCGGGGAGAGAGAAGAAAGAAAAACTGCAGCGCCAAATCTGCAAACCAAATCCAACTTAAGTCACATCAAATTAAAATCAACAACCCGGCGAAGGGTGAAAGGAGAAATTATAAGAGAAATATATATATACCTATAGACAGAGAAAAGGACGGGGGAAAATGAAGTGCAATAAAAGTCAAATGGCCACGTTAACAATGTGGAAAATTTTTATGGCCCTGCTCCTGGCGATGGAACTGCTAATGCCGCTCACATTAGCGCGCCTGCATTCCACTTCCGGTCTAGGAATTTCCGGCGGAGGAGGTCCTGGCAGCGGAGGATCCAGCGGCAGTGGGGGCTCATCCTCCAAAGATTCACACGGTAAGTCCACCTCAATCCCTTTTCTTTCTCTTTTTTTTTTTTGATTATTTTAAATGGCTGTGGCTGCACCGAGGGTCCAAGCCAGAGAGTCCAATAAATAAATTTAAATATTTAACTAACTTGCAACTCGGAATGCGAACCACTCGCGACTCCTCCACCTCGTTGGGAGTTGTCCAAAAAGTGTGGAAAGAAGAAAAAATAGTTGAGTTTTGGGTGGGTATAGTGAGAAAACTTTAACACCTCGTTGCAACTGGAGGCACGTTGTCCTGGCACGTGTCCTGGCATTTATGATTTCATTTCGCTCCGTTGTAAGTTTTGCAGCCCCGACTGCAGCTAGCAGTTTCATAGAACCGAGGAGTAGCTTCTCGTTTGGCTGCCTCTCTAAACTGTCCATTAGCACCCAAGCAAATGCTTATAGAATTTTGAACAGGATGGGGCAGTTGAACTCGGTGCAGGAATAAAAACACGTACCTTAAAAGCAATGCGATCTAAGCTAATGTAAAGCGATGCTGAAAGTTTGGACATATTTGATTCATATTTTTTTTATATTATAGAGTGAGAAAAGCTTAGAAATTATATTTGATTTTTTAACACAATTTTTTAGGATAACTGGTAAAATTTAAATATTTATAAAATGGCAAAAGGGGAAAAAAGTGATTTTATATAGTAAACTAAAATATACAAATATGTGGGACCCATTGTTGGTGCCACAGAAATAGATGGGTTTTGAAATCACTTTTTTGTGGCACCCCTAAAAAACTTATACATCATGGACTTTTTTTTTAACTTTTCTTTATAATTAAACCATTACTAAACTTAAAAACAATTTATTACAGTTTCCTATACAATAAGTGTTACTCTTTAAAACTGCAATGTAAAGAATGTTAAAATAAGCCTGTGCAAAAGGAAAGCCAACATAAATCAAAGCCATGATAACTTGCGCAGTTGATTGAAAAGTTTATTCCCAAGATTTTTGCACTTGTCACAGGCGGTCTCAGTTCTTCTCTGCCGAGAATTCCCAGCTAAGCTCTCCTTCATGGCGATTCTCCCGGAAAAGTCTTGGGCCAGAAAAAAAGGAGGAAAAAGAAGAACAGCTTTCAGGTGTTTTGAGCTCCGAAGAGCTATTTGACAAAACTGCCAGACCAAAAGCTGGGGCTATTTATTATGCCCACAGGATGTAGGAAGGAACACACACACGCACCCAGGACGAAAAACAAGGTGAACTGCGTAAATCATTTCCACTTTATGCGCTCTCTAAGCCAGACAGTGTCAACAAACTGTGGCAACTGGGAAAGGGATAAGATATACCCTCTAGAGTTGGGAAGAGGTGGGGCAAAAACAAGCATTATGGAGCATTAAAAAGTACAGGACCAAAGGCAAAAGCAACGAGAGCGGTGGTGGGACAACAATCTCTTGGCAGTCAAAAAGTTTTGGCCGTTTAGAAAAGTGTCAAGCATTTTATCACACGGAACCTAACCGAAAGTAGCCAGCAACAACAGGAGCCATAATAAATCTTTAAGGAGCTGGCTGGGAAAATCCCTCTGGCTTCTGCTCTTTTTCAACCCAACCCAACAGCTAATGCATTCCGGCTAAACAGGCGGCCAAAAGTATGCAACGAACTGGTAAACTCTCGACTGACATTGTGACTAACTGACGAATGTCCATCTGCTTAGCTCCCCGCCAACGATTTACCAAAAACTTGTCAACGTGTTGAGTGCAGCAGTTACCAAATGCTCCGGGGAGTTAGGAACTAGAGCCCTGCATGAATGGATTCAATGAATTATTTTGAATTTTTTTTTTCATATGAATGAATTAATTAGAATTTTAAGTTTAATAGAATTGAATGAATTTGAATTTTGAGTTTAATAGAATTGAATGAATGAATGGCATGAATTCCGAAATAATTCAAACGACAATTTATTTTGAAGAAGAAAGGGCCATAATTTTGTGATTAAATCTGCCTGAATTTTATTTACTATGCAGTTAACATTGATTTGTTAAAAATTTGTCACTTTTTGTTCTCAAAAGAAAGCACAAAAAAAATCTGGAAAATTCAAAAAATTCATAAAATAATTCATTCAATTCATTCAATTCGAAATGAATTAGAATAACATTCAATTTATTTCACATAGAATTGAATTAAACAAATCAGAAATTTCATGGCATACTATGATAAAACAAAAATTGAATGATTCATGCAGGGCTCTATTAGGAACCCCGAGCCCCGAATCCCCAGAAAAGAATGTGGACGAAAGGGGCCAGTCATCGCATCGCATCCGCATCCGCACCTTTTGCCGCATTTTCGGTTGGCAAACTTTTGCGGCTAGCAACACGTTTTGGCCAACAACGAAAAAAAATAGAAAACACTTTTGTGAAAACAAACACGCCAAGGAGCCCGCCGATTGACGCTTTTTGTTACGCCCGAAAAACGTGTCGCCCCGAGAAGGTTGAAGGATTAACCCTTCACGTCAACCGCTAAAATTGCTTTGTGTGTGGCGGGAAATTGAATTTGTGTTTTATAGTTGACTTCAAGTTGTAGTAGTTTGTATTTTTGAAATACAGCTTAAGAATTGTTTAACTTCTGATGCAACAAAGTAGCCAGAGAAAAGTCAAAAATATGTTTGCATACTTTTAGACACCTTTTGAAGTGATTTCAAATCTCTTGTGCAAATGTTTGTAATAATAATAATTTAAAATTTATATTCATATCTCATAATTAGTTAGTTGTAGTTAAAAATGTTGAAACAAACTAGCCAGAGAAAAATGTAAAAAATTTTGAAAAATATTGTTTTATAGTTTTAGACTCCATTTTAAGTGATTTTAAATCCCTTGAAATACTTTTTGATTTATATAATTTAAATTATATATTAATACTTCATAAGTATTAACGGAATGGTTAGGAAATAGTTTATTTGTATTTATCCTAAACTTTTTTCTATGTTCAAAACCAAGATTTATTTTAATAAATATTTTCCTGAAAGTTCAAACTAAAACCCTTCCAGGCAAACACAAATTAGGCTCTATAAAAATACTTTTTGCCATCAAACTATTTCAGTCTGAGTGAGTGACAAACCCGTTGAGCGGAAATTTCAGGGTTTGTGGACGGGGGCTAAACTTTACCGTAGAATTTCTAATTACTCGAAGGGATGAATTGACAGCAGGTTGACAGGTGAGCAGAATGAACAGATGGGATTGAAGCACGCCCACGAATCTGCGGCTTTAATTAATTAAGAATGAAAGGGGTGGGGGTGGCTCTTTCTATTTTTGTCACTTTCAATATGAGAACGATGTAAATATTTAAGCAGGGATTTATTTACCTTTGTGTCCGGTAAATTCTAAAGATTCTCAAAAGATACCAAGACAAAGTGAAATTTTAGAACGCTTATCTGCGAATATTCCTCCCCGCCTTTGTGGCTGCTAATGGGGTGGCTTTTTTAGGGGGCTGGGTTTCTGGGTCTGCTGCATTTTTGGCTCCTTTGTGAATTTTGTCGCGCAATTTTCGCCAAAACATCAAAATGCAGCAGCAGCAGAGGCAAAAAATTCAAAGCATGCGCTACAAAAGCTTTTAAAACAAAGGCTTGACTAAAATTCAACCCCCTCCCCAAAAAAAAAAATCATTTTCGGCGTGGTACAAGGGGGCGGGCAGGGAGGCTAGACGGAATATCACAAAAGCCTTGATACAAGAAAAGCATACACCGTGCATCCTCTCCTTTCACCTTTTCTCAACATTTTCAGAGGACAATTTTGTCCAAAAAGCGAGGAGAAAATGAAAGTTTACATGTCCTGGGCAGGCGTCTTTTTTTGGTCTTAGTTCGCCTAAAAATATACTATCAGAATTTATAAAGAGTCACCTCTGGCAAAGGGTTGGCGAAAGTCAGAGAAAACTGGCTGGTGAATGGCGCATGAAACCAACTTTCGGTTCCGTTGCCTTGCCGCCTGGCTTCGCATTTTTGTGACTTTCATTTGCCATAAATTATTTTATGTTATTATTACACAATACATAGAAAATGGAAAAATGAGGAAAAAGGCAGAAAAATCTGCAGGCTGTGGTAGAGCAACAAGCAAAACTGAGGAAAAAATACTTTTGCTTGGAATAGTCTTGATAAAAAGTAGTTTAATGACCTTCTAAGGAAAAATGTAGGATTTAATTTTTAAAAATGTCTCAATAATATAATACTTTTATAAAAATACGAAATACTGGTTTACCAATTATAATTATCCAACCAGACCTACCTACCATTAAGTAATAATTACAAATGTCTGTCGTTTAGCGACTTTAACAGTAATTTATTAGCCGCCTAAATCCATTATTCTTTACCAAGAAATTCAATCAATGTTTAGCTGGGCCGCAAAACATTTACGCTTAGGACTTGATTTCATTGATGAATAAATAAAAATACGTTGAATCGTCGGCACAGGAAAGGCAATTTAAAAATAGGACAAACATGCACTAAGCTTAGCCTATTTAAGGGTTCAGCACTAGGTAATTTACCTCGACTTCAGGTTATATAAAAGTTTCATACTCAAATTGAGTACCTGGAAAAGGAAACAACCCCTTCAGTTTGTTGCTACCGCTGATGATGATGATTTCGTGCCTGAAGAACTATATAATGGATATCGTGTTTTATAATTAATATTTATGGCCAGCAAACATACGATGATGGGAAAGGGGGATAGATGGAAATAAAACAATATAAATGTGAGAAACACAAATAAATTTATACACCGAGTCAATGTACTTGACTTGACCATAGGCTAGCGCTATTTTCTGGCCACTCCGCCTCAGTTCGTGTTGGTCAGTGATTATGTAATAATTAACTGAACATTAACTATTTGTAACCATGAAATTCCTTAGGGCAAGCAGTCCCAAAAACCTCGGCAAGCTATCTGCATAATAAAGGATTTTGGTTCGTGTTTTCGACTTTGGCACGATATCAAAACAAAATACGAAAATATTCCAGTTATTTACTACGAAAAGCTGATACCCTGCTTTTTTTACT